ACTCCAACACCAGAACCAAGTTCAGAGACCCCAACGCCTACGCCTGAGCCCACGCCTGAACCTACTCCGGAACCCAGTTCAGAGACACCCACTCCGACTCCTGAACCTACACCTGAGCCTACTCCAGAACCTAGTTCCGAGACTCCAACTCCAACTCCAGAGCCTACTCCAGAACCCAGCTCAGAGACACCGACTCCTACCCCTACTCCAGAGCCTACCCCGGAGCCTAGTTCAGAGACCCCAACACCCACGCCGGAGTCAAGTTCAGAGACCCCGACTCCGACTCCTGAGCCTACACCTGAGCCTACTCCAGAACCCAGTTCAGAGACACCCACTCCGACACCAGAACCAACTTCAGAGACACCCACTCCGACTCCAACTCCAGAGCCAACTTCTGAGACTCCCACTCCTACTCCAACTCCAGAGCCAACTTCTGAGACACCTACTCCCACACCAACTCCAGAGCCAACTTCTGAGACTCCTACTCCGACTCCAGAGCCTACCTCAGAGACACCCACTCCGACTCCGACTCCAGAGCCGACTTCAGAGACTCCCACTCCCACACCGACTCCAGAGCCTACCTCAGAGACCCCAACGCCTACGCCAACGCCTACCCCGACGTACACTCCCCTTCCACCTGGCGTCAACGTAATCAGGAATGCTGGATTCGAAGACATCACTGCCGTAGGTGTCAACGGCAGAATGGCAAACTGGCAGTTCACGGGCCGTGTCTACCCTAACCGCCTAACGCAGGCGTCCCACAGCGGGCAATGTTACGCGTAAGTCTTACCACTCAGAACCCCATCCACAAGCTCAACCCCTCTAACCAACATCCGCAGTATCATGTCCTACGTGGCCAGCTCCAACACGCCATTGACACTGTTCCAGTCGGTCACCGGATTCGACACAACGCGTCCATACATCATCTCCTTCTACCTGAATCTCTACAGCCTCAGTCAAGCTCGTTCTTGCACGCTGAAGGTCCTGTTCGGCGATGTCGAGGTCTATACGAGGGTTCTCACCGCTGCCGATGGCCCGCGGGTGCAGAACTGGAAGGGTCCGGAGACGACTGTGCCAGTGATCCCGACGTCGCCAGACCAGACTGTCAAGTTCGCATACGATTGTATTCCAACTGGCACCGGGAGCGCCTCTAGTGCGCTCTTCTTGGACGATGTGTCCATGGCTTCTATTTAAGTGCGCTTTTATGGCAGCTCTGCGCTGGTTCGAGGAATGTGTTAGTAGATTGATAGATATAATAAAAATAATACAAAGAAATTATTGTCACCGATGTCGAAGGGCTTCCTTGTGAATCAACCTTGTTTGATAGTTCCAGGGATGGACAGAGGGCGTTGTTGTCGCCTCGGAAAGCGTCAGATTGAGAAGATTATGATATTATGATACAAAGTCCGTTGCGTAACTATTGTGCCAAGCCACTAACCACATCGGCAACTGATCTACCCGCAAGCTCCACCCGCGGACTATGACATGGTCCAAGCTCGCAAACTGTCAGGGGAAGCTCAAGCATCTTTGAGGTCCTGGCTTATCACTCACTTTCTCCCATACACACATCCAACCCGCCCTCACACCACCAGCCCTCATCCAATCCATCATAACCACAATTGCCTCACCCAACCGTCTCGGCCTTACTCCCACATCAGCCAATGCCACCCCTCGAGCCCTCCCCTTGAACCACACCCCAAACCCAAGTCCGCCATGGCCGAGAGCTACGAGCTCCGCGGCAAATACCACCGCGTCGACAAAGAAGAAGACACACCGCGATCCTCCCGCGAGGCCGCCGCCGGCGCCGACGACTACGACCACTACTCCGACGGCTCAGACCTCGACGACTTCGACCCTCTGATCGACGAGCACAAGCGCACCACCAGCACCACACGGCCCACATCCTCGCGCGGGCGACGGGATGCCAACAGCAGCAACAACAATGCACGCGAGCTGTTCACGCCGCGGCGCTCAGCATGGCGGCGATGGCTCGTGCCGGGGCGCATGTGCTGCTTCGTGACGCTGCTGTTCGTGGGGGCGGCAGTGCTGGTCATAACGGCGGGCGGGATCTGGGCGTGGAAGGTGGCGCCGGCGCATGGGCAGAGTGAGGCGTGGTATCCGAGTCCGGCGGGGGGCACGGTGGAGGCGTGGGCGGACAGCTACGCGAAGGCGGCGGAGCTGGTGCGGCAGATGACGGTTGTGGAGAAGGTGAATGTGACGACGGGGGTGGGGTGGATGATGGGCATGTGTGTTGGGAATACGGGGGCGGTGCCGCGGTTGGGGTTTGGTAGTCTTTGCTTGCAGGATGGGCCGTTGGGCGTGCGGTATACGGAGAATGTGACTGCGTTTCCGGCGGGGGTTACGGTTGGGGCGACGTGGGATAAGAGCTTGTTTTATAATCGGGGCAGGCTGCATGCTATTGAGGCTAAGGCGAAGGGTGTCAATGTCCTTCTTGGGCCGTCGATGGGGCCGCTTGGGAGAGCGCCGGGTGGAGGGAGGAATTGGGAAGGCTTTGGTGCGGATCCTGTTCTGCAGGGTATTGCTGCGAGGGAGACGATTCGCGGCATTCAGGAGCAGGGTATCATTGCGACAGCAAAGCACTGTAAGGCTCTCCAGTTGTGGAATTGACATATCGCAGCGTGCTAACAGGTGTGGACAGGGGTCGGTAACGAACAAGAACATTTCCGCCAGTCCTGGGAATGGGGCACGCCCAACGCCATCTCTTCAAACTTCGACGACCGTGCCTTGCACGAACTGTATGCCTGGCCATTCGCAGAGAGTGTTCGCGCTGGTGTGGGCTCGGTGATGTGCGCCTACAACCAGGTCAACAACTCCTATGCATGCCAGAACAGCAAACTCATGAACGGCGTGCTGAAGGACGAGCTTGGCTTCCAAGGCTTTGTGCAATCAGACTGGCTGGCACAGCGCAGTGGAGTCGCCAGTGCTCTTGCTGGGCTTGACATGTCCATGCCTGGCGATGGACTCCGATGGACGGATGGCAAGCCGCTATGGGGCGGTAAGCTCACGCAGGCTGTTCTCAACGGGAGTGTGCCTACCAGCAGACTCGACGATATGGTGACACGCATCGTAGCAGCATGGTATCAGATGGGCCAGGACAATCAGGACAAGTGGCCGCAACCACCCGAAGGCGGCCCCAACTTCTCTTCGTGGACAAACGAAGAAACAGGCAAGATACATCCGGGCAGCGATGACGAGACGACCGCCGTAGTCAACAAATTTGTCAACGCCCAGAAAGTGGATGACCCCGTTGGGAATACACACGGTCAGCTTGCACGTCAGGTTGCTGCTGCGGGCCATGTTGTCCTTAAGAATGAGGATGATATCCTTCCCCTCCCACGCAAGGGGTGGAATGGCGACGACGTCGACGAGGGGGTGAAATCTCGCGTCGGCATTTTTGGTGAAGATGCTCGTGTCAACGCGAATGGACCGAACAGCTGCAACGACCGTGGCTGTAACGAAGGAACTCTTGCTCAGGGGTGGGGCTCAGGGACTGTCGAGTTTCCCTATCTGAGCGATCCGTTGTCTGCCATACGAGACGCCTTTGACGAAGACACCGTCTACGTGACTAACTGGCCCAAGAACGAGCTGCCGAAGAAGGAGCGACAGATTGTCGAGGACCAGGATGTGTGTATCGTCTTTGCCAACGCCGACGCTGGCGAGGGCTTCATCAAGGCCAACGGAATCGCCGCCGACCGAACGGACCTGCGCCTTCAGAAAGGTGGTGACCAACTAATCAAGGAAGTGTCGGCAAGCTGCGGCAAAGGCGCCGGAAAGACAATTGTCGTCATCCACGCCGTCGGCCCGGTCATCATGGAAGACTGGATCGACCTGCCCGGCATCTCGGCTGTAGTTATGGCACACCTCCCCGGCCAAGAATCCGGAAACGCTCTCGTCGACATCCTCTTCGGCGACGTCGCCCCCTCTGGTCGCCTCCCCTACACCATCGCCAAATCACTCGACGACTACGGCCCAGGCGCCCAGATCCTTACCTTCCCCAACCACCCAGTTCCACAACAGAACTTCACCGAGGGCCTCTACATCGACTACCGCTACCTTGATAAACATGACATCGCCCCGCGCTTCGAGTTCGGCTTCGGCCTCTCCTACACCACCTTCACCCTCAACAACCTCCTGATCGCACCCCAAGGGTCCCGCGGCCTCCTCCCCGCTCCTCGCCCAGACGCCCTCGCCCCCCCTCATTTTGACACCACCCTGCCCAGCCCGTCAGAAGCCCAGTTTCCAACTGGCTGGCGCAGACTCAAGAAATACATCTACCCCTACCTCTCCCCCTCCGACACCATCGACACATCCCCCTACCCCTACCCAGACGGCTACAGGACAATCCACACACCCTCGCCCGCCGGCGGCGCCCAGGGCGGCAACCCAGATCTCTACACCGTGGTAGCCAAGGTCTCCCTCACCGTCACCAACGCCGGGCCCCGCGACGGCTCCACAATCGTCCAGCTGTACATTACCTACCCGCCCGACTACGCCGACGACGAGACGGGCGAGCCCGTGGATTTCCCCGTCCGCGTGCTGCGCGCGTTTGAGAAGGTGCGGGTCAGTAAAGGGGGCCGCACGGGCGTGCACATGGAGTTGACGCGTAAGGATCTGAGCTATTGGTGTGTGCGGCGGCAGAATTGGGTGTTGCCGCAGGGCGAGTTTGGGGTTGAGGTTGGGTTTTCGAGTCGTGATTTGCCGGTTAAGGGGGTGCTTTGAGGGGTTTGTGTGTGTGTGTGTGTGGGACGGGGGTGGGATGGATTTACTTCGTGTTATATGTATGTGTTTATGTGTGTGTTCTGTATGGTAGGGTGTGTCATGCGGCTGGTGTAAAAACTTGTTGTAGAATGGAATAGACGTAGACAGAGGCATTGTTTGTAGGTGGTGGATTTGGTTGTACATAGGGTTCTATGAACATGTATCACGTATTCGTTCGTCTGATATTCTATCTATTCCTCTTATGTCTGGGAAAGGGGGAGATGCATATCGTGCATGCGAAGGAAGTCACGCTCTATGCGCACATCTTCTAATGTATTCACCCATGGCCTAACATAGAGGGGGACATCCCATGTACTTAAACGCCGTCCCTACCACGTCTCCGGCCCAAACCGCTCCCCAGGCTTGACAAGTTTCGTGATAGCGCGATACGTCGCGTCCTGCACACACACACACAAAGTCAGCACAATGCATCTCCACACCACAATCATGAAAAAAGGAACAAAACCAACCTTCGTCCGCATCACCCCCTCATTCCCCCACCACCGCGGCCCACCCACACCCGACAAATCCACCGCGCAAAACACCACCACCGTCCCCAGCACAAGCCCGCAATCCAGCGCCGCGGCAGTAACATAATTATACGTATGCCACCACCCGCGCACCCTGCTCCGCAAGAACGCATTGAAGAACAAGCCGACGAGCGCCCAGGCGAAGAACGAGAGCGGCGTGGCAGGCGGCAGCCAGGCCATTGCGCCGAGCATGACGGGCGCGTTGAGAACATGGAGATGGCGCGTATATCTAGCCAGGAAGGCGGGCGTGTGGTGGGCGAGGACGTAGAAAGCGATGGGCAGCAGGGCGCCGAGGAGCCAGTAGTAGTGTACTGCGGTGTATATTGCGGACTGGGAGGAGCCGAACATGCGGGTGGGCCCGACGAGGCCCCAGACGATGCTGTTGGTGTAGAAGGCGGTGCCTTGCGGGCAGGAGAAGCGGGATTTCTGGGTGGGCGTGCAGACGGCTGGGATGTTTGCTAGGGACCAGTTTGTGACTGCCAGCTGGACGAGCGCAGCCCAGGCGGTGGCGACGACCTGGGCGGCAAAGGTGGTGCGGGGCGGGAGCTTCATGTAGTGGCCTAGTTTGAGGTCTGCGGAGAACTTGTTTGCGCGGGCGAGGGTGATGGTGGCGTAGACCTTGAAGATGATGACGGCGACGGGGCGGCCGGGCAGGGCGTGGCCGGCGATGAAGGAGCCGAGGACGTTGAGGGTGAGGACGATGTTTGAGGTGGCGGAGAGCATGGAGGAGGGGATGGTCCAGAGGATGCTGAGGGCGTTGCTGGCGAGGAAGGCCCACCAGGGGGTGTGGGTGTCGAAGGCGAGGCAGAGGGCGAGGCCGGCGGCGAGGGCGGCGGCGAAGATGGCGGCGTACCACCCGTCTGGGACTTCGGGGTACTTGAGCATCATGCGGAGGTGGATGTCTGGGTCCTGGGCGCGGGCGGTGCGGAGGCGGTAGCGGAGTTCGCGGCCGTGGTAGAGGGCGGTGTGGACGAGGACGGCGGTGAGGGCGGCGAAGGAGAGGCCGTAGGAGATGACGAAGGTGGGGGAGAGGAAGAGCGGGGAGTAGGCCTTGTAGGCGGCCTCGTTGAAGGTGAAGTTGGGGCCGAGGATGCGGGAGACGTTGTAGCGGTGTTGGGTGTTGTCGAAGGTTAGGGGGGTGTTGAGGGGCAGGTAGTCGGCGTACCAGTGGCCGGTGTAGAGGATGCCGATGACGGTGATGCAGACGAAGATGATGAGGCCGACGAGGGTGTTGATGTGGGCGAATGTGGGCGCGAGGAGGGGGTCCTGGAGATAGGCTGTGACATATGTCCAGTCGAAGGTCAGGGGGATCAGGGAGAGACCGGTGTGGCCGCCGAAGAGCTGGTTGACGACGACGTTGTCGGGCTTGATCCACGCGGCGAAGCAGAAGACGGAGAGGCCCTGCCATAGTACGCCGGGGATCCAGTAGTAGATGAAGGACGCACATCCGAGATACACGAACCATCTGTAGCGCGATATCTTCCATCCGTTTGTCTCGCTCACGTCTGGTTTCCTCTTGTCGTGGAGGGCATAGAACAGCGAGGTATTGGCGAATTGGCCGGGCCATATCATGGCAGCCGGCCAGACCAGGAAGCGTCGGAAGAAGCCTGCAAACGAGAAACCGAGCAGTTGACTGCTGAGGATGAACAGCAGACCGAACCCCCAGCCGAAGTCGATATTGTACAAGCTCTTCGCCTGGAGCGCGATCAGGGCGTCGGTGGCATAGGCATTGTCGATGCAGACAGCGGACATGATCTGGGACTTGTCAGGGGCAGTACCGATGCTGATCTGCGCATTGCTCACCGTGATAACAGTATGCTCCTTGATGTTGAAGGGGCCCGGATTCAGTGTCCATTTCTGGCCAAAGGTAGTGAATTCGCGCTCAGGAAGCACGCGTGCCAAAAAGCACCCAATTGGATAGACGACTCTATATCCCGATTAGCGAAGATCCCTCCCGCATTTCCTATCCGTGCGAAGACTTGCAGTTGGACCACGATGGACGGAAAATTGATAGCAGGTTGCCTAGCGCGCGCACGCGAGTCAGCTCGATCCGCAATCCGGTCGCATACACATGCGATATCACGTCGACACCCACCTCATGCTCAAGAACATGTTGACACCGCTCGCCACCGTCACAAAGAACAGCCCGAGCACCCACGCCCGAATCGTACTCGCCGGCTCGCCATCATCCACAGCCCGGACGGCAGCCCGCACCTCCGCGTACGGCGAATCCTCCATAAACTCCCTGTCCACGCCCAGGATCGTCTCCGGATCGTCCGAGTTGGCCGCCTCGATCAGCGTCTCGATCTTCTCCTTGTCGAGGTTGGGGTCGTGGGCGTGCGTCTTGACGAACTGCTGCAACTCCTCCCTCGCCCGGTCGACAGCGGGCGCACTGCTACTGTTGCCGCCGCTGATGCCATCGATGTCGGCCTTGTTCGCGCCCGTCGAGGTGGACGTGTCGGTATCGGAGGAGGCCTTGGTGGTGCTGGGCTCGATGCTGGTGCTCTCGCGTGTGGCGGGCCGTGGATTGCGAAAGCGAGCCAGCATGTTTGATGCTGACGAAGGAGTTGGAAGAGGCTCGTCAACGAGCCACAACGCACGGCATCCGTTGGGGGGGATGGTTATAACATGATATGAGGGGTACAACGGCGATTATCTAGTTGACTCCCATGATGCTAGCAAAGGCTTGTTAGGTCGTTGCTGTGCCGCACACGGTCCGTGGATCTAGTCGGGTGGGCTTGTGCTTGTGCTTGTGCTTGTTCATGGAATCATGGTGTCTCGGGCGGGGAGGGGGGTCCGGAGAGAGAGAGAGGAGGAGAAAATATGGATACAAATAGGAATAGGAGTGGGGATAGGGATAGGGACTGGCCGAGCAGAGATCTTTTCCCGTTTCGACGTCTCCCGTCTTTGGGCGAGGCTGAAAAGCCGAACCAACATATCCGTCCATCGCTTGAAACAAGTCAGTCATGTCAAGTAATTACAAGCACGAGCACAAAGCACAACTCACAACTTGGGACGGGTGTGGGGTTGTCGTAAGCTCCAACACCAACTACACACTCAACCTCTAGTATACAGAAAACAGGCCATTCCATCAACGTCGCACAAGCAAAATGTACTCACTTCCCCGCCCAACTCTCCACATTCTACACCATATAATACATTCTCATCACATTCCCACTCTCCATCACAGCCAGCACCTCGTTCTCGCCCTCGCCGTTCCCAACCGCGGCTGCTGCGGTCCGCTGACGGACCTCTGGCGCTAACCTTGGGGCTAGAATGCTCCCACCCACGCTTAATCCAACCAATGACTCGACTGCAGTGTGACACAACTATACCCGGTACTGTGGTAATATCTCAAGACTCAAGTCAAACCATCAAACGCCGCATCCTCGCTGTAGTCGGTTATGCACGCACATGTACGGCGAGCCCTATAAAGCTATAGCAATCCCGTCTTCGTCTGCAACGTCGATCTAATCAGCGCGCTGGGGGTTGTCATACAGCAACAACAAACCCTGGCAACCCACCGGGCATGGATGCATATGTCATTGTTCGTATGGTTGATACCTTCGTTTTTCTGGGAATATACATATGTATGTGCTTCCGCGGAAACACAAAGTTATGCTATGCTGTGCTATGCTATGCACCCCTGTCAGGTTTATTTAATTACAAAATACATGTTAATTAGGGTGTTTTCAGTAAAGTAAGTACACACTCGATCGATCACCACAGCTCGGGGCCTCGGGCTAGTAATTACCCCGGGACTTGGGGTGGTACTGTAGCCCCCTCCCCCCAAAATGCTTACAACCCTGGCTAGCTATCAACAGATAAAATTGGAATACTGCAAGCCAATCGGGCTATTCTATCTATCTGTCTGGTGTTGTAGTGTTGTAGCTCTCCCTGTCACCCTTGATCCATCCGTCCATCACTCTAGCTACCTACTGTTGTAGCTACCTAAGCATACAGGTACATATGCATACAATATACAGACATACATAACATGTATGCAGAGCAGACGATCCATGCAGAGCAGAGTGATAAACTACCCTAGCACCCCAGCCTAGGCCGGATAGGCATACCTTTTTTGAGGATGGACCAGACGGCGTAGTGCTAGTTGGCATGTTGTGGTGTGAGAAGACGGTTGTTGAGCAGCAGCAGGGGGCAGGGCAGGGCAGGGCAGGGCAATGCAGGGCAGTTACCTGGCGCTTAATACCGGCAGATCCATCCATCCAGCCAGCCCTATGTTGTGATACTCGTGTGTGACTGTGTTGTCTTTTAGCATCGGTGGTGAGCAGTCCGGCACTTCTATCTGGGTAAAAAGTTTGCCAACAGGAGACTGGAGAAGAATAGACAGACTGAGTAATTACATCGACTGTCGTTTAGACGGCTCTATACATATATCGTACAGACTGGATTATGTGGGTATAGTCTACAGGTACATATATATACATACGCGCGTGTGTTGGGGGGTATCAAATCATGCATCAGGGATCCTCCGGCCAGCTCTCCTCGCACTCGCATCCACAGCCCATCTTACACATTGCCGCCTCGTCTTCCTCGTCGTAATCGGCCAGACACGCAATGTGAGCAATGTGCCCGCATGTCTCGCAGATACTGTACAGTCGCTCCACCTTCATCAAGCACGTATTGCAGTACGGGAAACTCGCTTCGTCGCCCTCTGTGTCCTTGAACACCACCGTATCCGTGTCTACGTCGTGACCATCCTCCGTTGTTGTTGCTGTGTTCGTCGTCGTTGTTGTTGCCGTCGTTCTTGTCGCCGTCACCGTGACCGCCGGAGTCAGAGTCACCGTCAGATTGGAGGCAAGTCCAGAATACTGAACTGATTCCAGTTCCTCATCGCTGAGCATGTCCTCTGACGAGCTCGTCGGCACAAAAGCGCTCGCTTCGGGGTTGAACCGGAACTTCTTTGGACTGAACGTACCGGTGCCCTGAAGCGGTGTCAGTCTGCCGTCACTCCGCGAGCTGCGCAGCCCGTTGATCCCATTCACTCTCGGTGCCATTGTGTGCTTTTTGCCGACCTCAAACTGCAACGATGTTGGCTCCTCGGGCTCCCAGTACGAGTGCAGACCGTTGAATTTGAGAACCTCGCTGCGTGCGACTGGCAGGCCCCACAGCAGGAGCTGGTTGGCGTACTGCTCGCGGTAGTGCACCAGCTTCCATGTCTCCACACGACCGAGCAGTGACGACGACACGCACGCTTCATCATCGAATTGATCTTGGTTCTTGAGTGTGACGCGGATGGCCGAGCTCGAGTTTGCCGCTGCTGTCGACGGCGAATCACCCGATTCCGAAGGCGCAACCTCGTCCTCGTCTCCAGAAAGCTCATCGACCTCATCAACAGTCCCCGACTCGTGCAAATATGGAAAGTACGGACGGCGTTTCTGGCTCGAGCGCTGCGTAGTATTGGAGCTAGAGCTGTAGAAGGTCGTTGAGCCCCAGGTAACGCTGTTGGGAGCCGATGTGGAAAGCTCGGCATCGGCTGTACGAGACTTGCCGGGAGGAGGGGATGCGGACGTCAAGTTTCGGAATGGCGACACAAATGCACTGGCTAGGTAAGCATTTGACCTCCGAGGAAACGGATGCTCTGGAGAAGTCGAGAAAGAGGCGTTGCCGCTGGATTTGAACGTGCTGGTACGTGAGAGCACTGGGGGAGTCACGTTTGTGGAGAATGGAATCAACGGATCTGACAATGGCGTGCTGCCCCAGGGCCCGTTCGAAGACGCTGTAGAGCCATACACATCAAGGTTGGGCGGCTTGTGGAATTTGTCGATCCACTGGGCGACGCTTTTTGAGGATTTGCGACGAGATTGGGTCGTAGGTGTTGACGGTGTCGACGGGCCTGATGGTTGGTAGAGACTCCAAGCGCTATCGTGGGATGAGAAATAGTCCAGGGAGAAAGCTGGCGCTTGCATTGACATTGGTAGTTCGTGGAATTCGGGCTTCCGTAAAGCATGCGGTACGCCCTCTCTTGCAGCCGGCTCTGAGAATACACAAGAAAGCATGGCCAACATCTGTATATCAGCCAGTCGTTCATAGTAATCGAAGAGAGCCGGTATCAGCCAGGATGATGCCAGCGGATGATGGCCCCATTTGACTCGCCCTTTAAGCGTTGGATTGAGAACAGACTCGGCTTCGTCGAAGGCGAGATCAAGACCACTGTCCTTGCGTTTGATGCGTACCATAGCTCGACGTGCGACCACCAGGATAGGTTCCGGGCGATAGAATTGTGGTAGCACTTCTAAAGGAACGTTATTCGCTAATATCAAACTGATCAGTGTCCAGATATCAGCCAGATCATGAAAGCCATGTGATTTTGCGACTTCAGCGTTGTGCTTGCACACCGAAGGGCCATCTCCACACATCTCATACTCTCGTGCCAGTTCCTTCCGCGATGGGAGTAGATCAGACAGATCGTGAGAGGTAATGACTGAACTCTGCTTCAGGGTTGATGTTTTTGGACCGTAGTCGACGCTGGAATGTTGCGATGTTTTGTTGAAGCGAAGCCCATTCCCTTGCCACGCGGCAGGAGCAGGGAACTGACCCGCTATGCCACCCAGATTGGTAGAGCTGTAATCGGAGCTGCTCGAAGAGGCTGTCTCCCAGTCGCTGTCGTCCTCCTCTACATCTTCATCTTGTAGGGAGTATTTCTTGTCTAGCATAGGCGAGCCCGTCTTAAGTCTTCCAAGAGTATCGAATAATCTTGGAGCTTTCGATCTGTCCCCGTGGCGCAGCATGCTTCCAAATATGGGCTTGGGCTCTGGCTTCGGAGGATGGATGTGTAGAAGACGTCCGTCTCGAGTCCATCTCGCACTGTTAGTCCTGGGAATCGGCACGTTGGCGTTGGCATTTTTCATGCCGGACACGTCTGTTCCACTCATGTCGAGATCTCCTCGGGTCTTGAAGTCGTCACCTAGAGGTTCCTCCTCGTCACTGGAACTCTCATCCAATGTGAGACCAGTTTGAGTATCGTTGTCCTCCGAGAAATAGCTGATGCTCTCTTCCAGGTCACGCTCACCTAGCAGGTAACTTATAATTGCTTCCAGAGATCCCTTTTTCCTTGTCCTATACAGCTCAACAATTGAGTGAATCTCATCGTCCAGCTTTGCAATTGTCTCGTCACTGATCGCTGAGGTTGTCTTTTCCAGTTTGTAATCTGGCGCTGCATCCCGCGGATAGTTTGGAGGGAATCGCATAGTAATCCTCACAAACGCTGGCTTGCCTTCGGGCCCCCATGGACCATTCAAGTAGACCGTTGCTGCGCGTCGCGATATGTCGGCCACTTCGAATGACACTTTCTTGAATTTACTGCCCACATGGGTGATCTCGTCTCCCAAGTTCTCGGTTGGGTCAAACTTAGATCCCGCTGACTGTGGCGTCTTTGGCCGGTTGCCATACTTGGATGGAAGAGCCGTATCGCGCTTTCCCATTCTAACTCCTTTCATCCAATTAATGACATTCGGTGCTCTCAAAGTGCGGTTCATCATTTGCATGCCGGATCCACCGCCAGGAAGTGGGAATGATACCGATGGCAAGACCTGTGCGTTCATATACGACGAGTATTGCTCATTAGCGTTCGCCGATTTAGGGTGGAACAACGCCGTCAAATGGCTCTTTGGTTGGACCGTAGCGTCTTCAGATTCTGAGCGCTGCAGTATGGGCCTACGGATTGACTCTGTGGCAAAAGTGCGATATGCAGCGTTCTTACGGGTCTGACGAATGTTATCATCTGTTTTTCGTCCTTTCTCGTAGCCAATGCTCTTCAGGATCTCTGGTTCCATTTTATGCAATTGTAGATTGCGGTCACGCCCCCAGGACACAAGTTGAAACTCGCGATTGTCGATTCTTTCGACCTCGTCAAACTCTCCCCTTGTGCGCCATAAGAACTCTTTGATATTGTCTTCGTGTCCAGAAAAGGAATGCACGGGCTCAATCTTGGTACTGTTAGGTTGCATACTTTCAGTTCGGAGGTCGTACATGTGAAGCTCCGTACTTCCACGTTGCGGCATGGCAAGGAAGCCCGAACCAAATGGCGTATGGCGGGCTCTCCACACAGGATACGGTGTATGAATGATACGTTCGGCTTCTGGGTTGTCCCCTGGGCCGCAGAGAGAGTAATCCCAAACCTTTATGGTCTTGTCCAGGCCACATGTGAGGATACCAGTTGGGCTAGCTCGGTTCCAATCAATGCCATACACTTTCGTGGCGTGCGCACAAATCTTCTTTAGGGGTTCTGCGCCCTTCCTTCGATCCCATATATGCAAATATTGGCCGTGGGAGGAAGCCACGATGTTTGGATCTTGCCTGTTCCATTTCACCTGCGTTGCGCCAGAGTCCCAGGCTGCGAACTTGGCGACCGCGCCGATTGATGAGCCCTTGCCGTCGAAAGACAGAACCGCATTCTGACGTTGTCGTAGATCCCAACATATGACAAAACTGTCCACACCGCATGTAGCCAGGAGATCCTGGTGATGAGCAGAGAAGTTGATGTCCGTTATCGCCCCATTGTGCGCGCGCAGGACATGCTCGATGGGTATGTTCGGGCCTGAGAGCGCAAGGTTCCAGACAATCGCTTTCTGGTTAGATGTGCTAACAATCCAAGTATCTCTTGAGGCAAACGGACTCCACTGGACATCTGCCACTTCCCAGTGCGAACGGTTAACGATGTAGCGAGGCGGTTGGTAAGGTGAGTCGAGGTCAATAATGTACAGGCCGCCCTTGGAGGCTAGAACGACATCTCGACCGCTCGGGGAGATTGATGCCGCTCCGACATCTTCAGGGACACTGATAGAGACGTCGCGCTCGAACGTAGGGCTATCGAAAGGTGAGCTCAGGGTGCTGCCAGAGCTGCTTCTGCGGTCTCCTGCCATCGCATGGTGAGATTGGGGATTGATGCTCTCTGCGGGTAAGATTAGCGAGGCCGCGCCATCATCGAAGAGCCGACCACTGATGTACCTGGACAGTATGTGTTTCTTTAGTCCTTGGGATTCAGTTCCTTCGCAATTCCTTCCAGGAACGCGCGAGAGTGCGTACAGAGGATGTAGAGGGAGCGCACGGCGCGGAGCCTAGAAGCTCGCGAGCATGGGGCGTTAGTGCAGATTAGGGCCCTAGGACCAGGTAGCAAAGCAAGGATGGCTACGCTTATATCTACATCCTAGGATATAGATAGATAGATATAGATACAGCATAGAGAGACTATATAAGCAATAAGAATGCCATCTACATGCATCGGCGCAGAATAACTATAAACTTATAGACAAGCACGCATTTCGAGTTTTGTGCAGAGGTCGAGGCGAAACAAAGCACACGCCGTAGACCAGCATAGGTATGATTATCTCACTAAAAACATGCTTGAGATGATCATCCAAGATATTGATAATCGAAGCTGTTATATGGAATAGCAATACTTCACCACATATGTCGTGCAGTAAGGGGATTAGAGAGCGATCTCCCCAGGTGTGGCTGGCTCGTGGGGTCAGTGGATTCACGTGGGGGTGGCGGGCTCAGCTTAGACTTTCTGGTGCTTTCGCTTCATTTGGCATCGGCGGGGTGTGACAGCTTTTCAAGATTCTCGTCATCAAACGTCAAGCCCTCGGACCTAACTTCAGCCTTTCACTCCTCATAGGCACGAGGAGCAAGCCGAGACATACACTCTATCTATACGTTCAATATGGCACTTCCCAAGCGTATCATCAAAGAGACGGAACGTCTTATGGCGGACCCGTGAGTATAGCTTTGGATAGCGTTCCGCTCAAAGTGATGCATGAGGACTAAAACGTTTCTGTAGAGTACAGGGCATCGACGCCGTCCCACACGAAGATAACCTTCGTTATTTCGACGTCAAGATCCACGGTCCCTCCCAGTCGCCATATGAAGGTAAGAATCCCTTGACATCTTGAGGCTGCCAGAGAGATTTACGACGAGAAAGAATGCCACAGCGTCCTGACACAGCATAGGAGGTATCTTCAAGCTTGAGCTATTTCTCCCAGACGACTACCCCATGACCCCACCAAAGATCCGCTTCCTGACCAAGATATACCACCCAAACATTGACAGACTCGGCCGCATCTGCCTCGACGTCTTGAAGAGTGCGTAACAACAATGGACTACCTACCAATCTTTGCAGCAGGGCACTGATGCTCGTTCATCTAGGTAACTGGTCCCCCGCGCTGCAGATCCGCACCATTCTTCTCTCCATACAAGCCCTCCTCGGCGCCCCGAATCCTGACGATCCGCTTGCGAACGACGTCGCACAACGATGGAAGGAAGACCAGAATGCCGCCATAGAGACGGCACGAGAATGGACAAAGCAATACGCAAGCCCATAGTCCTTGCAGAGTAGATGTCACGAGAATACAGGATGGGAGCGGTTCGCGATACGTGGAATGCGATACGAAGCTAAGTTAAGCACAGGATGAACGCCCGCCGTTCAGGTTTTATGGATTACGAGCTAGCACGTACGAGAGCAAGGGGCACGAAAGTCTCTATAGGGCGTCGCGTCAGGCCCAGCTTTGTGGTATACGGTCTCTTTGGGGATTTCTGATAGATGGTTAGCGAATCACTTTTCAATGCACCGCGGATGCCTCGAACAATGAGCAGGTACATCGTGGCTCAATTGTACTCTGCAAAAGTGTCGTCTTCCTCCTACACATTATCAGATTGGCCTTGGCACTGCAAAACTGCCGCGCTTCATCGATGTTGCCTGCTTGCCAAACCTGCTTTGCTCCACGAAGCCAACGGCCCGGCTATAGGTATGTGTGATGAGACCGGCATAGTGTGATGAGACCGGCATAGTAAAGCAGCCAGAAGAAGAGCTGTGAAACCAAACTCGACCCATCTCCAGCGATCGTGTCTTACAGTACACGCCGGCCTACAAAACAACCTGCACTGCTTGACCACCAATAACATCTCAAGAATGCTCAAACGCGTCATGTTTTCATATCTAATCTCGGCTCTCCAATTTATAAGCTGATCCCTAATCTCGTCGCGACCACAGGTTCTGAAGGTGTCTCCGAGTTGCGACTATCTGTAAGATCAATCAGTCAGTCAACAGCGTTGTCTTGGTTTGCAACAAGCGGATAGTTCAGATTCCGTTCCGGTCAAGCTTTTGTAAGCATCGGCACGAGTGGCTTGGGCTTTCAAATCCGTGTTGCGTTTTAGCGCGGACTCTACATCAGGATCGGACATGTCGGAAATCACTAGGATATACAGCTTTCGCTAGCGGCGTTGGATTAGAGTACTGGCGCTGTGGCTAGTAAGCAACTTAAAGTAGTTATGATTGCTCTGATCGTACTAGCGTGTATGTATAGTAGATCGCGCAACCCCCTGTGTCTGTGTAAACATCCGCATGTTGGCTGCCCCTGCATTATTGGCCTCATGATATGTTTGCATAACTTTACGTTGTGTGTAGTGTATGCCCTAAGTAGAATTGATTATGTATGATTTTTTGGGAATGCTCTCATTTTCTTGTCGATCTTGTATATAAAGAAGCAGCTGTGCGCAACTATCGCTCTTTGTTTCGACTGCTGTTCAGACTCACTCACCTCCCTCACTTGCGATTATCCAGTCAGTACATCTATCGTCCGACGAGATATCGATCATATAACCGTGCAGTGTGTCCGTGGATCGAACTCGACTCTGCCGGGTGGAGTTCCGCAAGCATAATTCCAGACACACGAGCACCCACCTCCGTCATCCACCTCATTCCCTCCCCCAATCTTCCCACAGCAGCGAGACCGAACAAACAAACGACACCATGGGCGAAAAGAACATCGTCATCCTAGGCGGCTCCTGGGCCGGCATCAACTCCGCCCACTACTTCCTCAAGAACGTCCTCCCCAAGCTCCCCCAAGACACCACAACATACAAAGTCTTCCTCATCAGCCCATCCAGCAAATACTGGCACCGCGTCGGCGGGCCCCGCGCAATCATCTCCAAGACCGCCCTGCCGCGCGAGAAGCTGATCCAGGACATCCCCTCGCACTTCACGCACTACCCCGACGGCATCTTCACCTTCATCGAGGCCACCGCCACCGCCCTCGACACCGAAGCCAGAACAGTAAACTACCGCCTCACCACCACCACCAGCGCCACCGAAGCAATCCCCTACCACGCCCTCCTCATCGCAACAGGCGTAAGCTCCCGCTTCGCCCCCTTCAACCACCTCGCCGACATCACCGTCCTCGAATCCGCCCTCGACCAAACAAGCGCCAAAATCGCCTCCGCATCCACCATCGTCATCGCCGGCGGCGGCCCCGCGGGCGTCGAAACAGCCGGCGAAATCGCCTCCTTCAAAAACGGCGAACCAGCCTGGTACGCAGGCACAAACACCCACCCCACCGCCAAAATCACCCTCCTCACCTCCGACGCCAAGCTCCTCCCCTTCCTCCGCCCCGCCCTCGCCCAGCGCGCACACCGCTATCTCGCCCGCCTAGGCGTAACAGTCACCTACAACACCCGCGTCGAATCAACCACCGACTCCGCGGCCGGTGATCAGACTATCATCAATCTCTCCTCCGGCGAGCAGATGACCGCGGACCTGTACATCCCTGCGCTAGGCGTCGTGCCGAATACCGCCTTTGCGCCCCCGCACATCCTCACTGCGCAGGGTAAGATCAACAGCGACAAGGCGCTGCGTGTCGTGAGCGCGGGCCCGCGCGTGTATGCCGTCGGCGACGTGGGCGCGCATGTCACGCGCGGCGGCATCATGGCTATCGCGGCGCAGGTCCCTGTTGCTATGACGAATCTGCACCGCGACTTGCTGGCCTGTGCTGCCGCGGACGGGGACGAGAAGACGGGTGTTGTTGCGACGGCCTCGGGCCCGGATCGTGTGTATGAGGAGGATATGCGGGAGAATCAGAGTGTGCCGGTGGGGCGGGGGAAGGCGGTTGGGGCGTTTGGCGGGTGGAGGATGCCGTCGTTTATGCTGTGGCTGGTGAAAGGGAGGGATTATTTGTTGTGGACTGCTGGGATGCAGTTGTCGGGGAAGGCGGCGGGGGAGAGTAAGTGGACGCCGCCGAAGAAGTAGGAGGTGTGGAGAGTGGATGAGTGAAAGGAGGGGGCTGTCGGCGGTAGACGCCGGGATGTGTGTTGAGCGAGTGCTTTGCGGGATGAAGGGTCCCGTGGGTTTTTTTTGTTTTTTCTGGGATTTATGTAAAGCATGTTTTTTCTGAGCCGAGTCCTGTATCTGTTGGTTAGAGTGGGATCGTATAATAGGGTTTATAAAGGGGAGAGCTTGGGTGTGTGTGTTTTGATAAATGAATCCACTTAGCTTGAAGATGGCCTCCTAACTGCTTTGGTCATAGTTCCAGGTTTTTTGTTTGACGCATGAGTCCGTTCTCATTCCAGTCATGCCATCCGTGTACACTCTCTCAACGTCACTAGATCCCTTGAGAATCCTAGACGACACCACCGTCTCAGACTCACCATTAGGGGTACATCAAAAAGCATAGAGGACAGCGAAACAGTCCAATAGATTCTACATAGCATGCATGCATGGTATCCAACAATAGCTCCGAGAGCCCTTGCCTCCCTTCTGCGGAGCGGTCATGAATGTATCTCTACCCACCATCTATGCCTCGCCTACAGTTTCTCCTTGAGCTCCTTCTTCAGCCTCCGCTCGACGGCGTCCATGTACTGGGTGGTGGTGACATAGTCCTTGCGCTCCTTCTTGCCGCAGCTAATAGCCAGGTCCTTGGTCATGATGTTGTCGACGTCCACGGTGTCGATGCAGGCGCGCTCGAGGCTCTCGGCAAAGGCGACGACGTCTGGCGTCTCGTCTAGCTCTCCGCGCTTCGCGAGGCCTCTCGTCCAGGCAAAGATCGAGGCAATGGGGTTGGTGGAGGTTTCGTTGCCCTTCTGGTGCTCGCGGTAGTGGCGCGTGACTGTGCCGTGGGCGGCTTCCGACTCGAACGTCTTGCCGTCAGGGGTAATCAGGACGGAGGTCATGAGACCTAGAGAGCCGTATCCCTGGGCGATGATATCGGACTGGACGTCACCGTCGTAATCTGATGAGGTGTTAGCATCACCAACACGCATGACGTACGGATCTTCGACACTCACTCTTGAGGGCCATGAGGAAACCGCCCTCGCTCTTGATCATTTGTGCGACCATGTCGTCGATCAGGCGGTGCTCGTACCAGATATTGTTGGCCTCAAAGTCCTTCTTGTACTGGTTGTCGTAGATGTCCTGGAAGATGTCCTTGAATCTTCCATCATACGCCTTGAGGATGGTGTTCTTCGTGCTCATGTACATGGGGACCTTCTTATCCAGAGCGAGCTTGAAGCTAGCGTGCGCAAATCCAGCTATCGACTCGGCAGTGTTATACTGGGTCTGAGCTACACCACCTCCCTCGCCGAAATCGAAGACTTTGATGGTCTCTGGCTTGCCACCCTTTGGTGTGAAGGTCATCTCGAGCGTACCGGGTCCATCGATGACGCGGTCCTTAGCCCTGTACTGGTCTCCAAAGGCATGGCGTCCGACGATGATGGGCTTCTTCCAACCGGGCACGAGGCGAGGTATTTTGGGTATCACAATTGGTTCTCGGAAGACAGTGCCACCACTGGTGCATGTCAGTACAGGTATAGCAAACCCAGGTGCGTTGCCTACAGGATGTTTCGGATTGTGCCGTTAGGAGAAAGCCACACTATTGCCCTGCATTAGCGAAGCTCATGAGGCTTAGACATAGCTATACACACTCTTCTTCAGGTGGAATTCCTTCACACGGGCTTCGTCTGGTGTGATTGTAGCGCATTTTACACCCACAGAGTACTTCTTGATTGCCTCCGCAGCATCGTGGGTAACTTGATCCTCCGTCTGGTCTCTGTATTCAAGACCCTGTCCAAGCGTCAGCAATGCGGCTCTTCTCCGTCTTACAGTCAGATCTTACTAGATCGTAGTATTTGAGATCGACATCCAGGTATCTAGCCAACGGGTCAGGTCAGGTTTCGGCTCACGAGCAGTGTTGTGTCGAAGAGATATACTCACGGATGGATGAACTGTAGCATGTGTCAGCTCATGCTCATAGCAAGCCATAGTAGGCCATGGCAAGCCACAGCAAAGTACATACCCTGTCCTTGATGTCCTGCCAGATGATGCGCGTCATCTCATCCCCGTCGAGCTCCACGACGGGGTTCTTGACCTTGATCTTCTTCACAGTCGCCATATTCCGAAACTGTACGAAGCTCAAGCTTCCAGCAGCGTTCACAGAGGAGGAGGAGGGTAAAGCAGCTCGTACGTAGGGTGTTCGGAAGTGCGGAATAGCTCCGGTGGTCTTGCAGGAGGAGATGAAGCGGGCAGCGGTGGCGGAGGAAAGTGGGCGCATAGTGGGAGAAGAGAAGAAGAAGAGCGGTATGGAGGAGTAGTATGAACCCTTAAAAAGAGGCGTGCTGCGACGTCAAACGTTTGCGCACCGGGTGCAAAATCCTTGAGAGAAAATGGATACTACCGGTACCTACACACGGGCGCGCCGGCCGGGTGCGTCAGCGAGGGTGGATACAAGTCATTCTGCTGCCTCTCGGCTTCGATGGATTGGCGGGGCAGCTTCGCCCGAGGTCTAGTAATGCAGCGGGCTATTGATGGCCTGTGTCGGCAGTGGGCATGACGGGAATAAACTCACTAACAGCGTTTCGAGTGCGTAGTAGATTCGTCACTCTTTTGGTGTATATCGTTCGGCCAGCTTCAAGTCTTGAGCATAAGGTTATCGCGGAGAAGATGACAAAAGGTTGTATGTTTGTTTGTTATGCATGTGTGAATGAATATATGTTCCACTTCCCCAGACGTGGACCTTTCTCCGCATTGGCACTCTGCCTTGTACCACCTTCCCGTTCTGCCGGTAAACAACACCGGGGCCGATACTTGCTATCATGCACACTCATGCCGCTTATGCCGTCCTTATACGAGAGTTTATTATGCTGATATCACGAAATTTCCAACATTTTGCTTCAATCTGCTCACTCTGAATACGCAGCTGGTCACAGTAATTGAGTTCGCCTAGCTCTCTCGTTTACTTCACGGTTCCAGTCAAAATAAAGAGCCGGCCGATCCACCGTCTACTGCTTGGAGAGATATCACACTTGCAGCTCCATCAACATATGAAACGACAAATCTACAGTAATCATGCAGTCCGCGTAGGATTGGCCGTGCAAGTGGTGCCAGGTGTTGGCCCGAGAATCGTCGTTGTTGGAGCAGTCCCGCCAATCCTCTCGACCTTCACCAAAGCCGGAATCACGGCGCCAGTCACGAGTCCAAACGGAATGTGCCTAATCACTCTGAGGATGCTCCCGATGGCTCCAGAGTGACTCGAGACCGCAATGAAAGTGCCATCGTCATTCGTGAAGATATCGTCCAATGCCTCCTTCAGACGCTGTGCCCGAGCGGAGTCCGTCTCACGGAGAACTGGTTCCCATAGCTTGTCGTCCTCGGAGAAGCCCTTCTCGATGTGGAATCCGGGGTATGTTTGCTCGATGTAGGTCTTGCTGCTACGTCTGTCACAAGTGTGTCTGCCGATGGCCTCTCGTAATTTCTCTTTGACCACCGGCTTGAACTTCTTGTTGTGAGGCAGGTCCAACCCTTCGTAGGTGATACGCGCCGTCTCAAGGCATCTAGTCAGTGGGCTCGAGTAGTACGAGTCTGGCGCTGGGATGCCAGCATTCTGCAGGGCATTGACCCAAAACGCATGAGCGATATTGGCTTGGTTGATACCGTTTTCCGTCAATCTGGCGTCGGCCCAAGTACTCGTGCCGTTCCCATCCTGTTGGGCCCAGTAACACTATCACCAACGTTAGAAATCATGCATGATAGAAGTCAGCAACCTACGCACATCCCAGGACGGCGTTCCGTAGTAAGTCTCGGCGACATTGTGAAAGCCTTCGCCGTGTCGTCCCATGATCAGAACTTTATACTCGACGTTATTGGGGGCTTTCTTGTTCAATGACTTGACATAGTACTCGAATCGCTCCCATTGAGTCTTCTGTGATCCACACTCTTGATCAGTGTCGTAAGTACGGTTGATGAGGCCTAAATTGACCTTCGTCTGGGACTCGTCAGACCAAAAAAACCACTAGAGCTTCATATAGATCATGAATCTTACGTAGTCAAATGTGCTGGAGACTGTCTTTGGATCATCCTGCAGAAAGAACCCTGAGATGGTCGTATAGTCAATATACGAGTCCTTCTCGTGGCCTCCATGTGGCATAGGCGACGGAGAAGCTTCTGTTGTCATACTTTGAAAGGCTGTCAGGGCGAAGAAGAACGCAAGGCTAAGTGATCTGATAGCCATCGCAATATTATGTCAGCGTATCGAACACGTCAGATGCATAAAAGACCTTGAATTTCGGTCACACACCAGAAGGATAAGGGACGTCAATGAAAGCGCAATTTGCGAGAGATGCTGTATATGTAAACGAACCTACGCGATGATCGTAGCGCTTCTTAACCCATGCCGTGCGCGGAGATGTACTCTAGAAACATCGCTCATTCCGTCCCTTCAGTTTCTAGATCGCGATTCGATGAGACCGTTCCCCGGGTTGAGTACAAGCGAACGGCGATGGTGGGCCAATAATAGGGTGCACGTGTTTTACCGAGAGCCTAAGGCCACACTTGACAGCCATCCGTGGATTCGTACAACTTCCCTATAATAGCATGTGGTTTGGGGACTGGTGCGCGGACTTCATACGTCGTTTCTACAGAGCGCTTCTTCGTGCGCGGTCGCATTCGGATCCGCAACGCCTCTGCAACCTAAATATCTACGATCGATACAAAACCTACCAACGCCTGTCAATGCCAATCGACCCACACCTCATAGGCTTGCCTGGGCCTGCTCTCGTTCCACCTCATACATGAAATCGAAGTAGGGCTTATCAAAGTGATGGACCCGCACGTAACCATCTTCCCCTCCACTGCAATATCCCGTTCCTTTGGGGTGCACCGCCACGTAGTTCAATGGACCGAAATGTCCCCTAACGCGTCCAATCTCCTCCATGAAGATCTTGTGGTAAAATCTGGCTTCGAATTTACCCTGTCGAGCACTTGTGGTTGTGACATCCATTGCAGCTTGACCTCCGCCGAGAATTACATAATCCTTCACGGGTGTAATGGCCGCGCTGTTCAGAGGAGTGTCGGTCGTGTACGATTTGAGAACCTCGAGTTCATTTGTTGACACCAGTTTGGCAGTTTTATCTTTCGAAGATGTGATAAAGTAGGTTCGGTCGGGAGCCCATTGCAAGTCCGTAATTTGCATGTCGTCCTCGTGTACTTGAATGTTGTGTAGAATCTCTCCACTCTATGTCACATTGTTAGTAGGTTGCTTAATTCGTGTCCAGCACAGAATAGTACCTTTGCGTCGTATTTTGTCACCGAGCCATCTTCATGCCCTGCTATGATATACTTGGCAAGATAACTGAAGCCCGCGACAGTTGCCTTGCTCTCGTCGCAAACAATCCGTAGACTTTGCTCGTTGGTTTGTTCGCCTTCAGGATCCGGGTTGACGTCAAAGACGTGGATGGCTCCGAGATGTCCGGAACGCTTCTCCATCACAGCGAGAAGCTGCGTTCCGTCTGGAGAGAATTCAACACGCTTGATGGCGGTAGGGAAGTCCCATGTCTTCAGTAATTTCCCGCTCTTAACCTCCCATAGTCTCAGAGTATTGTCGGCGCCTCCGCTGGCAAGTAGCGTAGTCCTCGAGTCGACGTCGACTGTCCAGAGCGCTCCCTGATGCCCATGGTAGGTACCTGGTATATAGTCAGATGTTAAAGTATAAGATGATTTGGGGAATCTCACCCAGGCGTTCACCGTTGGCGGAAAACCATGCGCAAATGACGTGATCCTTCGAGACGGAGAAGATGATGTCTCCATCGGAATTGTATTTTACTTGTGTCAGAGCACGCTCATGCCCGGAAAGTAGTATTGGCCTCATTTTGCTTGGAGTGTGCAGCAGTGGTGAGGGCTTGATGCTCTTTTCATAGCGGGGATGATAATGCCAAGAGTCCGTGCAATTTTGAGTGTGTGCCTGTGGCGCGTGCGCGGTTCGGTGTGGCTTGCGGTCTCCATCATCTCTCACATGCGAATACGTTGTACAGAGTTACGCATGGCTACGGAGGTCAAGGCTTTTCAAGAGAAGAGTGGGAGATTCAACACTGATATAGGATGTGTAGTTGTCATATTCAGTGGTTTCTACAAGCTCATCGTGCGGTTATTATTGCCTGGAAACCTTTGCTCTAGACAATCCCAACTTACGATCGCGATTGGGCGAACCTTTTGAGGACCACTGACACTGGGTCGAAGCGAACAGTTTGTAAATGTGCTGCATAAGTTAAGCCCCAACCAAGTAGGTAGGTTGACAAGGACTCGTCCAGCCATTCCAATTTCGCGTATTCCCATTGAGAATAACTTTCATCTGTGTGTGCCCACGTCCCTCTGCTCCCGGTCAACTACAAGTTTCCATTAGCTGTCCAAAGATGACAAAAAGCTTCTCAGCCTTTCGACGCAATGCGGCCCGGATTCTTTCGTCAGCGTCGCATCTCCTACCAAAAAAGTCCGGGTGGAAAAGATTCCTCTGCGTCTTCAACCACGCATAATCATAGCATCCCGAGGTCCGCAGAAAGGCTTCTACATCGTGCCGACAAACATGAAGACCATCAGACTCTCTTCTCTCTGCGTAGCACGCAGCCAGCCCACAAATCGAAGCGTGACTCGGTAGATAAGGAAAGTCCTTGATACCTCCCTCTTGCAGGATCGCTTTTAGATTGTTCTCCCATGCTGAGAAAGCCACCGCACGTACTGCTGGCGGAGCATGTGTGGCATTCGAAGTCGAGTGTCCAAGACATCGCGCAGGAAAGTAGCCTGTTTTGCCTGTTAAGGTCCTACCAAGATACCAAAGGTTTGAGCTCATTTGCAGAACTTCGATTGTCTCGCCCACGTGCAGGTCTAGCTCCCTTGGTTCCCGTTTCATGTGTCGTCTCTTGATGTAGTAATAGTGGCCAGACAAGCCCTCGCCAGGGTGAGAATTACCGGGATCTGCTTCCTGGTGGTCATAAGACGCGAGCAATTTTTCAGCCTCCTTGATACCTTGAGAGATTCCCATAAACGATTTACCAACCTCAGTGCCACCTTTGGTTCGCGAAATTATGACAAACTTGTCCTTGAGACAAGGTGACATGTACGCAGCCTACTCGGCGTTAGCATCTTTTCCTGACCGGCATGCTAGGATGTACATCTTGGACAACTCACAAGTATAGTTTCGGCAGAGAAATCACCGAGTTCTGCCCAAAGGGAAACCCAAGTATCTTTCAGCAACGAGAAGGATTTTGGTATGTTCCAGACGGCTTCGCCATCATTTGCGGCAAGATAAGCGTTGTCTGTACCCAATGCTATGAAAGCTGGCGGCCCTCGGGTCCAGCATATACCGTCGTACCACCTCGCTAGAACTGAGCTCAGGTTCTCTGGGATGTCTTTACCGTAAAGCAGAAGCGGGTTCGCACTGTTCCACATCACCCAGCTCTCGTGAACTGGGCCAAGGACGAGACGCAAATGCTTTTTCTCTTCGTCTGGAAAGGTTGGTAGCAGAGTTTCTCGCAGGAATGCAGGCAGATCACCGAATATGAATTCGCAACGCCCAGTTACAGAGCTGTCGTATGAGAAGAAGAACGAGGCATGATTTGGGCCAAAACAGATCCAGTGTACTTGTGTCACCGTGCCAGAATCAAGAACTTCTTCTATATCTGCGGGGAGTAGATTGCTAGGTGTGGTCAGATTATACCGTTAACAGTTGATCCAAAGGATTGTAACTCACAAATACCTAACTTCTTCTTCTGCTACGCGTGGTCTCGTCTCATCGCAAACCTTTGAGTAGAAATAGCGGCCTCTGGGACCTAGGGCAAAGATTGGCGTTCCCATGGTAGTGCCTGAGCAAGTAAGTGCCTCAATTGAGAGCGTGGGAAAAGTCACAAGAAAATCTGATCGTAGCCACAACAACGACGGAGAACAGTTCGCGGCTCACGCGTCGCGAACGCGCAGGCACCATAGACGGTCACCTGCATCGAGGGAGGAGCTCGTGACATTGAGAGAACCTGAGACGAACAAAGCATTGTTTGATTGACTTTGTTCTAGGCCTGTTTCGCAGTGTTACAAGTGAATCTCGCATTTCACAAGTGAAGTCGAACGAGCAGAGAGACCTTACGTCCGCTCCGCTCCACTCCGCCGCCGGACAGACAGCGGACGCTTGGCTTGCTATTACTTCTACCTGAGCTCAGGTTATCCTACTTACCTATCAACCGACAATAAGGTAGTGTCAGATCGTTGGTCTTTCAAATCCCACTGACACTTTTGAGCGATAACGCAGACGATTCATTTGCATCTGCACTAAAATTCAATTGAGACCAACACCGGCACGCGATTCTGGGTACTTTCCGCCACGACGATTTCAGAGCTGACTAGCTAGATTTGTTGGTAATAGTGGATTTTCCGCAGAATTTGTGACTGGACTCACCGGAGTACGGAGACGCGCCACAAAACTGGCATTACTGTTGAAGTATTCTTTTCTCATTGATCCCGGAGCTCAGCAAGAGTCACTACAACATTTTCCGAGGCCAATCGGTTGCAAGCGTTCAACACGCGCAGCTTAACTACTTTGCGAAGATCAACCTATTATCATTATGGCGCGGATGCCGATGAGCAGGCTTGCAGCTGGGTTCGGTCGCCGGTCTTGGAGGGGTAGCACCACCTCACATGTCAGGACTTTTCTGTGTCCCGCAAACGCTCGCACAACCTCAATTCCTTCGACTGCCCTCTTCTCTACATCTTCATGGTCGCGCACGTCTGTTGACCGATTCTTCGTGAACCCTCCGCTTCACAATACTCCTCTACGATCTTTTTCGCACGGCTTGCGCACAATGGCTGCAACCAAGATTGATGGCACCGCCATAGCAAAGAGCATTAGAGAGCGCATCGGCGAAGATATCAAGACAAAGCAATCCCAAAACCCCCGCTTCAAGCCTGGCCTGACAATTATACAAGGTACAAGCATGCTGTCCGCCGGCCAACTCGTATCAATGACTAATATTGATTCCAGTGGGCGATCGCTCTGACTCAAGCACCTATGTGCGCATGAAATTGAAGGCTGCTGAGGAGGCAAACATTAAATGCAAGCTTGACAAGTACGACATCACAATCTCCGAGGCAGAGCTTCTTCAGGAAATCGAAAGCCTCAACAACGATCCTAATGTTCACGGCATCCTCGTGCAGTTGCCATTGCCGGACCACATCAACGAACATGCCGTCACTTCCTCAGTACTGGATGAGAAAGATGTAGATGGTTTCGGCGTAACAAACATTGGCGAGCTTGCGAAGAAGGGCGGGCATCCGCTGTTCACACCCTGCACACCCAAGGGAGTGATGGTTCTCCTAAAAGAGGCAGGCGTGGACGTTGCTGGAAAGAATGCTGTCGTACTTGGACGCAGCGACATCGTCGGAAGTCCTGTCAGTTTCCTTTTGAGGAATGCCGATGCTACGGTCACCGTATGCCACTCGAAGACAAAAGACCTGGAAGCAGTAATTGAGCAGGCTGACATTCTTGTGGCTGCTATTGGGAAACCACAATTCGTAAAGGGCTCGTGGTTGAAGCCTGGTGCCGTAGTCATTGATGTCGGTACGAACTACATACCTGACGAGACCAAGAAGTCAGGACAGCGACTTGTTGGAGATGTAGATTTCGATTCTGCAGTCGATGTGGCCTCGCAGATCACCCCAGTTCCTGGTGGTGTTGGTCCCATGACGGTTGCAATGCTTCTCCAAAATGTTGTGGACTCAGCCACTGCTACTTTCGATCGTGAGAAAGCCCGCCATATCAACCCAATCCCGTTAAAACTGCAAACCCCGGTACCATCTGACATCGCTGTCTCTCGAGCACAACGACCCAACTTGGTGTCTCATATCGCTAAGGATCTCGGAATTCTGAACCACGAGCTGGAAGCATACGGCGCGTACAAGGCCAAAGTCGATCTCAGTGTGTTGAAACGGCTGGAACATCGCCGCAATGGCCGTTATATTCTCGTAGCCGGAATTACTCCCACACCACTTGGAGAGGGCAAGTCGACAACAACCATTGGTCTCACTCAAGCGCTGTCAGCCCACTTGAACAGAATTTCGTTCGCGAACGTGAGACAGCCCAGTCAAGGGCCGACGTTTGGCATCAAGGGTGGTGCTGCCGGAGGTGGCTTCAGTCAGGTCATTCCAATGGATGAGTTCAATCTTCATTTGACTGGCGACATACATGCCATCACTGCAGCCAACAATTTGCTAGCGGCGGCGATTGAGACTAGAATGTTCCATGAGAACACTCAAAGCGACAAAGCTCTGTACAGCCGTCTAGTCCCAACAAAGAAGGGAAAGAGAGAGTTCGTCCCAGTCATGTTTCGCAGACTGAAGAAACTTGGCATCGAGAAGACCGATCCGAACGAACTCACAGAAGAAGAGGTCAACAAATTCGCAAGACTAGATATTGACCCGGAAACCATTACCTGGAAGCGCGTTCTTGACGTTAATGATAGGCACCTGCGCTCAATCACCATTGGCCAGGCACCTACGGAGAAAGGCAACACCAGACAGACAAGCTTCGACATATCAGTTGCGAGTGAATGCATGGCCATTCTCGCTCTTAGCAATGATCTAAAGGACATGCGCGAGCGATTAGGCCGCATGGTAGTTGCTAGCTCAAAGAGAGGTGACCCAGTTACCTGTGACGATATTGGCGCTGGCGGAGCGTTGACCGCATTGATGAAGGATGCTATCAAGCCCAACCTCATGCAGACGCTTGAAGGCACCCCAGTATTTGTTCACGCTGGGCCTTTCGCGAACATCAGTATCGGAGCATCATCGTCGATTGCTGATAAAATGGCTCTGAAACTTGCTGGAACTGAGCAAGACGAGGATCATAATGCTCGTACTGGATTCGTCGTGACAGAAGCAGGCTTTGATTTTACCATGGGTGGTGAACGGTTCTTCAACATCAAGTGCCGCTCTTCCGGTCTGGTCCCAGACACTGTTGTTATTGTCGCAACAGTCCGCGCGCTCAAGGTACATGGAGGCGGCCCACCAATCAAACCAGGCGCCCAACTGGCTGAGGTCTACCGCACTGAAAATATCGAGACCTTAAGAGCCGGATGTATCAATCTGAAGAAACATATCTCCAACGCTCGTCAATTTGGGGTTCCAGTCGTCGTTGCTATCAATCGGTTCGAGACTGATACGGATGCCGAATTAGCCGTCATTAAGGAGGAATCTATAGCTGCCGGCGCCGTAGATGCTGTTCCAGCAAACCACTGGGCTGAGGGTGGCGCTGGTGCAGTCGATCTCGCCAAGGCTGTGATCAAATCCAGTGAACTGCCCAAGCCCGATTTCAAGCTCCTCTACGACCTGGACGGCACCGTGCAGGAGCGTATCGAGAAAATCGGCAAGGTCATGTACGGAGCGGCAGCGGTAGAATTCAGCGAATTGGCCCAGAAGAAGGTGGATACGTACGTGAAGCAAGGCCTAGGAAACCTCCCAATCTGCATTGCGAAGACACAATACTCATTGTCGCACGATCCTGACCTGAAAGGCGCCCCAGAAGGGTTCACGATCCCTATTCGGGATGTGAAGATGGCGGCTGGTGCAGGCTATCTGTGAGTTCTTACCTACGAAGTGTTAGATGTGGTACTAATAGATGAATAGATTTGCTCTAGCCGCTGATATTCAGACCATTCCAGGTCTTCCGACAGCACCAGGATATCTCAACATTGATGTCGATACCGAAACCGGAGAGATTGATGGGATGTTCTAAATCCTCTGATTGTAAGCTGAAAGATAACTGTACATCGACAAAGCATTCAACTGCGGCGCATTTTTCGGAACAGGCGATGTAGGAGTATCTTTACTACTTGTTTGACATTATCATAGAGCATACTTGGGCGCAGTCTACTTAACGTGGGCAAAAAAGATACCAATTAGACAAGACAAGTCGTTTCAGAGATTTTGGTTCGAATGATGGATTCTTGGAATTTTACATAGTTCTGTACAAACAGCTTGCTTTGTCGCTTGTGCAACATTAGTCATGTCTCGGGAGCATGAGATGAATTGGATTTCTCCGAAGTTCAGCAGCAGCTTCGCAGGCACGGAAGGTGCGTGCAGGGCAGCTTCGTTTGCCCTCTTCAACGACAATGACCACCCACATCCAACAAAACTCAAGCTTCGGGACATTGACTATCGACAAATTGACCAGGCTTATCGAAGTTCATGTCAGCCACGTATAATATAATGATTTGGAAACACATTTCCACATGTCCGTTCGCTAAACTCCAGTAGGAAATTCGTATGGCGTGAGGAGCTGTCAACCTGACGAAGACAGGTCCACCGTAAGAAGGTGACGACAGGCTTAGAAAACGGGCGACGATATGTATGTCACCCCCAGTAAATGCAATCTGGTATAAGACTCGCCGAAAACGCCCGGGCTATTGAACGCTGCAGAAAGAGCGAGGTCGCTACGACATCGCGAAACAAAGAGGCTACGATGTCCTTCGGAGCTTGTGGGACACCGGAACGGGTTGATTGACGAAGTAGCCAGTCGGAACAGCACCAGCTCGGTTCGCTAATCTTTCTTCGTATTCCCGAGACGCATTCTTGATGTCCTGAATCTGGGCCTGTGGAATCATGAGCGTCATGAGTAAGGCCTAGGATCTAAACGGTCTTTACCTGTGTCAAGGGAGGTCCAGAAGTGCAAACGAGAAAGCCATCTCTCCCCTTCCGAACAGTCAGTCGGAGTGCCCGACGCCGGCAATGCTCTCAACTCACCTGATATTGGTACGGACGGACGATGGCATCAGAACCACAGTAGTACCGGATTTCGCCTTGGATGACTGCCCTGGAGATGCCGTAGCCGGGGACGAAGTAACTCTGCTGGGCCATTGCGGTATTTAAGAGACGAAATTGCGTAAATTCAGGTCGTGTACTGACACAGGATCAAAGTTTGAGATCCTCAAGAGACGATCCTTGAGGAAGATGTGGTAGGGAGCGAGCCGCTTCAATATCGCAATCGGTATCGATCTGAAGGGAGTGAAGAGCCAGGCTTCGGAATCAGTCTTATACAGCAGCACTGGAAGTGCTGCAATGGACCAACGAGGTTCATCCCTTCATCCAAACCGCTCCACGCTCAGGTATCAATGCCGAAGGATGGGTCCACTGCCAACCCAGCAGGGCGACGAAATGAGGCGCACGTCGGGCTGCTGCAGGTCATTAGGCGATGGGCCTGAGCGCATTGGGCGGCGATTGGGCTACAGTGCACACTCACTCCCCACTGCACCACAACAAACCCCTAAAGGCCCAGCCTGCAGCATCCAGTCTCCAGTGTAGTGTCCAGCCTCCAGCCTAGCAGTGTGTAGTAGTAGGAGGAGGAGTAGTCGGAGTAGTAGTAGTACCTCGCGCCCTGCCATTTGCAAAACACCAGTCGGAAACAAGTCTCAGTAGTCCGGACGCCACCTGATTCGAGCATGATGTCTCTGCTACTCCCTCCTCGTCTCTCGTGTTCGTCATGTTTGGCATGGTCGGCCTGCGTGACATTCGGAACCTTCCTGGTCCTCTCCCGTTGCCAACTCACTCCTGCAGCATTCACAAAGAGGCCGGTCGACACTATATTTCGCCACCATATCTCATCTTGCTATCATGAGATCACTGCTTCCGTCCATCGCTCTCACGCTTTGTCTCCGCGACACTGCTATGGCTGCATCTTTGCGTCCTGGCCCATCTCGCTCGAAAAAGAGGTGCGCGCGCTACCTGTCAAGACAGAAGGGGCGCTCTCGTCGCCGATCATTGTCGTCTCGGAGCAGCCGAGGGAGCGTTGGGCGATCATTGCTCTGACTACGCGACACCACTACACACTACACTACATCACCGCGCATCATCAACAAGGAATGCCTCACTACTCACAACATCGCGCCCGCGACTGCGACTGCTCTAACATCATGGCCCAGCTCAGCACTCGAATCGGTCCTCACGCTCGAAACTTCTTGAGTTTTCTTGGCTCAAGCATGTACCTTTCCACTACCTGCCTGACAAGGTCGTCCACGATAACTTGGCCAATTCGAGGAGCATAGGGCATCAGTGCAGGCGCTGTACTTGTACCACAATCACAGTCCTATGCCGCGAGCTAAGGCCTCTCGGTCCTTATTTTAACGCTGACCACGAAACGCTATTGGCCGAGTACTGCTCAGAGATGGCAACACGGACCTTAGATTCTCGGCTACGTCATGCCATCCCAAACTTTACTCCTTCATAGGACTTCCAGACTCCGTATATAAACTCTGGCTTTGCCCGGGAACCAGGTTGTTGAAATGTCTTTAGCCACACGTCCCTCTCACCACGTATGAGGGATCAACACTCGCTTGTCAGGCATGTTACCAATCACACTTCCTCATATCGGCCATGAGGTCCGCTGAAGCAATGCACATCTACGAGCCTTCCCAGTCATCTTTGCGACACAACAAACTGTCTCCGCAAAGTATGTTGATCGCTCAAAACATCACTCAGATCACAGGTGGGAATTTCATCTAGTGAGCGGACCGGAACACTCGCCTGTCTTTGACCATGTGGCGTCTGGGCTTCGAGCGGACTCGCAAATTCTAGCCTGGGGTCAGCCGATCCTATGTTCCGTATATGAACGACTCGTTGCTGTTGTGTGATTGTCTCAGACGTGGCAGACTAGCCCGAGAGGTGACGACCTTCGACCATCTCACGATCTCGAAGACTAGCACAATCTCACGAAGATCTCATTGCCTTCCGAGGTAGTGTAGTGATACTTGCTTCGTTCCTTTTGGTGCAATTGAGGAGTATCATGGCTCTATTCTAGCGGTCAAGCTGATTGAGATGTGCGTTGTTAATTGCGGCAAGTACGTGCCACGGTGTCGGGGGGTTTGAACATGGGTTCAAAGACAGCATATCCCTGGGTAACTCGACTCGTGCTCTCAGCTCTGCCCAAAGCGCGGACCTTGCCCACTGACCGCTGCCCAAGCCTGGGGCAAGGGCCACGCGCGTAACGGAATGTCTAACCTTGAGATACTATGGCCTTGTCGTGTAAGCACCGTGATCCTAAAGGCCATAAGACTTACATCGAACGCCTACTTCTCTCTAATTCCATAGATCTGATGCGACCACCCAGTCTCACCGACGATTTGACGCAACATCCCTCTCAGGAAACCCTTGTCAATGGAATAATGCCGAGCTCCACCCTGAAGATGCTGCTCCAGATCTCATGCAAGCGATCGCTACCGGACAGGGACAACAAACATGATACATCCCTGAGCTTCATTGTTGGGCTTGGCCTTACAAGGCAGCCTTCCTGTTCTAACGTGGGATGACGGCAATATGCGACTGCTCCCTTCCAAATCACTCAGTGACTTGCCTTATTTCGTTTTGATGATTGTCATATCCAGGTTGCCAGCAGAACAAGCACGTACCCGATCTACATCTGAGAATTGTTGTTGATCTCTGCAAATCTCGAACGGTAAGCTGTGTGTGTTGGCATCTCTAACAAACGACATCTACGGGGGCAACTCTTCCCACGTATCCCTCTCAGGAGATGCAGAAGCCAAGTGTGAGTACCATGGACCCGAATACTTGATCATCGAACGTCGTCATGCATCGGGTGTTGGGTCACAAACCCAGCTCCAGTCCCAAGATATGCTATCGTCGTGTGAAAGGTTTAATCAATCTACTTAGAACCCGAATCTCGACTATCGTGATATTGATGAACGTAGACGATAGCGACACAGTTCATTAGGGACTACGACCGCATAACAATACGTACCCACATCCACTATGGCGGAGAATTTCGACCCCTTTGATCTGGGCTTCCTTGTCTTACCCGTAACACTTGGGTAGCAACTTTCCGGATTGAGAAAAATAGTCTCAACTTTGAATTCATAAGCGTCCAGGTGCGTCCAACATCAGGCTTCATCAGCTACAGATACTCTTATGGGTCAATATGAAATCCCTTCAGGGTCTGTCCCAGTCGATCACAGACACTCGATAATGTTCGGGCTTTCCGAAAGTGGCGCAAGAGTACGCGGATTCTTCTTGACACGAATATCTCCTATGATGACATGCGAAGGATCGTTGGGTGATTCATGCCTAATTGACCAAGCCATCCAACAGGAATGCAGAACCTGGCCTTGATCTGACCGCCTGAAGGCATCCATCTTATCGGCATCCTACCTACACGATTATCGCATTTCGGGGTTTACAAGTACTGAATTAGGTACATGCCGACATACGATGCTCATCGAACGACATAAACAAAGCCATAAGAACCGGACGTGCCACCCTTGCATCGAGCCTCACTTCAACAGACATGGAAGCTGTGTAGCAGCAATACTCCAGTTATATCATACGCCGAGAATTATGCCCATCATGAGCTGCGTTAAAGGAGTTTTCGTCTATCACAGCACATCCTCTTTCGATCGAAGACGAGACTGCTTACGGAAAGTGCAAAAGCCGCTCACCGATATTGTGGCAGCAAGACATCTGCCTGACAAGCATGTAGCAATGACCCACCCGATGCTACAGCATCGATATACTGAAGTCAGGTAGGATCAAAGGCCCTGTACACAATGAGCACGGTGCCTCATCCACAATCGCGGCGACACTCTATCAACCATTCCTACCTCCCACAATCATTGGCCGCCCTGCAAATAATCCACTCCATCATCTACCAAATACACTCATACAAACCACCAAGACACAAATCCCACTCTTCCTTGATCTCCATTCCAAACTCCACATATCATACATATGACACCCCACTCCAAAGTCGCCCTGCATAGCCTTCTTGACACCCCGCCGATCGCCATACCAGCAGCAGATATAGCACCTCATAAACAGCATTCTAGACCTGCGAAGAAGAACCCGTAACTTGACAATAAATAAAATAAGGGTCTTGACTTGCCGATCTGCAGATCCGTCGTTATCGCTCCCTTTAAATGTAGCTGTCATGGCTCGGTTCGTCCTGGTTGCCGGCTAGCCACGCCTCACTTGTAGAGATCGGCGGTCTTTGTGGGATGGGTTTCGGATGATCATTTTCTCTCGGCGGGCGATGGAGGAGCGTCACGAGGTAGGTGGTTTCTAATGGATGAGGGGCTGAGATGGGTTGTTCATTTATGGTTGCCTTTGTTAGGGCAATTGGTTGTCTAGCAGGCAGGGCTCGTGGAAGCGAATAAGGGTTGGACGATGTGTCAACAATTGGCGAAAAATCAGGATTTTTGGTGGAGGTCTGGATTGGATGGGATGATGAGGGAAGTAATGGTGGGTTTGCGCTTGTGGTCGTTCTGTTTTTGACTTGTTGTGTGGTGTTGAGAGCTGGACTTGAGTCGTGGAGGTCTCGTCGAACCCGACCAAAGAACACCACAAGTGTCTCCCTTTCCAACACCGACTATTCGGCGCCTCGAAATGGTTTGAACTGTGTATTCTGCTCCGTCCTACGAGAGACATTACTGTCTGGATCGGAAATGCAGCTTACACGATACGCGATTATTTTGAGCAGAAACTTGCCCGGCGCACTGCATTATCCTATCTTCTGAACACCTCCGCCTGATACAGCATTGCAAACAGACCTACCTCTCCAATGCATCGCTAAAAACTACAGATCTTTCTGTCCCGGAATCACCCGCCTACACCACGAGCACCAACTCCTCCGCTCGCCAGCCTTCTCTCTCGCAAGCGGGGCTCTCTGCCCATCCCGCTCATCCTCAAATTCCTTGACCACCGCCCCAATTCGCTCCATAGTCTTCGTCTTCATCCGCATCCCGCCTCCGACATTCTCAATCTCCTGCACAGTCCAGCTGCCGCCTCGCCACGAACGGCCTGTTCCGTCTCGCTCAACCTGAACGTTTTGTGCGAGTTGCGCGGCCAGCTCGGCGTCGGACGCGTCGCGCTCCTTTTCCAGCGTTCGCGCGGCGAGGCATGTTGACTCGCGCCCACATGCGACGCCCTGGTCGCCTTCGCCAACGCCCGTGCCGAGTCCCCCGAGATACTCGCTGTAGCGCGTGCGCCAGGTCCAGCCGCGATAGTATGTCGTGTCGTCTGAGCGCAGGCTGAGACCACAGGGCTGACAGAGCCAGAGGGCGTCGGCGCAGGAGCATGGCGTGCGCGCGAATGCTTCTACCGTGAAGGCTGGTGGTGTTTCGACGTTTGAGGACACCGGTGTGAGGGCCGGGAGGGGCTCGGGGGACGGAGTGCTGCGTTGCGAGGGCGTGCCGTGCGGGCTGGGAAGGGCTGGTAGTCTGTTCTGGAAGTGTAGGGCGAGAGGGGCTTTGGTGCATGGTGTACAGAGGCGGCGGTGACGACCGTGCATGGCGTTTGTGGGAGGAGGCTTGATGGTGCAGTTCTGTAGGGTAGTATCATCGTCAGCTTGTTGTTCCCCTGCCCAGATTGAACTGTCCCCATCAGCATGATCGTGGGCGTACGTACCCTGCAGACGATCTTGCCGCAGCGTCGACAGTCTCCGACCATGTCTCGCGCACATTGTCCGATCTTCCCGCTCGTGATACGGTGGCTGTACGACCCCAGACTCTGGCCTACCCAGGCACTATGCGATTCGCGAAAGCGATCGGCGAGAGACGCATTGACGGGCTGGTCTTCATTCGCGCAGCGAAGCGTCTGCGTGACCAACTGCCGTCGGTACTGCAGCAGATTGGCCCTGAACTGGCGACAGGTACGGGAGAGATCGTGGAGGGTGTTCAGGTCGATCTGACTTGCGAGCTGCGAGACAATTCTTTTGGATATATGCTATTGTCAGTTTCTGAAATACGACGCGCGAGGCGAAGGCAAAGTCGTAAGGCTCACGGATAGCAGCTCAGCGCGGCTGAGAAGCCATTTATGTTTGGGTTCGGTCGCGCATCGTCTTCTTCTTCTTTTTCAAGGTTGATCTCCTGAAGCGTGCCGCCACGCCGGTGTTCCCCGGGGTGAGGAGGAGGCTCGAGGAGGGAGGGGGTAGAGGGAGCCTCGTCGAGGTCAACTAACACCACCATGGTGCCGGAGCAGAGAAAGAGGACAACGTCTCATCGAAATGGATGTCGAAGTAGAGATCGATGGAGGATGTGGTAGTGGCGGCGCGTTAATACTAGGCAGAGGGGTTGATCGGATTTTGGTTACTGGGCTAAACTCGGATCTGATAAGATTCTCGGCCCCGATCCTCAATCTAACTTGTTATGGCATAACTAGGCTGACCATAACAATAGATGCTCTTTCACATAGACGTAGACCACAATCAATCTCAACGTTTCGCCAGCCCATCTCAATTTTTGAAGCATATAACTGAAGGCATGGCTCTTCTCTTGAAACCCCCACCCTCCACGACCTGTCATACTGTCTGCAATGCGCTTACTAACCAGGATTATAGCGGCGGGGTAGAGCTTGGCATCTCTGGGAGCCCTTCGAGGTCGCCAATATGTCTCAATACATTGCATCTAGCAGTCGAGCGAATAATCGGCAAAAGAGTGGGTGAAACCATCACAGTACTGTAGGCCGTCACCATGCAACAATCCATGAGGCTCAAAAGCATACGATGCATCGTGGAACCCGTTGCTCGTTCCAGGAATTGGAAAATGCACTCTATCAAACAAGTATTGGCCAGAGGGAGTGACATATATCACACCCCCCAGTGCTTGGAAAGGCGCTGCTCAAGTGATACGGTAACAAGGGCCCTGGCAATCTACGCCACAACAAGTGTCTCCGCCGGCGCAGTAAACATGCTTATGAATTCGGTCCGGGCAGGTAAGGATAGCTGGAGTCCACCAAATTGTCTTCTAACACACCATCACTGGATGCTGGACCCAATCATGGCCTTGCTGTTGAGGACTACATTTTGCAGCAAACATGCCAGTTCGTCAACGCGTTTGCCGCCTAGCGTTCTTACATGTATACGAGAGGGATGGATGTGCTTATATATACCTATATCAAGGGCGTGCTGCGCACCTAGGAGTAATTTCTGTTCAGATACAACATGGCTCTCATTCAGCAGCTTTCCGCAAGCAATGCGTGGCAAGTCCTAACACTCCAAAATGTGCTCCTTGTGTTGTTCCTGCTGTTACTCCTTTCAGTCGCCTATCAGGTCGTATACAATCGCTTCTTCCACCCCCTTTCCAAGTTCCCCGGGCCGTACTGGGCCAGTGTGACAAGACTCTATACTGTCTATCATAGTATCGTCGGTGATGCCCACCTGAACGAGTATGAAGCGGTCAAGAAATATGGTATAGACTCGCCATCCATAGCGAAAGTAAAATAAACGTTGACAGTCATAGGTCCGGTGGTCCGCATGTCGCCATCACTCCTGCTCATCCGTGACGCTACTATGCTCCCCGAGGTGTACCACCGATACGCAAACAGATCGCCATTTTACCTGAAGAACATGCTTGGAAAGGGGGAGTCGATCCTGACGACGCGCGATTGGCGCCAACACGCTCAACTACGCAGAGTCGCTGGCGGGGCCTATGCCTTCTCAAACATCAAAAAGATGGAGCCCATCTTCGACGCCAACATCTCACGCTGGACGAAGAAAATGCACACTGACTTTGCCGTCACCGGGCGCGAATTTGACTTCGCCCCCTGGGCAGCATACATGACCAACGATGTCCTCTCCGACGTCGGCTTCGGCGGCTCCTTCGGCTTCGTGTCCCAGGGCAAAGACATCGAGAACCTGATCACCGACTTCCGCGCCGGCCTCACCCCCTTCGGAATCATGTCCAGCCTCTACCCGCTAACCAACTGGCTCCGCAGCACCCGGATCGGCGAACGCTTCCTAATCGCCTCCCCAAACGACAGCGGCGGCTGGGGCAGAGTGATGCACTTCCGCGACCAGCTCATCGCCGCCCGCAGACGCGACATGGCAGCCTCCAAACCCCGCGCCCAAACCGACCTCCTCCAAATCTTCCTCGACGCCCGCGACGACGCCGGCAACCCGCTCGCCGAGGAGCAAATCAAGGCAGACCTCCTGCTCATCCTCCTCGCCGGCGCCGACACCACCGGCACAGCAATCTGCTCCATCCTCGACTTCCTCACCTCCTCCCCCGCCATCTACGCCAAACTCGTCGCCGAAATCGCACAGGCGGAGCAGCTCCACGCCGGCTTCGCAGCTGAAGTCCCCTCCTTCGACGAAGTCACCACCAAATGCCCCTATTTCGTCGCCTGCGTGAAGGAGAGTCTGCGGCTGCGGCCCTCGGCGCCATCGATCTTCCCGCGCGTCACACGCGAGGGCGGGCTCATGGTCGGCGACATACATATCCCCGCGGGCACGGAAGTGAGTTGCCAAGCATGGATCTCGAACCGGGACCCGGAGGTGTACGGCGCGGACGCAGATACGTATAAGCCGGAGCGGTGGCTGGAGGGGGAGGAGAAGACGCGGGTGTACGAGAGGTATCTGCAGACGTTTGGGTACAATACCAGGAGTTGTCTGGGCAAGGATATCGCGCTGATGGAGCTGTATAAGGGGCTTTTGCAGGTACGTCAGTCGGGTGGCAGAGCGGGTGTGTTGCTGTCATGTGTGGATACTAATGGTGTCCTAGTTCTTCCGGATGTTTGACGTTGAGAAGATCAGGTCTCATGGCCCGCCGGAGTTTCGGAATATGGGGGGTGTTATGGTGTGGAGCAATATATGGCTCAAGATTTCCCCGCGACACACTGTGCAGCTTTAGATGAGTTATATTGAGTGGGCCAATTTACGAGACTTCGATGGGCATGAGCATAAAGCAATGCAGGTACGGATTCGTAAGGTAGTGTGTGTGTGCACAGATTTGGAGTCTGCCCGAGTGCCGTTCCGGCGCGAAGTATATGAGAATACATATATCCGAGGCCCCACTAACCCCGGGAGTGATACAACACTTCTTACTCATCCTTCCAGGCTTCATATCCAAAGAACATGCAGGTGTCTAGATAACCATAGAAATCTTTTAAGGTCTACCTACTCTCGTCTGCTTGATAGCAGTTGTAAATTATGTATCAGCACTAACCCTCGGCCGTGACCTCCCAATCCTGTTCAACCCAGCCTTAGTAGCCAAATATATTCAAAATTCTGCCACCATCAAGCACATTCGGCCATACCAACCAGAAAGCAAGCGGTCCCGTTCGCTCCCGCATATTTAAGCTGGTTAGGGGTGGATTAGTAGTTAGGTGGGTGACCACTAGCGAATCCCCACTGCTGAATGTTTTGTATTTTTCATCTCATGAGGAAGTCTGGCCGGGATGGACCTTTTTTTTTTCTGTCGAATTGTGCGACGTCGAATACAAAACAAGAACGAGGAATGATGCTCAAGTATGCCACGTATCAAAAGTTTTTTTTTTTTAGGTTTCTTTCGTAAATGCTCGTCTACATACATAAATCGTTACCTGCTCTCCTGGTACCAAGCCTCAATTAGCTTCGCCCGCTCGGGACTACGAACCTCGATGTCAAGCTCGAAAGGAAGCGGTCCGCCAATCAGATTAGGCGTGAACTTGTAGTCGTGAGGCCACTGTGGCTCGCCTTTGGCATTCGTTGTCGGCTTCAGCTCGAAAGAGCCGACAATCGAGCCACACGCGACGAGTAACTCCGCTTCGGTGAGCTCGATGCCCATACAGACGCGACGGCCCATGCCTTTGACAAATTAGTTCTACTGCAAAAGAGAAGTATATCACTAAGTTTTGAAGCACTTACCGAAACCATGATAGCCCTTGAACCGCGGATACTCGGTGAGCGGCTCTCGATACGTCGGGAAATCGCTCTGCAGCCAGCGCTCGGGACGGTATGAGTCGGGGTCAGGATAGATGTTTGCGTCGCGCGCCATGGCCAGGTCGACTGCGTGGACGACGGCGCCTTTGGGAATGTAATACCCGTTCCACTCGTCGTCTTCCTCGACGAGGCGAGGGACGCCTAGTGCGACTGGGGGCCGCCAGCGGAAACACTCCTTGATGGCTGCGCGCAGGACAGGAAGGTTGGGTGAGTCTTTCATGGCTACTGGGCGGTCGCCGATTACGGCGTCGTATTCCTCGCGTACTCTTGTTTGCCATTCGGGGTGGAGGACCATGGCTAGGAAGAAGCAGTATAGTGGGCCTCCGATGGTGAAGATGGCGACTGTGACGAGCATGCCGACGGCATATATGGCCTCTTCTTCGTCTTCGAAGTCGAAGGGATGGGCATTTGATGCTCCTTTCTGCTCAATGTAGTTGCGAGCATAACTCATTGGTAACGTCCCATTCGACATATCGGAACGGGCTTGGGCCATGAGATGTTTGAAGAGTTCTGCTTCTTTCTCCCTGCGCTCTCTCACCCGCCTGATGGACGGATTAAGCCATTCGGGAAGGTGACCGAGAAATGGAAGCAGATTCGTGATCGGACCAGAAGGGGAGATCTGCCCAATGAATGTGATGGCATTCTCACTGAGCGCAGCAGACGGCTCGGGTCTGCCGTAGCCAAGTCTAGCACTGATACGGCCACAGAAGTCGTGCAAATGCGTGAAATGATCCTTGGGACTCGTCAATAGCCGTCGGAGGAATAGCCTGATTTCTAAGTCGATATAGCCTTGATACTGCTGTTGCAGACTGGCCATAAGTGATGTGTTCGCGAAATGACGTTGCCTTCGCCAGTGATCTAGTCTTCTTCGTTAGGAGACTCCCTCGGGCAACTGTTGTTGATACGCACCATCAGCAGCCAAAAGAGGAAGATATAGTCCTTGTGAGTCACTCCCTGGTATTGCCGGTACCATGGGCCGTGAAGAGTATTTCTTTGCCCTCCGGCATAGCAGTTCGAATGCAATGTCCTGGTCGCCAATCCATATGTGCATCTCACCACATATCGTAAGCCTGAAGATACCATTATACTGGTCGCAAAATCTCCTCATGGAAATCTCCGGACAAGTCGGGTCGACATCGTGGACTCTGCCAATGTAAGGGATTGTGCTCGTCGGGCCAGGTATCAATTTGAGGCCCGGTGGGGGCGCATCGTGGAAGTAGAAGTATCTGACCAAGGCAAAGACGGCGTAAAGGGCAAAAGGAAATATTGCAATGATCCAGCTTGACGTCGGAGCCATCAGACCAAGGACCCTGAAGGACAAGAGGCATGATGCGAAAATAAAAATGCCGGCAAGACCGTTTAGCCGCGCTTTGCCTACATTATGTGTAACCATATCGACAATTCGGAGCTGATCAGAACATGGAAAAAGAAAACCGTCAAAGAGAATTTCGAAACCGGATGTGCTCGGTGACAGGACTGAGATGCTCCAGTAGGCGAACAGGTCCACGTATAATCGTAGTGATTGCTCGAATCCTAAATATGGTTCAACATCGGAGCTCCACTACTTGATTTGTGTTGTGGATGTCAAGCGAGTCTTAACTATTGAATGATGCGCTGGCCCCCATCTAAAAGACCTTCCAGGTGTCAGAATTGTCTAGGTCGCTCGCTTACTATGAGGCGCAGGCAGTTGCTACTACGATATACGCGACAATACATCAGAGCATTGGCATCATATGCACAAAATGAATCGCGCAAGTGGATGCCTTACCCGCGCGAACGTCATGCCTATCCGTGGTTGGCATATTCAGGAGATCCAGTCGGAGAATTCTCAGGCATCGTGTCACAAGAGGTTGCTCTGCAAACTATCGGCGTATTTGGAATTCTGGACCATAACCAGGCACGCAGCGCCGCGGGCGTCATTAAAGTTGTGACATTAGGCGCCCATGAGAATGATCGATATCAAGATGGAGATGAATGAGCATAAGCTGGTGTCAGAAATTGCGACATGCGACGTCGTAGTCCAGCCAACGAATGGGAGTGCAGATCCGGATTGACATCAGGCCCGGGCCTGAAATCCTTACCGGGACCAGGAACATAGCATAGACAGAGAAATCCGCCGCGCACGGAAGCTCGACAAGTTTCGCAGATACGACCATCCATGGCGTGCAATCGTACCTTTTCCGTCGTAAAATTGTGCCATCACCTGGTCCTTGTCGTGATGAGATATGCAATATAGCCATCCTGTGGAAAGGGCTTTTGGTCCACCAATAAGCATTGCGTAGCATGGCTATTTCTTTGTGCCGAAGCGAAGAAAAAAGTAAAGATCGATACTCTACGCCAGACTCCATTCGACTGCCACAAGCCAATCTTCATTATCAATACGCACCTCCCAGAAGGGTGGAGAAATTACGATTGCTGTATCGCTCCTCAGGTCTACATCGTGACGATTCGAAGTCTTTACTGCAAATAGGATCTTCCGACGACTTCGATTTCCATGCAGGTCCCGTAGGTCGCCTTGCGCTAGAAACCACGACCCGGCGGCCAATCCTATATCTTTAGAGCCGTCTTCAGGCACAAAGTTTGAAGCATGGAAGATAGCTTTCGGATGGCATATGGGCTGGCCTGGGACATGCGTACGGTTATCCACCAGTGACTCTGATGCAAAGGAGGCTACATCCACAACCCAACTACGTAACGTGTCCGCCATACCACCGGGGATAAATTTCTGGCCTTTACGATGGGGTGAAAATGCATCAGGTAGCGGATGAGATGGTACAGTAGCATCTGCGGATGTAGCTACTGGTAAAAGGAAGGCCGGCCGAGGTCTGTCGCGGGTTGGAGTCGCAGCTGCAAGAGCATCATCCAAAGACGTGTCTTGATCTGAGAACAAGGGCGGCTTTACATGTAGGAAGCGCTTGGATCGATAAGACATTGGACCATTTGGTGAAATGGGACCGTTTGCATTTCCGGAATCTGAAAGTCGCCGCCGCTTCAGCTGTTTAGGAGAATCTTGTCCTTTCGGAGACTCATCGATGTCAAGGCATCCTGAAGGCTCGCCATAATGGCTTTGTTCAATGGTAGCACTGGTTAGAATGCCCTCGTCCCCAAAGCGGTCAGAGTCATCATCTTCGAGATGCTCAGGCGACCGCTGTGAAGAGTCTTCTATCGTCTCTCTCCGGTCTAATACTTGCTTCAGGGAACTACCGCGAGGCAGATCACCTGTCCTCGGTGCAGTGGACAATGGCAGGCTCTGACTAGTACCCCTCGTATTGAGACTGAATCTAGGACTGCGCGCAAATTGACCGGCTGGTAAAAATCTATCTTCCTGTTGACGGCCATCGCGTCCGGGGGCAAAACGACGAGGTGAAGGAGTCTGTCAAAATATCAGCTTCACGTTTGGCGTTCCATCGCGCAGGCCTAACTATAGGGTGCTGCTGCTGCTCCGGCATCACGTGTGGACCAATCCTGACATTAGATTATTTAAGAATTCGAATTGATAAATTCTGATGCTATGATGGAGCGGGTAAGATTTGAAGGCAGGGTAGGTCGAAGTAATGACCCGCGCGGGCGTATAGGAGATACTAGTAGCCGCGAATATTCAATCACGCTAAACCAGACCAAAGTGAAGTTATGTTAAACATTATAGAATTACTATTCGACAGCTTCGTGGTATCAATTTTTTGTCAACATACGCCATTCCTCGAGATGCCCTTGTCGAAACATATACCTCATACTACAGCGACCATGTCAACGACATCCTATAGCAAAGCAAGACCAATAGCTCCCACAGCAATTGCTGCGACACCCTCAATGGCACCCTTTGTATTGGCCGCGTTGGTGGACGAGGGAGCAGGTTCGTTGCCAGTGGTTCGGGCACCGCCAGCACCTCCGGTCTGTCTGGAAGAGGTAGGACGTCCAGTGTTCAAGCTGACGCCGGACTGGCCGCTAACGACGCGCGAAGTGGCTTGGGGATTATCAGCCGGCGAGGTGTTCACTCCCTGATAAACAATGAGTATGAGACAAGCAACAGATCAACCAGGCTACTTACGGCGCTACCACAGCAGTCGGAACCCCCTGTGCATGAAGTACCGTCGTTGCAGCAGACTTCACCATCGGCGGGAGCGTAGCACAGGATTTGGAAGCTCGTGTCGGCGCCAGGGCAGTAGGCGTAGGATGGGTCACCCTTTTGGCAGCATTCCTCGTTGGTATCGCTCTCGTCGCAGGTCCAGTCGGAGGATTGCGACGGAGGCGAAGATACGGTGCTGGATGGAGACGACTCCGAAGTAGGGGTAGGTGACGAGACGTCGGTCTCTGGTGAGCCGAGACCACCGTCGCAACAGCTTGCGTCTCCCACGCAGAAGGCTGAAAGCTTGTTAGATGGTCCTGGAATGGTGATACAAGTGAATACTTACTTCCGTCAGAGCAACATTGCTCGCCAGCATCGGGGTTGTAGCAGTAGTACGTCTGGCATGGGATGTTGCCCTCGCCGAAGCAATCAGCGCAAGTAGTGCCGTTATCACAGAAATCGGTCTGTCTGGAGAACAGCGCAGCAGCCCGACGGACCTCTGGGTGGATGAGAGTCTTCTTCTTGTTGGCCGCTACAAGACCTGCGGAAAGGAGAGCAAACTCGAGAACGTATGCGACCTTCATGATGAATGATGTAAAACCACGCGACGTGGATTATAGAGTCAATAATATACTTGAAAGAAAATAAAGCTTAGCCGTCTTGTTACAAGGAATGGAGAGAGGAATTAACAGAAAAGCTCCCCGCAGCCACACGGCGCATCTCGACTTTTTATTCTTACAGCCCCGTCGGCATACATCCTTTCAATTTCATAGCGCATCAGAACTTGTACAGAAAAGGATCGCTTCTTTTGCACCGAACCATGCCAGCTGAAAACGCGGCTTGAGCCATTGACGAATCGTGGCCATCGACAGCGGATATGCATGGTCCTGGGAATAATGCTAGCATTGTGGCTTCACAAACACGAGAAAAAGTCTTGGCTGTTGGGCTGAGGCGCTGCTCACCATTCCTAGAAAAGTAGATTTTGGAGATGCGGCTTGGGAACACACAGGTCGATTGGAAGGCGAGATGGCACGAAGCCATATCGGGTTAGCGAGGGAGACTGTTTGTTGTTATACAGACCTGCACTTCCAGACCCCACAGATGATGGCTAGCCCCTGAACCACACTCTGACGGTGAAGAGGGTTGTTCTTCCACTAATCAGCCTTGCCAAGATCTGCATCGAAGTCCGGTAGTATCAATCAGGCAAAGCAGCAATCTCGAATACGAGAGACTTGAGCACAGCACATGACACTGGACATACCTTGCAGCAAACACCTCTAGGTATACCGACTCGAATCACACACCTGAGCTATACTAATTTCAATAACCAAACCGTTGATCACGAGTCATCAGACAAACATTACACCAGACACAAACTCTTTTAACTTTGCGGAAAGAAAAGAAGAGAAGCAGAAAAAAGAATGAAGCTAAAAGTTCCCACCTCCGTCAAGCCACCTCCTCGTGAAAATAAGATTGATAGACAGCTTGGCAAAAGCTGGAACCAGCCCGATCCTGCACCGGTAAGTGACCCCAAGCGAGCCGGGCAGTCAAAAGTATACAAAACCTGCGCTACTACCACACAAGTGCCACCACAGGCGGAGCCCACGTTACACCTGAGCCCTCCAAGGCAGACTCGTGTTGGCAAACCACAAATGTTACAGGAGGGGCTGAAAGGCTGAGAAGCAATCGTGCTCGGTCCAAAAACACCATCTATCGTTGACTCCTTGGGCCAGCGAATGCGTTGCAATATTACTCTGCTAGCATTTCCGGTCTTATCCACACGTGGCGCGCCACACCAGGCAGCAGTCTATATATACGAGAAAGGGAGGCTTGCAGCATTGGCGGCCTCGCCGGCCTGACGGTTGTTCAGTCGACGAAACGGAATCTATCTGCATAAATTAGCCGGAGACCTTTGATTTCGCTTCGACAGTTCAGGATACGGCCTGGAACAGCTGTTCCCTCGTGATATTGGTCACAGGTGCAGGCAGGCATAGGAGGAGAGGGGGCGGAAATGCTTCCGAGGCCCGCGATCGGTCCAAGAATAGCATCTTGGCAGTACATACTGTACATACAGTAATTAGCCCTTCACACAACTCCACGCACAACTTCATAACGAAGAATCCGTAGAGAGAAACGTCCAGGTAGATAGTAAAGAAGAAGACCCATCCCACAGCCATCTCGCCTGCTGGCTTGGTGGAAAACGTCCATGCAGTGTACAAGCGGTCGGGTATACGGGAACATTCTCCTTGCTTTCATGATCGTGGTGCAGAACGTTTGTTCAGATCCGGGACATCGAGCGGAAGAATGAATGGCTTCGAGGTGCTTTACCTTCGCAACACACTCCATGCGAGAGAGTCGGAGAATTGCTACTGCAGCGTCCCCGGATATGCAGGGTTCTCGGTAGACTATTAATTAGCCATTAGATATGCTGAACTTGATCTGATGAACGTGGTATAATTAGTGTCATTTGGTGTATCCATGCATACACAATAGCAAGGTCAGCGTCGAGCCCGGGTAGTTAGACCGGTATCTAATAAGAAATACCAGAGCTTACCCAGACGGCCAATCTTCTCAACTCTACATCAAGCACCAGCATTCCACGTTCACATTTCGCAGAAAGCAAGCAAGCACTTTGAAATCCAGTAATGCAAAAACCAGTCACTTTTTTCTCATTTATCAAAATTGAACATCGGGAAATCTACAAACGGTCTATAGTCTCGAAACGCGCGAATCTGTCCCGGTCTATACCAAAATCGAAGCATCCAGAAAGCGCCAGCCCATGCAACAGCGAACGGTGTATCCGTGGTATCACACTATGTACGAAAGCAGGAATTCATCTACTCATCATCCGCCTCATCGTCTGTATTAGGCGGCTGCGGCGTGCCCTTGGGACTGTTGAGCCACTCGATGTATCTCAGTCTTCTCCGCACCTCACGCTCCTTGATCTGCTTCTTGGTAAGCTTCTTCTTCTTGCGCGCGCGGAACTTGAGATCGCCACTCTCGACATCGCTGTTTGCCGCAGACTGTGCTGCGCTGTTGGTGACGCTGGACACGTTGCTGGACGCAACGCTGCTGCCGGGGCGGGAGTCCTCGAAGCGGTCGAGCGAGACGGCGAGATGGCCCTTGTGCGTGACGCGGCCATCGGCGACGTGCCACTGCTCAGGGCAAAGCGCGCCAACAAATTCTTCGTTGTGGCTGATCATCACGACGCCGCCCTTGAACTCGCGGATGGCAACGGCAAGACCACCTAGACTGTCACGATCCAAGAAATTGGTTGGTTCATCGAGGACGAGCAAGTGCGGATTGTTCCACATAGCGCCTGCGAGCACGACCTTGACTTTCTGGCCACCGCTAAGGCCGGAGATTTCGTTGTGGTTAGCGATTTCGGGATCCAGGCCAACGTCATCGAAGTGTTTGCTGATGACCTTGGGCTCAAGTTCGCGGAATCCCAGACCCTCGCGTGAAGCTTCGTGATCGTCGAACTCTTGCACGAGCTTCTGGAATCCAAATCCAAGAAGAGTCTCGCGTGAGATTTGGCTATTGAACTTGGGGAGCATATTGAGCCATTTGCTGTAGGAGCGTCAGTGAATTTCACTCAAAAGAAAGATACGTTGGACTTACACTTCATACTGGAAGCTCTTCTTCCATTTCTGTCGTCCGACAAGGGCCTCCATCTTCCGTACTCCTTTACCATCTCCCAAATCGATAGGCTTGTCCATCTGGGCTTTGTCCTCGGCGGTCAAAACACGCGTCTGTTTCATTAGAACTTCACGATCATCGCCGTTCGCATAACGCCACTGTAGGTATTGATTTGGGGTCTTCTCCATATGCATCTCAACGTGTTCAAGAGCGTGCTGCTTGATATAGCCAATACGCAAATTTGGATGCTTCTCGACTTTGCCTTCTTGAGGAATGGTCTCACCGGTAAGTAGCTTGATGAGAGTCGATTTGCCCGCACCGTTGGCACCGATAATGGCAACACGAGACGATAGCGTCAATTGACAGGTAACGTCAAATAGGGATGGTTTGGGCGCGTTTGGATAAGTATAAGAACAGTTTGTCATCCGAAGGATAGCTCTGGTCTGAGACTTGATACCGGTAAGGATGCCAGGGTCCGGAAATTTGAACTGGACCTGAGATGATGATAGGGTATAGTACGACTTCGCTTCGGGCTTGACTTTGACGAAGGCAGCCAGGTTTCCTTTGTAGCGTACTAGCCTCTTCGTTTCGTAGTGGTAGATGTCTGTGCAGACTTCGTCCAAGAATCCAGAGTCGTGCGATACGATCAAGCTTGTGATCTCCGTGTGGCTCTTGAGGTATTCTTGTAGCCATTTCACGTTGGCAACATCCAAGTGATTGGTAGGTTCGTCCAAAAGAAGAACATCAGCACGCATCAGCATAGCGCGGGCTAAAGCCAACTTCATCTTCCAACCTCCAGATAAAGACCCGACTTTCTGCGACTGGCGACCTTCGGGACCAGCAGTAAAGCCAACTTCTTCCAACACAGACGAGATTCGTTCCTGGCTCTCGTCCTTGAATCTAGGATCGTTTGAGATGTATTGCAAGATCGTGATCTCAGCGTCTTCCCCTTGGTTGTGCTCCACAAAGCATGTTCTAACCTCATCCTGAGAAGGGAATCCTTCAAGCTTGCCTTCGGCGATACTGCGCATGAGGGTAGATTTACCTGCACCATTCCGACCGCAGAGACCGTAGCGGTGGCCTTTCAGAAGTTGCAAATTAGTGCGCGACAAGAGCAGCATTCCTCCATAGCCAAGGGAGAAGGTTGCGTTGACAATCTCAACTTCTCCTTCTTCTAGTTGTACAGGAGCACCAAACCTGCGGTGGTCTTCCTCGACGTAAAACTTATGAACAGCAGTTGCGACTGCTCCTGATTTATCAGACGCCATGAGGGGCTGCAGATACGGCCCAACGACAGCTTTGATCCGTTCCATTTGTCTCTGATTGACAAGCTCTGCGACCATGGCGGCGATTACCACTTTCGCGACCTTGTAAGTCTCCATATCACCTGGGTAGTTTAGGAGGCCCCCAGCCAGCTTGACCTCCTTCTCTAATCGAGCAAGAACATCATCAGCTGAAGCCCGTGAGATCGAGCCAGATTTAGTGTTTCCATCTTGATCGCTCATAGCTTTCTGAATCGTAGTAAATGCACGTTCTCCAATCTCGCGCACTTCAGGCAGCGAAGCACTTTCCTTGACTTTCGTGACGCCAGGTAGGATCCTCGGTAGGAATCGACGGGCCTCGATAGGGTCGTGTACAAGTTTTGTTAAGTTGTCTACAACTACGGTCGTCCGACGGAGAACTTCTTGAGACGTATTTGGGTTGTTCAAGGACCGTTCGAGTAGAGGTGTAAGCATTGCAAGGACCGGAGAGGTGACAATGGCCACGAAAGTTGTTTGAGAAAGATCATGAATGGCCTTCTCCAGGCTCTGGGTCGAAGGATCCTCCATAGCCTTGATGAGGACAGGAACTCGCGGTGCGACATCGTCGTTCTGCAACAACGTCGTGAGTGAGTTCATCGTCTTGCGAGCCTGTTTCATGACCTACGAGCACACTGTTAGCCATAATCTCGGTTAGGAACCTATACCTTTCACTCACCTCAGACTTCAAATCGTGCATGCCGCCTTCAACAGCTGGAATCAAGCCTTCCAACTTGCTTCCTAAGGCCTCTCTGAGGATGTCTTTCTGTAGCTCTTCCTCTGCGCTGCCCATTCCCATCTTGGCTTTGTCTGCCATACGACCTATGAGCTCGAGTGCACCAACAGTGCCCTGCCACTTGCCAGACTTCTTCTCCAAATGCTTAAGCAAAAGCGGAAGAAGTCCGTATACCATCATCTCCGGTGCCAGATTGTTGAATAGTGCATCCAGTGCGTACTGAGCCGACTCCTTGATCGTTTTTACCTTGTCTGCCAGGGCGTCCAAGGTGAGTGTGATTAAACCCTCCTCTTGTAGTAGTAGAACGATCTCACTCAGTGGCTGTTGAGGGGGAAATCTTTCAAATATGGCACCGATCACAAACATGGCCCCCTCCCTTCGTTCCGGGCTTTTCTTATCGATCGCAGCCTTTTTGGCTGTTTCCAACACACCATATCCTTTGAGCCCTCGAAATCCAACCGAGCTCAGGAGGGCGGTAGTGACTCCGTAAGCAGCATCTAGGCTAGCCTGAGAGGTTTTGGAGGCAAAAGCTGCGTTGAGTAAGGCCGATACATCTTCTGTAGAAGGTGGGTTTGTGCCGTCAGCGGTCTTCACAGCAATCGCGGACGCCATAGGAGGCGATTCTTGGTGTGGCATTCGAGCTTTTCAACAAAAAAGGACTTCGTCGCCGTGTCGTTTCTGTGCAGAGATAGCCGCACTGTAAGCGGCAGAAAGCTGAGGTCGAGTCTCAGCGACAAAGGAACAAGAATATACACAAGGTGAGAAGAGTGGAGATTTTCCCTAGGGATCGCAGAAAATATAAGAAAAGTGAGGGGAGAGTTGTAGAAATCGCGCCTGGTAACTTTTTTCTGCGGGAAAAGTTCAAGTGGGGAGAGGCAGCGCCGCGGCCGGGCACGGACGGGAGCCACCAGTCTCTGCACGTTCTACGCTAGGCTAGGATAGGAGTAATATCGGCATCTCCTTGCCTACAAATATGTTAGGCATTTATAATACCGAAACCCCCGTTCACTCTGCCATTGGCAACATTACTCACAACGAGTTTTGAAATGTCTCACCTGGATAAGAAAATTGCGCCTCGATGATCATGAAGATCTTCTGGATATGAGACTTTGAGGACAATCATTGACTTCGAGATTTTGGATTAGACTCCTGATGGTCAATTTTGACCATGTCTTGACTATTGTATATGATATCTTACATAAGATCCTTTTCATCCTAATCAGGGTCCATCTGCTCTGGGATTGAATTAAGCGCTTGGAGAATGATCTGGCGGAAAATTGAACGAGTTTCAAAGTCTACATAATTTCAAATGGCGGGCTAAGTAAGGCGCCGAGCTCACTTTGATAACCACATGTTTGTTGATTTTGTAGCCTTAGGCATGAACCTCGAATCGTGGTACGTGCATCGGCCAATGACGATGGCAACCCCACAATTATGCACTTCAACACCACTGACGCGCATCATCACTTGACGACCAGCAATCTTCCGATGAAAACTTGCTAGACCAAGCCGCTTTCAAGTCACCCCCACCGTCTAGGCACTATGTAAAAGCCTCCCGTAGTCCGCTCTCATGGACATCTCCCACGGTCATCCCTCACAGATCATCTTTCTTTCTGTGTCTGCTCCCAATCGCCTTGATAAACCTCCCAAAGACTTGGACAGGTACCCGTTTATAAAGCAGCGTTCTACTGGGAGACTGTCTTCCGCATCTACATGTGTTGAGTAGCATAAATACGTTGCCATACCCTCCACCGCCAGGTCGGCTTGCTAGACGACATCCACCATCATGTCCTTCCTCTCCAAATCATGGCTGTCCAAAAAGTCCGAGGTCGTCCTCTTCTCGTCCACCGCCATTGCTCTCTATGGCTACGACCAGGGTATGATGTCTCTCATCAACACCAATGCCAATTATCTATCAACTCTCGGAATTAGCGAAAAGTCACCTCTCGTCGGTATCATCGTCGCTGTTTATTATCTTGGTTGCTCTGTTGGTGCTGTTCTCTTCAGCTATTTCAGTGACACCTTTGGTCGCAAGAAGGGCATATTTGCATGTCTTGCAACTGCGTCACTCGGTAATCTCATCATGTTCCTCACAGGACTGGGTGGTTGGAGTACCGGTGCAATCCACATGTTCTGGGTTGGCCGTGTAGTCATGGGCTTAGGCGTTGGGGGTATTGATAGTGTGATCCCAGTGTACTCAAGCGAGCTATCGAATGATGAGTCACGTGGTAAAGCGCTGGCCCAAGAGTTTCAGATGAACATATTTGGTCTAAACATGGCATTCGCAATCAATTTGGGCGTCACGGTCGCTCTCGGAAAGACAAATGAATGGGCCTGGCGAATTCCGATCGTGGTCATGCAGGCCTACCCGATTCTGTTACTACTGGTAATTGAAAGACTGCCAGAGAGCCCACGGTGGTTATTGTATCACGATCGGAAAGATGAAATGTACGAGGCACTGGAAGATGTCCACGGAAAGGAAGATGGAAAGCAAAAAGCCAAAGAGTTGTTGGAGTCTCATGAAAAGGAGAAAGATATGGATGTCGGATACATTGATATGTTGACGCCCGGACACCAACAGTTCCATCCGACAGTAATTACGGTAATGGGCCAGGTAAATCAGGTGAGTATCAGTCTTGAAATCATTGAATCGTTGGCTAATGTATGCAGGCATTGACCGGTTATGGTGCTGTATCTGTATACGGTCCTCAAATCTTCGAGTTGCTTGGGTATGGAGTGCGAAGCGCCGAATATCTCACGCAAGCAAATTACCTTTCATACTTCGCGCTTATGACCTTTGCATGGCTTCTGATCGACGCAATTGGCAGAAGGAAGCTCATGGTTGGAGGTAGCGTTGTGCTCACTGTTTGCTTCCTCCTTCTCGCGCTCTTCGGCGGCTTAGCCATGGAATCGGACTCGATCGGTATCTCAAATGGCCCTCCAGCAGTTCTCGGCAGCATTGCCCTGTTCATTGCAACTGGTGGATTCGGAATCGGCTGGCTTGCGACAGTGTGGCTGATACCTACCGAAATCTATCCGACAACTGCACGGGCACAGGCTTCAGCCATCAGTGTTATCATCTGGGGTCTAGCAAATTTTGCTGTCACGCTGACAACGCCAATAATGTTCAATAACTTAAAGTACTGGTTGTTCCTTGTTTTTGCTGCGACCAATGCTTTCGCTGGTATCTGGACGTACTTGTATCTGCCAGAAAGTGGAGGACGCAGTTTCGAGGAGAATCAGAAATACTTCGATGACGCTAAAGAGCAAGGGACATGGCGCGTATCGAAGATAGAGAATGGCGTATACCGGAGATTGCCATATGGAGGTGATCTTGAAGGCGAGAGAACGCCTTTGCTACAAAGAGTTGAGGACCAACTGACGAACTGACGGACTGAAATGGCATGTCAGCGCGAACTGAATTGGATACTGCAATTGAAGTGACCTGGACATTAACATACTTGGCAGATTACACGAGTCTCTCGAAGTGACGCAGTGTGAACAGGATGGGAGAACGCCACAGCCACTGGGAGGAACAGCTAAGCGCCGGGAGTGCGGTCTGTGCACACCAGGGTTTCTGCCGCCGGTCATGTCGAGGCAGCGAGACTCTTGAAAGGCATCAAGTGGGGGCCGGAGTTCTACCTGAATATGGATATCCCAAGATACATGCCTTAATCATTTGTTCATTCCTAGCATTGTATGCAAATGTCTAATGTGGTGCAGCACACGCGAAGCAGCATAAATATGAGATATTAATGCACCCATGCATCACACTAAGCGAACCCCACACTGGTACTGGACGTCGGCTCTAAACGACAATTGCGAACTGTGTCTTCTCGGAGGAGGCGGCGAGGGCGGCGACTCCGTACATATCATTGATATGAGGTGGAGACACTGGCAGTGACCAAATTACGAGAGGACAACAGTGGGTAGTAGGATGGCTAGGCATCCAGACAGTCCTTAGCATCAGCATGATCACATATCTAGAATCCCCAGTCGTCGTAGTACCTGGAATTAATTGGATTACCGCCAGGAATAAGATGAGAAATAGGGCTGCATAGCCTTTACATACTACTAGCAGGTAGTCTCTCGAGTGTTGGGCCCCCAATGCCGAATGTTTTCACCGCTGAAGGTGGTAATTCGACCAATCAACAGACCCGAAACCTGTTCTCCCAAGCGCGTGGGGTGCTTTTTCCCAGGGTTGTGGCGGGGTTCAGTAGTAGTACCTGGTAGGAGTAATTTAGTAGTAGCAGCCAGCGGTAATCAGGAAGACCCCTCGCGCATAATTACCACCACCTATTTCTTCTACTAGGTATACATACAAACATACTGACTCTCCCGCGGCCACAACTGTTATATTCATTCGCATCTGATCCAGCATATCACTTCTCTCTCTTTGCTCAGTCAACACAGCGTCCTCTGAGGAGCGTTCTCTCGACCTCTTCATCATTCTACGCTCTGCAGTTCCTGTTACGGGAGAGCTCCAAAGTGCCGCCCTCCTCCTTCACCCTCATCTCCACCCCGCTTCGCCCTCTTCTGCCTTTTCTTGACGTGTCGACCAATTTGAGGCTTCGAACTTCCACTCACTTCACACGCCTTGACCTGAGACAAGTTTACCTTGCTGCGACTTCCTCCGTGCTTCGCATGCTCCGTCAGACTTTACCTCCGCGTCTATCGTTCCTGAGAACCTAAACAGGCCCTTGCAAAACTCGACGGGGCGCTGCTGATCATAGCTGTCCTCTGAGTCGCATCGAGATAGCACAACACACATACACTCACTCGCTCGCCTCATATACACACCAGCCAGTATGTCGGACTTGCAAGGACGCAAAGTCTTCAAGGTCTTCAATCAAGAGTTCATCGTGGATGAGAAATACAATGTTACCAAAGAGCTGGGTCAGGGTGCTTACGGTATTGTCTGGTACGGACCACTTGATGACGTGTGTCTGAAGAACACATGTGAAGACTGACATCTGCCTACCCTCAGTGCGGCGACCAACAATCAAACTGATGAAGGTGTTGCTATCAAAAAGATCACCAATGTCTTCAGCAAAAAGATCTTGGCGAAGCGTGCCCTCAGAGAAATAAAGCTGTTGCAGCATTTCAGAGGTTAGCATCACCCTTGCACATGCAGATCGATTGTCTCCGCCAAATGGCAAATGCTAACAATCATATCAGGACACCGAAACGTATGCATCCGCCTGCTGACGCCTCTGTGTCGACATGGAGTTAACTGAATACTGTTGTAGATTACATGTCTGTATGACATGGACATTCCTCGACCAGATAGCTTCAACGAGGCGTACCTCTACGAGGGTGAGCAGGCTGTCTACCGAGATACAAACCACGTACTGATCTTATTTAGAACTCATGGAGTGCGACTTGGCAGCCATCATTCGTTCCGGTCAGCCGTTGACAGACGCTCATTTCCAATCATTCATTTATCAAATTCTGTGCGGCCTGAAATACATTCACTCAGCAAACGTGCTGCACCGTGATCTCAAACCGGGCAACCTTCTGGTCAATGCGGATTGCGAACTGAAGATTGCTGACTTCGGCCTTGCTCGCGGTTTTTCCATGGATCCGGAAGAGAATGCAGGTTACATGACAGAGTATGTTGCCACCAGATGGTATCGTGCACCTGAAATCATGTTAAGCTTCCAGAGCTACACTAAAGCCAGTGAGTACGATGATGTTGATATGAAATAGTGCATGGCTGAATCGGTGTAGTTGATGTATGGTCTGTTGGATGTATTCTTGCAGAGCTGCTTGGCGGTAAGCCCTTCTTCAAAGGGCGCGACTATGTCGACCAGCTCAATCAGATTCTTCACTACCTTGGGACGCCCAGCGAGGAGACACTTGCTCGCATTGGCTCTCCGCGTGCTCAAGAATATGTCCGCAACCTGCCATACATGCAGAAGGTCTCTTTCCAGGCTCTATTCCGAAACGCAAACCCGGACGCTTTGGATCTGCTAGATCGCATGTTGGCATTCGATCCGTCAAGCCGTGTTAGCGTCGAGCAAGCTCTCGAACATCCATACCTGCAAATCTGGCACGATGCTAGTGACGAGCCAAACTGCCCCACTACTTTTGACTTTGCATTCGAGGTCGCTGAAGACATCTCTGAGATGAAGAGGATGATCCTCCAGGAAGTCCAAAGGTTCAGAAACATGGTCCGACAGCAGTCCATCAACCAAGTAGGCGGAGCCACAGGCGGACAGGCCAACAACGTTCCTATTCCAGACAACTACGATCCCCGCGCGTACGAGAACCCGCGGCCGCAGGAATACCAAGGCTACGGCGGCAATGCACTTGAGCAGGACCTTCAAGGGGGTCTTGACGCGCATATGAGATAGACTATGAAGTTTTTTTCCTGTGCGAGAAACAAAACGGACGTGGATATGAACATTTTGAATGCCAGAATATGGTCAGGACGGATGTTTTTATTCTTCAATCCGATTGTAGACACACACACATGTCAGATCGAGAGTGGCATTGGGTGCTGGGGCAGTAATATGTCAGTGATGATGATGATGATGAGTCTCTCTTCTTTATTACAGGTCGCTGGGACGTCCCGTACACACACACCTATATCTATGATATGTAGCTTGGCGGGTAACGATGTGACCCGACCCTATCGCTCCTTCCACCGATCCTGGCAGTCAGTCAGTCAGTCAATCAATCACGTGTGTGCAGTACTGTACTTGATGGAATTACTACCTACCTAAACCATCCATCTCCTTTGCGAAAAAGAGTCACCGCCAAGTCAAGTAAGTAAGTAAGTAAGTAAGCAAGTAAGGAATTCAGATATGCTCTCCGTCTCCGCAGTCCAAATCACACATTAACACGCACACTCAACAACACTCACTCACTCAATCAGCAGTCAGCAATCAGCAATCAGCAACCAGCAACCAGCAATCATATTACCATCAGCTGCAAAATATCTCGCTCGCTCGCGCATTATATGGAGGAGGAGTATGTATATACATTCATTACACGGCCCGGCTCTCCATGCCCCCAAGCCCCGCTCCAAATACCATGTTATATATATATATATATATATTCATGCATGCTGTTCTTTCCCTCTTGTGCATGCCATTCCATGCTCTGCCATGCCATGCGATGCAAATCTGCGCTGCCAACTTTAGGTGCCGCCAATAAATTCCGCTTTAAAAAACCCCTAGAGAAACAAGAAACAATAACAAGAACGCCTTTCAAATGCCCTGCGCGCCGCCCTCTGCCCCCAACCCATCCTTACGCAACGACAAATCTATCCCGTAGGCCTTGCGGCAGTCATAATATTTCTTTTTAGAGGGCGTTGCTTAGTTCCTTCTTGTCGATGGCACGCCTCTATGGCCACCTCGTCTCCACGTACCATTGCCAGCCCCGATATCAATCCGGCTCATCTCCTCGCTCAGCCTTGCTAGATCGTCACCGTGTCCGAGAGGGATTTTCGCGGGGATTGGCGGCGGTTGTGGCTGTCTGTTGCCTGCATCTCTCCTCACGCCTACTGCGTATGGACTAGGACTGTACTGGGTATGGTGCCCAGCGTCTCGCAGACCGCTGTTGGGCGCGGAATTGGGGGTCCCTGACGCGCTGTATTCTCCTGGACGCGGCTTGTGCAACCGGTTGCGGCCATTCGAGTTTGGTGTAGTAGGCGCAGAGGAATCGTGGAGAACGAGGGATGAAGACATGGCACTCGATGGGGCGATATCACTGCGACGGCCGATTCCACGGGCACCAGTGAGACGCTCACGGTCGCGAGTTGGAGTACTATTCTGCACTCCTTTCGCTTCGGGCTCAGGAGCATAGCTCTCGACTGGTAGATGGTCAGATGGGTCGATGACGCGGCCGTCGAATCCAATAATGGGACCATTGGATTCTTTGGAACCGTCCTCTGCCGAGCTTGAGGCGCCTCCAGCGATGCTCCTTGAAGACCCTGGCGTGTTCGGGTTAAACGCATCGAAGTCGTCTGGGCCAAAAGGAACGGCAGAAAGCCGTCGCTCACGATCAGTCGGCGGTTGTGGAGACACCGACTTCCTAGGAACCATGTTTCGAGAGTTATTGCGGCCTGTGCGTGGATCACTCGGAATTCCAGGACTCACAGCTCGAGGTTTGATCATTGGTGGGACTTCTGTAGGAAGGTATTGAGTATTAGTGGGAGAGGCGCTATAGTGAGATCGCTGTCCTGAAGGTTCTTCGTGGGCGAAGGAATATGATGGTGGAGTCTGGTAGGCCATGTTCGGGGGCGTTTGGTAGTCCTGTGGAGAAACATGCTGCTGCTGATGCAGAGGTGTGTCATGTGTCATCGACTGATAAGGCTGGATCTGAGGAGAGACACTTGGAGTCAGGCCTCGAATGCTCATCCTTTTGTCTTGCCTTGCTCGATTACCAGCCGGCACTAAGCTTGAAGGAAGTTCATTCCGCAATGGCGAGGGTTGCGATGTGTCACGTGACACGGGGCGCTCGCGAGGCTGTGTATAGCGCCGTTCGTATGGAGAATTCCCATTGTAGTCGCTGTTGTGAGAAGACATTGTGCCATATGGATCCCGTTGCATGTCGTCACGGCTGGTTGATAGTCGAAGTGGTGCTGGTGCCATTTCGGCATGATAATCGGGAGCGTACTGCTGCTGCTCAGCTTGATAGATTGCAGGTGCGCTGCTTCTGTGTACCGGAGGGGGCGGCGGTACATCGAGCTCATCTTCGACGGTAGGCTGCATGTGTTGTCTTGCGTCTTCCGAGTTATAGAAAGGATTCTGCTGGGTAATTTCCTCGTAGCCTTTGCTCCAGTTGGGTATTTCCGGTTCTGGTTCATGCTGGTATAATGGGCTCTGATGACGATTGTGTGGGCTGTGATACTCGTCAGCTGGAGTTGAGCCCTGACGATGAGTGTAGTCTTCGGAGTGTGCGTGATTCAAGCTTCTCCTCTCATGGACAGTGGGGACCGTAGGCGCAGAGTTGGCATGTGGTAGGTCCATGTAGCTCTGTGGACGTGTGGAATGTGCCGGTAGAGCATGCGTTGCGTCGACCGGCTGTGCTACATACATATCACGGCCATGGCTCCGCTGTGAAGGTCTGTATGACTGTTGTGTTTCACTGGGCATATGTAGGTCTGGCTGGCTGCTATGCACGGCATGGTGAGCTCGAGGACTGGCAGCAAGCTCTGGTAGCTGTCGATTGTTCTCTGTCTGCTCGTAGAAGGTATGGCGCTTTGGTGCAGGAACTGTGTCAGGGAGAGCATAGTGAGATTGTGGTCGTGGTGCGGATGGTAGGCCTCGGGGACCGTTCTGTGGTGACGGGACCGGGCGCTCAATCGACCCAGAGGGCGAAGGAGTACCAGTAACAGGGTTCGCTGGCAAAGGTCTTCGTTTTACAGGTGCAGCATCTCGAGGTCCATTCATTGGAGCGCCTTGGCGCTCTGCTGCTGCGTTCCTCATGGCCTCTCGCCTAGGTTGTACAACCTTCTCCGGCTTTGGGCGAGTGTCATAGTAGGTGAGCTCAATGCGAATTTCGCCAGCATAGCGGCCCTTGCAATTCAAGCCATGCCATATATCACTCTTTCCACCGCCTGGTATAATGACGTCTCCTAGACTGACGAATGTTTCACCAATCAATTCCGTCTTCTTGTCATCATTGAATATTGAGACTTTGAGGGTCTGGTAGTCGATGGAATCGTGTACGGTGAAGCGGAGTTCCTGGTCCCTGGCTATCATCAGTACACAGGACTTTAGGCTTTTACGCAAGCGACTTACCATCTTGGTGTCTGACCTCCTCGTCTATCCGTGTTTGTCTTCTTCGCTTCTTTTCCAAGTCTGGCAGCACAATACGGGTCTTGTTTTCCCATACTCCTTCTGTTTGGTAGATTCTTAGCCCGATCAAAGACAGCAACAAGCGTCCCAATTTCAGGCCCGTCCACTGTCATATCAGCGTAAATTCCAGAGGTGTGAGCTCCGCCCATGGGACTGGGCTTCGCTAAGCGAGTCGCCATTGTCTAAGATGTGTGGAGATTGGGAACGATTGACGATTGCTAGTATAGGAAGCACGATTCCAAGTCCTGGATTGCGTCTTTAAGGAATAATATGGCAGGCGAAGGAGCGGAGACGCGGGGTCTGCGTCTGAAGACGATGTCTAGCACCAAGTTGGTGTCATGAGAGGACTTGAACAGCAAGGAGGAGTTTGAATTGGGACTGGCGAGAGAGTCGTGATAGATTAAGGCCAGGGTATATGCAGGACCCAAATAGATAGCGGCGAGTAGCAGACGCAGAAGAGAAGTAGAAGCAGAAGCAGAAGTGCGTAAGTAGCTGGAGGGAAGCACAACAGAATGAATGGGTAGTAGTACTACTATTACAAGCATACAAGACACCACAAGACAGGTTCGCGGCTATGGTGGCTGGCGCACCAGGAACAAGCCGCTAAATTGCTGGGGCTGGTTAGCGTCGAACGAGAAGGCTGGGCTGACGAGTTTTGGTTGTCCGTGCCGCCTAAAAAGAAGTGAGAACACGGGGAGCAAGGGCCCCCTAGCAGGGCACCGAGGCAGCTAATTTGGGCTTCTGGTGGGGCGTGTAGGCAGCTAATTTTGGGCGACTGGTGGGGCGTCGTCCCTTGTTCTTCATCGCCCCACCATCGTAGGTTGACCTGGATGATTGTGATGTATAAGGTATTATGACATCTAGGCGCATATCCATAGGTAATCAAGTGTATACCTCAAGAATGTAGAGACCCAAGAGAGCAGCATGTCTCGTCTCATCTCTATCCAAGCTGGACTGCTTAGCATTCATTGCGTGCACATACATCCCCTCCGACAAGGTCTCACCCTGTTCCGGAACGCGAACATCTATCTACAACCAAGGTTTGAATGAATGTTTGCTACGGTGATTGCTTTATTGTTTACCTGCCACCACAATCAATACACACTGTACGTGCATTTGTGTACCAATGTAACACCTAGCTGTTACTTGATTCTTCATCTTTATTGATTGCTTTTCTGTCTGGTGTCCATCTGGTGCACCATGTCAAGTTGTCAACATGTGATGTCAGCCTTGTCAATCTGTTGGAAAACAGTGTTGTGGCGCAGCAGACGAGAATACTCATTATATTATGTATATCTGCATGTTTCCGATGCGTTTCTGTCTTTCTATTCACCGATGTTTCAGACCGTCTGTCATCTGGCGAACAGCATGCGCTTGTTGTATGTTCCTGGACCCACAAGCAACCCAATCGACGGATGGAACGCAATCCCATACACTTGCAGCCACTATGAGAACCGTGCCACCAACCACCTAATTAAGTGCTGTCAACATGTCTCGTTCACTTCCAGACTTTCACACAATCGCGTCAACATGTCCCGCAACAGCGTCCGAAGCTTGATTTCGTTCCGATTAGGGACGATTTCCATGTATCAGCATCATCAACCACCTCGGCTCTTCTCCACCTAAATTCGATCCGAGCATGGATTGGCGTCCGCGTCGGCGTCATTCTTGCTTCAGTATTGAATTCTCGCTCTGGCGCAACCCAGTCTGTCTCCACCTGCATCATGCTGCCCACTCGACCTGGTTCAGAGACGAATCCTAGTTCGTCACAATGTCAAGTTCCTACTACCCCAACGAAACACTCCTCCCATCTACCTCAGTCGCTGTTTGACATTGCTGTCGTTGGCACTGTGTTCCCGTTGATGACCGCGCCAGAGTTTCTGTACAGATTCACATCCAGCACAATGTTTGGCGGAAAGAGCTTTGAGCCTGAGCGTGATATTCCGGACCTGTCAGGCAAGGTCATACTGGTGACTGGAGGTACCACTAAACAACTATACTTTCCTGGCACACAACACACAGGCTGACTTGTGATAGGCAATACCGGCCTAGGACAGGAAGCCATCCTTCAACTGGCAAAACACAAGCCGGCACACATCTACATGGGCGCGCGCACCGCATCCAAAGCCGAACAGGCCATCAAGGAAATCAAAGCTGTCGTACCCGACGCTCCCGTCTCTCATATCCCGCTCGACTTGACCTCGTTCGAATCCATATCTGCGTGCGCGAAACAATTCAACGAGAAAGAGTCCAGACTAGACATCCTCTACAACAATGCTGGGATTATGGCAACGCCCATGGGCCTCACAAAAGAAGGCTACGAGATCCAATTCGGAACAAACCACATGGGCCACTTCCTATTGACCAGGCTGCTCCTGCCCAAGATGGAGAAAACCGCAGACGAGCCGAACGCGGATGTGCGCATAGTGAATGTCTCGTCCGAGGGCCATCGGTTCGCTCCAAACGGCCATCTCGTCACCGACGCAGAATCCCTCGGACAGATGATGACTTGGCGGCGCTACGGCATGTCGAAGCTCGCAAACATCCTTCACGCGCGTGAGCTTGCGAGAAGATATCCGAAAATCACCGCCGTGTCCATCCACCCAGGCGTCATCAAGACCAACCTCTACACACCCATGTCCGAGACAAATTTCATTCTGAAGTTTAGCACGGCTATTTTTGGTGCTGTCGCACGCGTTGCTCTTCCTGATGTCCCCGCTGGTGCCAAGAATCAGCTTTGGGCCGGGACGTGTCCCAAGTCGGAGGTGAGGAGTGGTGCCTACTATACCCCGATTGGCAAGGAGAAGCAGAAGGGCTGGGTTGACTGGAGCGACGACTTGGCCAGGAAGCTGTGGGATTATTCGGAGGCAGAGGTCCAACAAAAAGGGTACTGATTTCGTGATATCCATCAAACGGCTTTATACCCGGAAGTCCACTTTATGGCACCGCATCATATAAGCACCGTGACGAACAAGCTTCCGCAATATTCCAACTTCATCACTGGGTATAGGGACTGGCCTGACATGTCCGTCGTGTAAAACAACATGCCATTCCTCACGTATATGCTATGCCATACGGTAGTGGTATGCACGCATATCCAGCACGTTGCCTTCACATATACAGCACATGTTCGAAGAGATACCATCCATCCTCTTCGCAATGGCCACAATGCCCACTATAACTCCACCACAACCCAAGTCGTGTACTATCCATCACACCACATCCCACCGCGCAAGCCTACCCACCATCTGCCCCGCATTCCGCACAATACACAGACGGCCCTCCTTTTCCCTGTCCCTTTCTCTTCCCCCTTCCCTTTCCACAACATCAGCAGCTCCCTCCTCCCCCTCCTCACTACCCAGCGGCAAAACCCTCGATACCAGCACCGACCCAATCGCCGTCGCCTTGCCCTCGCACAGATTATAATTCCCCGTCGTCACGAAGCCTATCAGATCGACGGCGTCCGGCACGGCGGGATATTCTTCACCGTCACCGGGTCGGGTCTGCTGCTCGGTAAGGAGAACATGTGCCAGTCTAGCGCGGCGCTCATGGGCCGGTGCGTTTTGAGGCAGTGCGGCGATGTGGCGGTGGATTCTGTCGGTTTTTGCCTGGACGTCATGTCTGTGTCAGCTATTGTGCAAAATATAGGGTTTGCCCAGGGAGAGGGGGTTGGTATAGATATATATATATATATATATGTACCTTTTTCCTACTACTACCGGGCGAATCAGGAACCAGTTTCAGCCAGGACTGTCGGAGCTGGGGGTTCGTGGTGGGGAGACGGTATATGCGCGCGCAGGCGGTTGCGGAGCCGCGGGCGAGGAGGGTGAGGGTTACTGTGCAGAGGGAGGTGGTGAGGTTGGGGGCTGTGGGCGATGTGGTGGGGAGGGTGTGGGTTGGGATGTGGCGGAATTGTTTGGGGGGTTCAGCGGGTTCTTCTTCTGGAGATGGGGGAGGTTAGTGAGAGTTTTGGTTGGCTTTTATAGGCGATGGGAAGAAGGAGTGCGGTCCAGACGAAGGGAAACTTACCAGTCGAGTCCTGCGGCGGCGGCGGCCGACGCAGCGCGTCCCAATCGCACGCCCATCCAACTCCCACCTCGCCCTTCCTGCCTCGCCCTAGATCGAGCGTACTCCACTCGACACGCTTCCCCTTCGGCATGCGCGCCCACTCCCGCTGCCTCTTCTCGTCTTCAGCCCTCTGCCACGTATCCCCCGCCGCCGTGCCCGGATAATCGCCAGGGAACCAGGGCGTGCCGGATTCAAAGGCGAGCTGGCGCACCTCGTCCAGGCCGCCGAAGCGGGGGTTGCCGCCGGTCGAGACGGGGTAGTGCATGAGGGAGTACCAGATTGGCAGGATGCATTTCCAGGGGGCGAGGAGGGTCCAGCTGCCTTGGCCGTTGTGGGTTGGGTTTCGTCGGGTGAAGAGGAGGATGGGGATTTTGGGGTCGGTGGGTAAGGGGGTTGGGTGGGTGGTGTGGTGCTTGAGGGTGGATTTGCGGCGGTTGATGGATTTCTGGCTTGGGAGGGAGCGGGTTGCGGTTGTGCGGGCGGATCGTGAGAAGAGGGCTGAGGCGGGGGGTGGAGATGTGTCGAGGGGCCAGGTTGTGAGTAGGTCTAGCATTTCTGCTTCGCTGGGACAGGAGCTCGAGGACGGGGTACGTCGTGGAGGGTGGTGTAGTCTGGGGTCTGCGGCGGCGAATGATATGATGACGTCTTTGGGTAGACTGGCGCAGTTGTTCAGGCTGGACAGCTTCGGCCATGTAGCATCTGCTGATGATGGCGCCTGGGCATTCAGGGGCGTTGGCCACAAGACCGCTGTGAGAGCCTCTGTGGCAGCCGGGCCCGTAATCTCGATACTTCCAATCTCGAATCTGAGATCCTCGACGGCTACGGAGGGCTTCTGGACCTTTGAAAGACGGACAATCTGTTCCCAGGCTTGGAAGAAGCCAGCTGGATGTACTCGGACGAAGACCTTGCGTTTCGCGGCGGCTGCTTGGGCTGGAACGTCACTTTGGGGTGGCAGCGTGGCATTCTTGTCTGGTGCTGCGGGACACCATAAGATGGTTGTAGGTGCTATGGCATCGTAGGGGTATGCTTCTCGCTCGTAAAGCCAGCCATGCCACGCGCGCAGTCCTGCTCTCCATTTACGCCCGGGTCTGCCCCATATTGACTCGCGTTCGCCGACGCCGAGAGCACGGAGGAGGTTCTTGATGCTTGCCTCAACGCCTTCGAGGCTGATGGTCGCCATGTAGCTCATGTCCCATGCTACGGCTCCGCGTAACGTGCTGGCTCGGTGTGTAGGTCTATAGCTTTTGACGGACGGGGACAGTGGGATGGCGTAGCGCCACAGAGGTTCCTTCGGATTCGTCATTCGCGCACGTTTCGTATGATACATATGCGTAGGCAGCCATGACTTGTTTATCTGCCGTTTGCGGAACTTCGCCGGTGGTGTCGGCGGCTTCGCAACAACCGCGGTCTTCTTCACTCTTGGCTTACGAACGTTGATATTTTTCGGGTTCTTGGGACTCCCTTCTCCTGTTGCCGCTGTTGCTTCACCAGCATCATCTACTATAGCAGTGACCTTGACCTCGAGCGCTATATCTGCCTTTTTCCCCGTGCTCTTGCCCAGCCCATGTAACTTCCGCGCCGTATCCAGCCTCAATCGCGCCCGACCACTCTTCTTCCTCGTCCTCGAGCTCACCGTAGGCGTATTATCCTCCACCATCTCACGCATCGCCCGCCCGCGCAGCCTACCCGGAACCCGCTTCGCATTATGGCTAGCCTGCCGTCTGCGCAACTCCCGCGGCACTTCCTGGAACGCCCGACTGCTCAGCGCCTTCTTGGACCGCTGGATGCCTTCTTCGAGCGCTCTGATCTCGAACTCGCGCGCTTTGACGAAGCTGGAGAGGTCGATTTCGCCGTTGAACGCGCTCGACGAGGTCTGCGCGGCGAGTTTGCGGTCGGAGAGCGTTTTCTGGCGTTTTGCGTTGGGCGCGTGCGGTTGGGAGGATGCGGATGAGTGCGGTGGCGGCGGGCGCTTCTTGGTCGATGATTTCGCCGCCATGGCGTGTGTGAGGTGAGGCTCGTGGGCTGTGCATCTATCTGTTTGGGATATCTGGTGCGGCGGTCGAACATTCATGGAGTCGGAGAGTGGGTAGGGTCGGGTAAAACGCGGTCCTAACGCGCTGTCACGGGCGTCTTAAAGTGTATTTTCTGTTGGTCGCATAAACACGAAACGAAACCTTTTAATACTTAGGCACCTCCGGATCTCGGATCTAAAAGTGCCTTCTTGGACTCTATGTATGGCGAGGGCGTGCCTAATGACCAGGCACTATGATTCGACGCTTGTCAGCTATATGAACTTTTCTGAGCTGCACTGGTCCATGGCAGCGGCCATGCCTTGAGGTAGACAATCAAGGGAATCAGACTCACTGCATTGATGATTAGCCCAGCAGCTTCGTCCAGACCATCTTCGACTAGGCGTTCGTCGGCACGGGACGTGCGATGTTGATTATGATCATTCAGCATGCACCCTACGAGCATCACAAGCTCACACTTCGAGTCGAGTACGGCATCTCCAATACTACCCCTGAAGGGCTATGGCGGCAGCCTTTCGAGTAGTCGAGCTATAGTTCTAGTCTACCAAGGTGGTGGCTGATGAAAGGTAGCTGTCGCTCGAATCGATGCCCATGAGTCGCCTTAAAACATGAGTCTGTCTCCAGGTCGGACACAAATGTTCATGCAGGCGCTATCATAGCAGACATCTGCCACTTCACGAATGCGTATGAACACTCCATGGATTGTGTCGATTACATGGAAACGTAACTGGAAGTGCGTTGGTTGCAGAGAAAACGCATTCCTGAAGACGACGAGTCAACCATCTAGCAATTACTTTCTTCCCCAGACTAAAAAACCGGAGTCCGTACGAAAGCTATGAGAGACCTGAAAGATTCTCATAGGTCGCGTTTTGGCACTGATAAATTAAACACATCGAAAGACGATGACATACTTGAAGCAAGGTGAAAATTCTACAACGTCAACTACGTCCTCCAGACTTGTCGTTACATATTATACACAATTTGCTAGGCATCAGGCATTGATACACTCCTTAATATGACTGTGTCACTATCTGCTCACACCGTGGCACCTTTGGCCATGTTTGTGCTAGTACAGGCAGTTGTTCCAGCATCAACAGTCAGTATAGTGCCTACATATATTCAGTTCATCGGCATAGTCAAACACTCAATCATCTACTGACCAGTGATCCATCGAGCTTCTGGACCAGCTAGAAAACGAACTGCTGACCCACAGTCCCAGCCACAGCCTTCGGTCTTCAAGAGACTTCGCTCCTTTCTCGCCACACGAGCTTCATCGGACATACCATTTCCGTACATCATTGGGGTATACAACATCCCTGATTCAGTACTGGTCAGTCGACTTCAAGCTGAGTATGATGACCTACACACCCGGACAAACGCAGTTGACTCTTATGCCATCCGGGGCATGATGCGCTGCCATCGCTCGGGTCATGTTGACGACCGCGCCTTTCGTAGTTGGATACAACAAATGTGGAGTGCCACCTCGAAGTCCCGCGACACTTCCAATATTGACAATGCTTCCTCTCACATCGCGATCTCGGTCGTTCTTCATCATGACCGGTATCGCGTATTTGCTCATCAACATGATGCTATTGACGTTGACCTCGAAACCTCTATTCCATTCGTTCAAGTCCAAGTCGATCGCAGTTCCCTTGGCTCCCACGACTCCGACATTATTGATCAGAATGTCCAAACGGCCGAACTTCTCGGTTGCAAATTGGACAATACGAGAGCAGTCGTCCGGGTTTGATACGTCGCCGCTGCATGTTGCTGCTTCTGCAAATCCCTCGTTTTGGATCATCTCGACGGTCTTGTCCGCCCATTCTGTGTTGATGTCGACACAGACGACGTGACAGCCGTCTTCGGCGAGGAGTAATGCTGCCGCTCGACCATTTCCTATGCCTTCGCCTGCGGAGCCCGCACCTGTCACTATAGCTACTTTAGATGCTAGCGAGCGTGACGGGCGTGATTGGAGGTTTGTCATGTTCAAAATAGGCAGATTATGTTGCTAAGAAGCAGTGTTTGACTCTAGTCGTATAGCACTGGTTACATCTACCCATGCGTATTGTCCAGACGGATCCTATAGATCCGCATGTGGGGCAAGTATCTATGGATGACCCCTCTCTGCTGTCAGGCTACACTTTACTCTCAGTTCGGAGACTAATCCTACTCGTCTTAGTTACACCAAAAGTTTAGTTGTGTATGTATATCATCTGGTCTATGATGTACATCTTCTATTTATTCTTCCTGTAATCATAGCACGGCTGCAGCCTCACACACACCACACTCCTCGGTACAGCACATTCCACAGCACCATCTCTAGAGGTCTTGTAATCAGCAGAACACCACGAGTGCCTTAATACCTGATGGACCTTCATGTACATGTGCGGAAATGCAATTATGGCATTGAGACTCAGTGTCTGGACACCCAATATACACAGCTTCTCTTTCGTTCAGACTACCCTTTGTCGTTGATACTAATGCCAATATAACTCTAGCTTGAACCCCACGGTGTCAATACGCGCTCGTAGGAGTCAATTCGAATCATCGGTATCTCATCGTAAATGATCACTGCCTGGGGTTAGTATCAATTACCAAGCGAACTTTGTAGGCGCCAGTCACGCCATGCGACATGCTTTTATCGTTCAACTGATAATGGCTTGAACATCAATAAACACAATGATCGCAAGGCTCCGTTGGCCTGGTAATGCCGAAGGATGTAAGAAGGATTAATATTCCATTTAATGCTCTAATCTGCTAAATTCGGGTGTTATGCCAATCCTCTGCTATCGATCTCTCACTCACACGCTATTATCCTAGGTTAAATCAAAACGTCATAATCCAAGATTAGGAAGGACTCACAATGTCCTTTTGCACGTAGATACTCCCGAATGGAATGATGCGCTCCTGGCTATTCCTAACCTCCGGAAGGATCGGAGTCCCCCGTCGGATGTTAGCTATTGAACCGAACTGGGTCTTGAAATTCTGCAAGGGAACGTCCTGGGAGCTTTCTGGGTTTCGCTTGCTTCCACTGCTGCCGTAGGCGTATTGCCTGCCATAGCCGCTTCGCTTGTGCCGCCGCGAGGTAACGAGGAAACGTAGCGATGGAAGACACCCGACGATGATTGCTAGTTGTTCATGAGCTTCATTCACTATGCGTCCTGGGAACCCGAGTCTTGACTTACCGATGTTCAACTCCCAGATGGACCAAACGCCGACCCATACAGGACTGAAATGCCCAGTCTCGGGACGAGTATTGAGCAGTCTCAGCATGGCAAATACTACGACGAGGAAACTCAGCGAGAAGATGATCCCGAGGGCAGTCTTCTGACGCTTGTTGATCTGCAGGTTCCAAAGAAGATTCCACGGTAGCAGCATGATTGCTAGATCGGTGACGATGTCGGCGACTCCAGCGAATCGAATCGTCACGACGTGCATCGATCGGTTGTGTTCCGAGTGGCACTTCCCTATCCTTAACATCAGGACGTGCGAAGAACGATAGCAGATGAACATACCAGGCTTGAAATAGTCACCCGTCTTTCCACAAACGCCAAAAAGCAGCCCAAAGCTGACGAACAGACAACTCATTGTAAATCCAGCCACTGTCCACCAATATACCATTGATCTTCCTATAGATATATTCATGAACCGTCTTAGGAATACTAAGATACTGATCTTGACACTCCATAGACCCGTCCAAAACAACATGAATAATGCAAACTGGTAGGTTTGCCACATGGCTTGAGTCTCACTCGACTGTTGCGGTCCAAAGCCAAACATCAGATCGATCGCCACTTGATAGATTATAGCCAGAGCCAGGAAACAAATGAAGCCGAAGACAAGAGCAAAGTCGTCCGCAAAGACGGCATGTTTGATTTTTATCCGGATCCAGATTCGCGCGACTGAAAATGTAAATGTAATGGCCACACAGCTCCAGAGCATGGCCTACGTTGTTATCAGTTCGAACGTCAGTCTCGTAGATATCTACTAACCATGAATGCTCTTCTGGATGGAGTCCCCTCCATGGAAGGCATTTTCTGCCTCTGTGTAATGGTCACATCGTGGTCCATCCCATCTACTCTGAAGTCCAATTTCATTATGTGCGCATCCAGTGCACTCTACCGGCGAAAATCTTGAACGAAACCGAATGAATCAGAGGAAACCAGCACGAGCGGGGCCCTCAGGAAGATCAATTCATGCAGAGCATAGATGCCAAACCCGCATAGATTCACCATGCCTGCAAACTATATCATCACCCATCTGGACATTGCTTCGCGGCCCTCATGGATCATGTGCAGGATATAATGCCCAGATCGCGGCCAAGTAGGACCCAAAAGGTATATAGACCAGCGTCCGACCAGTCGCCCTGGTAGTCACTCTAGGTAGTTGATCATGACGCGGCAGTTAATCTACTTCTATTGGCCAACGACATGGGTTGCGCGTAATCCGGTCGTGCATAATCTATACTAGACTCTGATTGCAAGGGGAGGCATAGCTCGTGCCTGTGAGAAAAGCCGGGGTCTTGTAAGCGATGTGCAGATACAACGGTGTGTACTACGACTGGGCATGAGACCGAGTACTCTTTCAACGTCCGCGATATTATGGGCCGGTCCAGTATCTCTCGGCGATTCATGAGCTTCCGGACAAGGCTGGTGATGGAATTCCCCGCAATATACATTGCAGCCGCATACGTCGAGTAACTGCGCGAGTTCTTCCTTCCAAATTCAGTTGTATGTATTGCAGGGGTTGAATGCTTGTCACACTCCGCACGGGTGCTTGCCTTGAAGTGTTGATGGACAATCCCACATTCTGCATTCGTCTGAGATGCCCAAAGTGCGCGATTCAACAACGATCATTAGAATTCGATGTACCGCCAGATCCATGCCCGATCCTTTTCGCAGATCGTCTCATAGTAATGTGTCTATTATGAATATATAGCTATTAGTATAGAGGCTCCACGTGCTTTTTTATATGAGAGAGTAAGGAATAAGTCACGCGAAAGTCACGTGACCTATTATATGATAGCTTACTTAATGTACTCGACCGGAGCCACATGATATAGAACATGATATATCATACGGTAAATCACGAGGTCCATCACGTGATATTGAGTCACGTGACTTTCTTCTGGTCAATTTCGTCGAATCACCTAATCTCAAGAGGATATCTACCTATCTATATATAACTTCAGTTCAACTCAACTATTAGCAACTCAATCCCACCCTAGAATTGAATTGGACTGAAGATCCAACCCTTGGCAAGAGGCCTCAGTTGAACTGGACTGAGTCAATCCCGGAGAGGCAGGATTGAAGTTGGACTGATTGATAGGAACTCTGTTCTGACTGTCCAGGCAGCCTCGCAGGGCTAGAGGATGAGCCTTAGAATCTTCAGACACTGTCTTCAAGTCTTCTATAATCAGCCATAGGTGGTGTGTACAATTATACACAGAAAAATCAGAGCTTTCAATGGTTGGCTTAACTCCGATCTCTCTGAGATACCCCTCATCCAAGGTAAGCCGCCGAAAAGCCGCGTCGAATGTCACCCGCTCTGTATCTGGCTTTTTGAAAAACACCAAAGAAGGAAAATGGTGCCATTGACGGCGTTTTACAGATCTGCGCTCTTTATTCCAAGCTTCATTACCAGAATTGTTGGCCAACACTGGGAATATCGAGATTAGGTCGGCATATCCAAGAGTGTGTCGGCAAGGTCTCACTTACCTATGCAACAGAGCCCCGTGGCCCAGTACCGGAGTAGGTCAATGTAGTAGTGCTGTAGGAAACGATATTGTTTTCCTCCATATTCAAAGACTGCCGGCAGTTCACGCCCTTTGAGCATTGAGACCATATACTGGAAACCGTCCTTAGTAAACCTGTCTTCGCAATCTTTCCGACATGCAGGTGAGTCTCCTATCTTTCCAAGGACATAGTCAAGATGGTCGGTCAAAAACTTATCGTCCACACAGGGATAATTCGCTATATCTATCATGATTGATTCAGGAGGTGGGAAGTCAGGCAGTGAATGTCCTTGGAACGATGGTCCGGCATAAGGATTGGGTACAAAAGGTGAATGACCTGGGAACGGTGGTCCGGCAAAAGGGTTGGGTACAAAAGGTGAATGACCTGGGAACGGTGGTCCGGTAAAAGGATTGGGTGCAAGAGGTGAATGTGTTGACATTATGGACTTTTCGTCTTCCTGGTATCCAAGGTCGTATTCACTGGAGGGGTGTGACATTGTTCAGATTTATTGGGTAGAAAGGCAAAGATTTGTCGTTCAGGGGGTTGTATCGGTAAGAAGGATCTCTGCAGAAGTGATATTACCTCCGAGAAGATATTCGGTCCTCCTTTTATATCCATTTCGACAGCACGTACGCCAGAGCAGATTCAAGAAATGTACCAAGTAATGCATTCCGACCCAGATCTGGAACTCTGTGGCAAACCAGATATTTCGCAATGTGTCCAAGTTCTGCGAGTCGATCCTTCTAGTGATTGGGATCCACAAGCGTACAGCATTCCGTTTTGTTCTCTTTGACTAAATCGTGGTCGAGGTGTCTAGGGGTTTTGGCGGTCCGGATAGGTTTGAAGAACTTTTCATTCAATACGATCCGAGTGATTACACATTTCAGCTGCCAGAATTCGAAGTATCGATTTTCCAAAGTAATATCGTGACATAGTACTCTAGTGTAGCCGTTAGTGTATGAATAGTCAGTTCCGAACGCAAACAAGATCTAATATCAGAGCTGTGAACGAGCACAGCAGCTCCTGACGGAAGACTAAGCAATTCATACTCGATGGGAACATTCCTTACCAGAAATGGGAAGTACTGGTGTTGTTTGCAAGTGGAGAACAGGACTTCGTTGCAGGAACGAGAAAACAAACTCAAGGATCGAAGCGGTCATATCAGGATTCTACACGAGCATTCCGTGGCTTTCAAAGCTCAATGTGGAATTTTAATGCTGGACTGCGAATCTGGTGAAACATTGGTATGAAATACCTGGACGCAACTCCGAGAGCAGGAGCAAGGGGCAAGAGCGCTCGCTTACGATGGCGCCTCATTGTGCAACCATGTACCACTATGGATTACAAGGAAAGGAAGACTACAAGGCATGAAATGCCGCAAGGGTTGTTAATAATTAGCACATGTGACTAGTTTCTGGCTTGCTTGTTTATCTCTTTGTCCTACGAAATGACTAGCGCATACCACGTTCCATGACGAAGCTACAACTTCATGTTTGTAGATGGAGAAGTGCCGCTGTGATCATATCAGCATTAGTTCTGATTGATACAAAGTGTAACGCTTACCCACACGTTACGATATAAATGGAGTCACTCACACGTGGTCGTGGAACCAGTCGAGGAGGATCTTGTACCCACGCTCATACTCGGAGCGAACGCGCTCGTTGTCAAGATCACCACTGTGTCAAGTCAGTAGCCACCTTCTGGCAACCCATCTACACAAACTCACCGAGCAGCCATGAATCCATGAACCTGATCATTGAACCACTCCACTCTCGTCTTGACCTTCAACGCCTTCTCCCATTTCTCCACATCTTCCTTGCTCTCATCCTTACTCGGCAACAGCGCTACCGGAACTGTAATCCCACTCGCATCCCCGGCGTCTACCATCGCCGGATGCACCGCCGCACCAGCCTTGAAAGGCGTGCCCTGCTGCGTGCTAAGATTCACTATCTTACCACCCCAGCAGTAGCCTAGAATGCCCCAGTCCTGGATGCCAGTGCTATTCTTCAGCTCATCCAAGATTTTTGGGATACGGCCAACGGTTGTCGGTGGTGCAGCCGTGGTGTTGAAGAAGTCGCCGAGCTTCTTACCTTTCTCTTCGTTGTCAGGAGGGTACCAAGAAATATCTGCAGGTTTGCCCTCGAAGAAGTCAGGCATAAAGACCTGGTAATTTTGATGCGAATCACCAGTAGCAAGAATATCGGCGCCTTGAAGAGTCTGTGGGAAATATCCGAAGATATCATAGACGACAAGGATGCCCTTTTTCGCGGAAGACGGACCCGTAGTGTAGGTCTTGAGACCGTTAACAGTGGTCCAGGTACCCTTCTCCTTGTAGCCATCTTTGACGACTGGAGGTACGGTACAGCCTGAAGCGGATCAGCTGATTGGGCATGTTCAATTGAATGGATATGCTTGGACTTACAAGCGTGCGAAGGTGTTTGAGACATGTTGACGAATCTAGCTTCAGCAATTGGGGTGAAAAACGGATTGAGTTTCAGTATCCTTGGAATTGGAGATAGAAAGGTTCATGGGCGCAGTACAGAGACATTTTTAAGTAGTCAGGCCACGGATAGCTAGGTATAGTGGGGCACTGAGGGGGATATCTTACCCTGGACGACGTCGTTGAGGTGTTTTGAGGAGTAGCGTCACATGACGTCATGATACATCATCGCAGAGCCCTCGGCTCACCGAGATGCTATAGATGGATATCTGCTCAGTAGTTCTAGAGGATCTGAATATTGATTTATCCGAGAGAGGGGTGTTACGGTTCGATTAGCCGAAACCAGAGAGCTACGGTAATGGATATTGTAATGATACTTTCTCAACTTCTTCGACTTCCTGATTTAGACCGAGATAGGTGTGATTGTGCTAGTGCACAAAAGGTTGATGTTTGCCTCAAAAACTAATGATGCGAATGCGTTGCTGATAATATTCGGAGCCTGTGCGCCATAGGGATGTTCTAACCTAGGTAGATCACCTTGTAGCCAGCCCCGAGAGAAACCGTCATATCAACATCTCCAGAAACTCCCAGCCAAATAGTCCAGGTAACCAAGTTATATGACCATGTCTATCTCTTCACCAATCTCCCACAAAATTCGCCCATTTCCACTTATTCTTCTCACCTGGCAATCTAGTTTCCCCAATCTCCTTCTCCGTTACTTGGCTCCACTCATCCAATGGAATCCACCCAATGTACGCTCTGTCTCCAAACCCGCCAATCCAATATACTTCCTTCACGACCAGCCGCACGAATTTTGACTCATGGATTCTGTTTCCCGGTAGCCACGCCGCAGCATCTGGATGTGTCTTTACAAAACATCCCTCCACGCCTAACTTGTTCATTTCGTCTTTCTCAATGTCCTCCAGATACCCGACCAGGCTAAATCGCGGCATGCTAGCCGCACTATACGGTGTGCCCGCAGGGTACGGCGGGTGCCAGCGCAAGCTCAGCGTGATATTACTCCCAGCATCAACATTCTTAAAGGAAGTAGCAATACCAATGGCGAGTATAGTAGGGTTGCCATGAGCCTCGCAGTCGGCGAAGTAGTCCATGAGGCCGACAGGGGTGCCTTGGACATCGGAAGGGCGGCGCTCGAAAGGAGCGATCGAGGACGAGGAGGGGAAGATGGTCGAGAGAGTACCGATTGTCTCGAGGCGTAGGATGCGGCGGGCCTGCACTGCGGATTCATGGATTGTTGGAATGGACCAACCTTCTTCGGAGAGGGGGTTCGTGAAGATGGTTTGCGGGCTGGGAAGGAGGGAGGCGGCGATTGGGCCGACGAGAAGGCTGAGCAGAATGAGCCGCATGTTGCTCTAATGGTATTTTCTGCTCTATCAGATAACAGACGTAAGAAATAGAGATGCAGAGAGCACTTGATAATTGGTGGTGAAGTGGTCAGGTCGGAAAGAAGCCATCTATCGAGAGACGGACGCTCTCGTCTTTGTTCGCCGAGCCTGGGCAACCTCGGAGGGGCATCCTAGACAGTATATCCTTGCAAAAGAAGATCTTATCAATGGTGCAAGGTGCAGTTTCATTGCTAACACTGATGGGCATCATGGTGAAGCATCTATTAACCAGGAGCTACATTTGGTACATAAGTTACACAAGCTGCTTAAACATTCGGGCTGAGATCTTATCTTATCAATCTCCATTTCGACGTCTCCAGGGCTGAAGATGTTGTACAACGAACTATTACTCCGAGATCAAGGCCACACGATTTCGGTCTCTGTATCTTACGTCACTTTCTTCGTCTGCTGCTGCAGGCACGAACAGAATAGCGATCAAGATCAAGATCGAGTTATCTGGGGTAACCATTAGCATCGGGGCTATGGCCTGGTGATGTCAGTTGTCTAAGACAACTGACTCGTATATAGCTCCCGTCCTTGGCATAACGGCGTTCTACCCCCCCAAAAGTGTAGGTTGTCTAGTGAGGGCTGAAGGCCCAAACTGGCGGCTGACTGACTGTGGGTGAGAGTGAGTTGGAACATCTGATGGATCTGATCGATTATCTATAGTGGTTGAGTTGGTCGGGAGAAGCAAGCCACCTACGCCACATGCTGAGCGGCTTGGCAAGAAGCCACCGCGTCCATGGATGGATCCAAGGTTTATCCTTGAGTCTCGCGCGAACCTCAATATGGGACTCGATACTCGCAACGGGCGCTACACACGATCCAGCAGACGAAGACGCAGTGATGTGCTTGTACATGCGGATCGCTGGGCTCAACGGAGTCTTACCATGCAGGAATCAACTTGTCATATGGCCATGTGCCACCGCCGCCATCTCGAGCGCGGGTTCATGCACTGCACGACGTGTGGCGTGCAGTCCGGGCATGCCCATGCCTTGTTTTCAGAGCAGTGAGGAACATCTTTTCCACACTTACCGTTCCCCGTTTGCGTTCGTCACTGTCCTCGTGCCAGTTTTTTCCTTTTGGCTGACGGATTCACAGTGGCCTGCAGCCTTGTGATTTAGAGACCTAGCCAACCCCGCGCCATACCTGCCACCAGGCATCCTTGGTTAAACTTGGGAGTCCGTGGAACACTATGCCATGATGCCGTTCTGGACCAGAAAGAATAAGCCGAACCCAGTGGTTGATCGTCGTGGTGTGGCGCAACAGATCGAGAGATCCAGATCCGGCTTACGGAAGAGAATCGGGATTCTGCTGAAGGGCAAGCGACACTCAGACATGGCAATTACTTCTCATAAGAATGTCTCGGTAAGTCCTGACTTTTTGGATTCCTTCGTCTGCAGCAGCTACGTGCATGCACCAGTGCCAGCCTTGGAGCCAGAAAGCCAGCCTCAGCTTGGCTGTCGCCGCCGTCCATGAATCTCTACTTACCTCTCTCCTGTGTACAGGACTCTCACATTGCTGACACCAAACTGTCGAAGTTACCTTCGATCAGTTCTCACTCCCTTCGTCCTACTCCACACGGATGTAGCTCGATTTATAGTCCAAATAGCGGACAAATCTCGAGCAATGAGACCAGTTCACCGCCCAAGCCTGACGAAGCGAAGATTGAACGTGTGAAAATGCTCGGACAGGAGGATTTCCATACCTTATACTCAGGTGCACCACACTTCACAGTTGGTAGATGGTACACCAGGCCACTGCCTCAAGTCACCTTCCCATGGAACAAAGGGGTTCAGGTGCAGGACCTCCGAGACTGTACTCCACCAGCGCATGCTGCATTCTCACTCGCGACATCACGTCGACATACACACAAGATGGATACCGAAGATGAGGAAGACAAGGTACATATTGGGTACGAGATCAGCATCGAGGAGGTACCCAGCATGCTCAGTGTCACTGGTCTTGAACCTGGCACCATTGGCTACGAACATTTTCTGGAAATTCCTATATCGGACAACTATGTCGATATTGATGAGTACAAGGCTTCTGGTGGTCTGTCTGAAGCAAAAAGAAATATTGAGCTACTGCTACACAACCCTGAACGCCTCGGGATCCGGAGTATGCAATCTCAGGACATCAACGAGCGACTCATCGAACTAAGTGAAATGTATCAAACATTAAAGGCTAAAGGGGGAAATGCAACTATTCTCGACGAGCAAACTCCAGCCACTCTGTACACTGTCCTGTTTGGAAAGTTTTTGACTCCGCCGCGATACGACCCAAACACAAGAGATCCAACAGGCTTAAAAGTCCAAATCGAAACGTTGATTAAGGTTCTGAAACTTAAAGGAGTGTGGTTCGACTTTAGTCTAGTAGAATGGCGTATCAAGCTTGGGCAATTGATTTGGGCTAGTGGTAATGCTCAAGGTTCAACAGAAGATGTCAACTCCACAGACAAAGCGCATGAATGGACGGATAGAGACACTTTCGTTCTTCAGCTATCGCTGGCGTGTGAGCTCCTACTTCGGCTTGATGCCGTCAGTGCTATGAGTTCGCCGGAGGTCGTGCAGAAGATGGCGCTTACACAGGCAGAAGTCGAAAGTTTCACAAAGATCAAGACTCGCAAAACAGACTGGGATCTCCTCCTAGCGAGAAGGTTCCTAGACGATATCCATGTGATGCTAGAAATGCCGCAACTACCAGTATCACCCAAAAAGCGCGGCTTCTTCTCCGCAATTTCTTCTGAACCCGAATCGCCTCAAGCAGAACAAAGGCCAATACTTGTGTTTGCCCCAAGGCATCCGTCAAGGCAATTTTCGGGCCTCTTGTTCTTTGCGAATCAATTGCTTTGGCCGAATATGGACCATATCTCGTCGGATTTATCTCGTAAACTTGGTTTGCCTAAGCAAGACGAGCACGCAAAAGTGGGTGACCCGCGTAAGGCGGTTAATCCAGTAATAGCAACCTTAGGAACATCTTCATCGAGCATATACAGTACTCCCGTCGCTACTCCGCGAGCTCTGTTGAACAATCGCAATAGCTATTTCAACATCGCACCCGTCCGTCCTTCCCTTAGCCGAGGAAATTCAGCATTGTCCATCCAATTGAGACCATCGAACCAAACAGACGAGGCTCTAGGCAACCCAATCGATATTGGTGGTTGGCTGTCTCGCGCTTACCTGACGGGCTTCGTTCTTCCTGGAGAAGCTTTGCCACACTTGCTGATTAGCACTCTACTAGAGAATGACTCATCTGCCATTACAGCTCTTGGCGATGCTGCTAACCTGTATGGCGCCTTCATATACGCCGGCAGTAGTTGGTGGAGTAAGAGCTGCGTAGCTGGCCGCGTCCTTGCGGCAGCCGAAGGGTCCAAGGAATGTATGGGTTGGATCAGAGCATTGATCGTCCCTGAGGGTTTCGAAGATCGCTGGCTTGATATCACCTTCAAAGACGTTGATGTGCCAGATCGCCTTGGAGATGCCGTACAGAAAAGCGGGGGATTCATCAAGAATGGAGATATCAAGGACGCTCATTCGGACGACTTCACACTACCTTTAGACGATGATGCAAATTCGGCATATCGTGGGGCCATCAAGTTCCTTGAACTGAGACTAGAGACCGCGACGGAGATGCAAAATTCACTTCACGCATCCTCAAATCCACAACATCCTGCTGTACCCTCCGCTGATCATTATGAAGCCAAAGAGTATGGCGTTTCTCTTCGATTTTCCTTTACACCGGCAGAGGTTTACGACACAGCATCTGTCAGTACTCCTGATTCAGACATCAATCACGATCTCGACGACCGTGATGCCTCACCACCAATCCCGCACACCATGGAATTCACCGTATACATCACGTTCGATGTTCACTTTATCTCAGCCTTTCCTTGCATACCGCCTTCCGCTTCGAAGATTTCTGTACTCTTACCAAATTCTACGCCTCCGCCCTCCAAAATTAAAGGACAAATACACGCGCATCCTCTACACTCCAGCCACTCTTTCCAGATTGTTCCCGCCTCGGCTCTATACCACAATAACCCTGTCCCGAAAGACGATATTCTCGTGGTCCAATGTCAGAGCTCAGACGAGCAAGTTTTATCAAGAGCGTGGTGTGCCCAGACTGGACATCACGCCTTGATCTCTAGGCAGGGTCGTACTTGTCTAAGCTGTGCAATCAGAGAAGCTGGAGCGTTGGGTGTGAAGGTTGTTATTAGGATGATCAAAGCATGATGAAAACACAACCTACGACGCGCCGAATTGCAAGGACCAAAAATTTGTAACGAAATTATGACTTACCTTATGTGCAACACGGATACGACTTTTATGATATCGATGACTCCCCAGCGAGGTATATGGCTATTGCATGGTTCACTTGGCTTAGAATGTTACTCCATGAGATACCCAGATACAGGATACGGTGTGCCCCGTGCTAGGCGCACGGTGGCCAGGCTCGGGCGTTTGGTTATTTTGGTTTTGATGGGATTTTGAGTCATGACAACTCATTCAGCGTTACTGTACTGTATTGAAAATCTGGTGTATATTATCATTTAATAGTTGCGGAAAAGCACCCCTCGCCGTTGTTGAGATACATTAGTCTGGTACGTCAACCGTGACCGCTGACAGACTATCGAAACGAGAGCTCCTAATAATGATACAGTACAGTGTGATACACTCGCAAGGCATTGCCTGAAGCTATATACTAGATGATAACAGTGAGTTGCATACAGTACCAATGATTATTTTAATACATGGCTGAGAAAGTGACGGAACGTCTCTCGGACGTATATGATGTTCTTCTAAGCCCGAACATTCGAGTTTCAAGCGTCAGCTTCTAGTCGCTGTCGCTGTCGCTGCCAAGGTCGCTGAGCTCGCTAAGAGAATCATCGCTCCCTTCGTCCTCTTCATCACTCTCCATCTTCCCTTTCGTCTTCTTGGTCTTCTTCTTATTCGGGCTTCCAGCCTCGACCCCACCTTTCCGCACCCCAGTCCGCTTAACCAGATGATCAATGACACAGCCATCCTCCCACCCGCGATACGTCTCGCTCGTATTCGCTCTGCACCTCGGACAGCTCTTCCCATGACGAATCAGGAGCTGATGCAAGGCGTACTTGAGCTCGTCGGGGATGCGGACGTCGCAGTGCGCATACGCGGTGTTTCTTGTGGCGTTTGGGGGGACCCAACCGAGCCAGGAGCAGAGACGGAAGACGTGCGTGTCGACGGCGAAGGAGGGCCGCTGGAGGCAGAAGAGCAGGACGCAGGAGGCGGTCTTTGGGCCGATGCCGGGGTACTTGACGAGTTTGTCGAAGGCCTCTTTGTCGGGGAGGAGGTGGAGATGGTCTAGTGAGATGACTGAGGCTTCGGCGAGAGCGACTTCGCGGTCCTTCTCGTCGGCGGATTCCTTGGATGCGCCGGCGGGATCGGCATTTGGGTTAAGCAATGCGGCGCGCCTGGCTTGGTTTTCTTCGTAGACTTGTTGTAGGATTTCCTTGATGTCTTTGCTTTTGACTTGTGCGAGTCCGCCGCTTTTGATGGCTTCGAAGACTTCTTTGACGTCTGCTCGTCGGACGGCGTCCCAGTTGACGCTGCCTTTGCCGATGCCTTCTTTGATGGTGCCAAAGCGTTGGACGAGGCCCTGGAAGGCACGGGATGAGTTCGTGCCGGATGTCGCGGCTGACAGCCGAGTACGGATGAGTGCATCGAGCACAGACGGCACTTCGCCGCAGCCGGAAACGGTCAGGGAGGGGTTCGGTATAGTCTTCGGGGCTTTCACAGCTCCGTGTAGTTTTGACAGGACATCATTCACCTCGTGACACTCCTCTGGTGTGGGGTGTGGCCAATCGGGAAAGGGTGTTTCGCCAGGAGTGAGTCCGTAGGTGGTGTCCTTGGGCTTCTTGGCTTTCTTCGAGGGCGACCCCTTTTCCTCTGTTTTCACGACCACACTGTTGACAAGTTCTTTGGCATCAGCAACGTCAGATGCCTCGAGTTTGACCTGTTTGCGTGACCTTGATTTCTTCGCTGGAGAGGCGACGTTCTGCTTGGTATCTAGAGACTTGCCAAGGTTATGCGGAAGCTCGTCGTCTTCCTCTGATTTCACATCGCCGCGAGTTCTCTTCTTTGTGCTCCTTGGCGGTGATACAGTGGTCGATACTTGTTCTTCGCTTGTGTGTTTGGCGGTTCTCCTTGATCCAGGGGTAGCTTTTCTAGTGTTACGATTGGCTGGCACAGGCGTAGGAGGTGGACTTGAAAGCTGCTGCGGCTCAGTCTTCAATATCGAATTGATGCCTCCTGCTGCTGCTGCGGAGTTGCGAGTCGTGCGAGTCATGCTTCTATGTTGTATTCTACAGAGTTTCGAGAACTGTATATGTACTTGCTGCGACGATATCGGCCTCTGGAGAAGTGTTATGCGAGCAATACGCCCTATCGTAAAGGAAGCAATATTGGAAGGGGTAATCCGATTAAAGTACCATAAACGAAGCCTTACTGATTGGCGAGAACGAGACGAGTAGTCTAGTGAGTATTATTATAGTAGACAGAACACACCAAAGGAGTTAATGAGCAACTATGGGTGAAAGACGTTTGTAGCTCGACAATCTGGATAGAACACAATGCAATGAATGCAGAAGATCTCAGGCATATTTGCTGGCGCAACAAGAGAATGGTGACGCATTAGCGCCAACTGGTGGATCTAACGGACCCACTTATTCCGCCGGTAGATCAGGTACGTACGCCAAGACACGGCGGGGCCTGAGCGCGATTTTGTCGTCTTTACAATCCGACTAGACCATCAACTCTCTTGACATAATACATCATTCGAAAGCATCAGAATGGCAGCAATCACTATTCCCGCTCTCAAGCGCCACACTGCTACCGTTATCTTTGCCCATGGTCTTGGAGATAGGTCATGAGCCCGCATCTTCTTTCGATATAAACAACTGACAGCTGGCAGTGGTGCGGGATGGTATGTCTCGATCAAGCGGTAGCAGTGATCTCCTGCTGAGTTCTCTAGGCTTTTCCTGGTCGATAACTGGCGGAAGCGGAGCAAGTTTGAAGAAGTGGCTTTCATACTTCCCAACGCACCCAACATCCCTGTTACACTGGTATGCCGTTTGTCGCTCCGCTAGCCATAGTTGCATTAGTTCCCCCCAGCTCTTCAGTCACTGACACAGTTTTATAGAACATGGGGATGCGCATGCCTGGCTGGTATGATATAGTACGAGCACACAACTACCCTCCCCCGGAGGACTGGCCTAACGGATCCCAGAAATCTCTCGACTCGATAGCAGCGCGCGAAGACGAACCCGGCATCCTCAAATCTCGAGACTATTTCCATGGCCTGATCGAGGAGGAGGAAAAGAAGGGCATACCATCCCATCGTGTAGTCCTTGGCGGATTCTCACAAGGAGGTGCCATGTCTCTCTTCTCGGGCATGACCTACCCAAAGAAGCTTGGTGGCATTGCCGGGCTGAGTTGCTACCTGTTACTCCAGGACAAATTCCGGGATCTGGTGCCCGCAGAGAACCCGAACAAAGAAACGCCAATTCTCATGGAGCATGGAGATGCCGACCAGGTCGTGTTCTACAAATGGGGCAAATTGACATCCGAGAAGCTCAAAGAATGGGGCTGGACTGTCGATTTCAAGACTTATCCAGGTCTACCCCATTCGGCCTCTCCTGAGGGGATAGATGATCTTGAGGCGTATATCAAAGCGCGCATTCCCCCATTGGGCGACAAGAAGGCCGAAGAGACATTATGACTTCATCGATACATGCAATTCGATACTTCTTTTTTCATCATTGTCGTTGGAGTTCTGCTACTACTATACTGGATGCTACGACTCTTGAGCCGTAAAGAGAAGCGTAGATAACGAAACAACGAACCTATATAGAACACAAACTTGCTTATAGGCAAGATAACGTTAATCACGCATGATGCAGTCTCCACACTATGCCAGGTGGCTACTCGAGATATGCCAAGACTTCACTCGTGAACATGCGCATCGATAATCGACGCCACGTTTACGCCGCGGACCGGACCCTGACGTGACAAGTGTCGCGAACTTCGTTACATGCCACTTTTTTGCGCATTTACAACCTAGAACCTCTCACGACGCTTTCACAGCCATGAGAGTCTGCTCCTTCGACAAGATCTTCTAGCTGTCCTAATTGCCAGCATTTACCACCCGTCCTCTTTCCACCTCAGACAAAATGTCTGAAGATGTCGGCGCATTCGCAAATGCTGTTGGTCGCATAGCATACGAATTTTCTCTGATTCGACCGATGATTCCCACATACGTGCACCTCATACTTTCTGCACTCTTCCCGATCGTCGCCGGCGCTCATGCCTCACTATCTCGTCCTTCCTCTGCTGCGAAAACCCGAAGACAGTCAAAGACAGCCGACCGACAAGACGATGACGATGACGAGGAAGAGGAGGTGCAAAAGATGGAAGGACTGTCGCCTTCGGACGCACTGATGTTCCCACTACTTGCAGGCTGTACCTTGGCTGGCCTATACTTTCTCATAAAATGGCTCCAAGATCCCACCATATTGAACAAACTACTGAACGGGTACTTTGCCTTCTTCGGGGTGTTCTCTGTTGCAAAGCTTATTTGCGACTTCTTGGACTTCATGCAAGGCTTCGTCTATCCCCGAAAGTACGTGAGCGGTGGAGCCTTGTGGGAGGTATCTGGAGCCGACAGACAGGTGAGAATTGTCAGTGGGACTGGTGGTTCGCTGCGAGTCTCCCCTCTGCCGGGATTGCTGTCCAGGTTGCCGTTACCGTCACCAATCATGAACTTCCTGTGGTCAGTACGCGAAATCCCTTGTCAGAAATGGACTGTCAAGCTATACGTGCACAAAATCGCCGCTCTTCGAGCTAAATTGGGCACCAACATGATTGTCGCAGCACTCGCTGGGCTCGCCAGTGTTGTTTACTTCAACACCGTATCGAAGCCCTGGTTCTTGACGAATCTCATGGGCTTCGCTTTCTCCTATGCAGCTTTACAAATCATGTCGCCGACGACGTTTGCTACCGGAAGCCTCATACTCTCTGCTCTGTTTTTCTATGACATATACTTTGTTTTCTACACGTAAGTCTAGTCGTCTCGAGCATCACAGGTCGCGTCACTTACTAAAGCAAAAAAGACCCATGATGGTCACTGTAGCAAAGACTCTCGACATTCCTATAAAGCTTGTCTTTCCACGCCCACCGTCCCCCACCGATGCCGACGCTCTGCCATCGTTCGCCATGCTTGGTCTTGGTGACGTCGTCCTCCCAGGCATATTGATCGGCCTTGCGCTCCGCTTCGACCTCTACCTCTTCTATCTACGCAAACAGACCAAAGTCACAGTCACAAAAAACGAGAAGGAGACTGTAGAAGTTCTCAAAGCAACATATACATCGCTCTCAAATCGCTGGGGCGAGAATTTCTGGACTCACTCCTGGCTTGGCCGGCCCCTGGCCCCTGAACAAGCGATGCAAAATCCCACCACATTCCCAAAACCATATTTCTATGCCTCCCTGACCGGCTACATTGCTGGCATGCTCGCAACACTCGTGGTAATGCATATCTTCGAACACGCCCAGCCTGCCCTTCTATACCTCGTCCCCGGTGTGCTCATCTCCACCTGGACAACAGCTTTGGTCCGCGGCGAGCTCAGGGCGATGTGGGAGTTCTCCGAAGCCGTGGAGGACGAGCAGGGCAGCAGCAAGGACTCCAAAACCGGCGACCGGCACGCACAAGCAATGGAAGCGATCAAATCCTGGCCGAACTTCTTCACACTGGAGGAGCTGACTAGCATGGCCTATCCCATGAACGCGAGGGGTGGTGGTGGGAAGTTGGGGCTTGAAGTGGCTATCCCGAGGCGCCGAGAGCGTGAGGTGTTTTCGCTGACGATCGAGGCTCCGTTTAAGCTTTCGCGTCCTGGTTCAGTGGGAGGGGTGGATCTGACTGCTGGTGTGGATGGTCTGGCGAAGAATAGTAGCAGCGATGCGACATTCGACGACGAGGGACAACCAGTCGCGAAGAGAGCGCGCCATGTATGATGATGATGATGATAGAGGCGACGCATGTAGCTTATGTTGTTCATTTACTTGACCTCGCATAGCATTCGGTGTCCTAGAAAGAAGGGGTTTATAGTCCGCTATGTTCTGTGGCCTCACAATACGATATCAAACTTGCATTTCAAGATGCACATGCAGACTACCACGTATGAAAAGGAGTGTATCCTTTCATTGCATAATTCAAGATATTCAGCCGAGAAAAATCCAATCAGTCAAACGACAGCCATAATTACTTTTGTGAATTCCCTCTCTCTATCTATCCCTGCACCCACCCCTCACCTCCAAGCGACGCCCAAGAAACCCAAATCTCCCCAAGGAAAATCCCACCCCCAAAGCCCAAAAGCCACCACATCTAAGCCCTCTCCTTGCCCTTGCCCTTATCCTTCCTCCCCTTCCCCTCCTCCACCATCTCCAACCTCCTCCTCTCCTCCTCCTCCGCCACCCCCTTTGCCCTCTCCTCCGCCGTAACCCGCGGCACCTCCCCCAACACCTCCCGCACAATCCCCAACAACTCCCCCTGCCTCTCCCCAAACCGCATTTCAAAATCCTCAATCACCGTCTCCAACTCAATCGCATTCCGCGGCCTCAGATCCAGCAGTTGGAGGTACTCGGTCTCGTAAATCGCATTCGGGCCGAAAGCCTGCGTGACGCGCTGGACGAGGCGGAGCGGGGTGTCGAGGGTGAAGGATGTGGTGGCGGCGGGGCGGACGGGGGAGTCTGGGCTGGTGAGGTAGGTGTGGGCTTGAGTGAGGATGTAGGTGAGGTTTGGGGGCGTGGGGTCCGGGGTGTTGGGCGGGAGGGTGGTGAGGCGGTGGGCGTAGGATTGGCGGGTGGATTGGATGCATTGGAGGGCTTCCCAGGCGTCGATGGGTTTGCTGCCTTTGATTTGCTGGGTGGGTGGTGGTGGTGGTTAGTGTGATGGATGATTGGGGTTGGGGGAGAATAAGGGGGGAAGGGTGCATACAGGCATGATTTGAGCTTCTTGGGATGCGACTTTTGTGCCTGGCCGTGTGCTTGGGTTCGTGGGCGCGGCGACGACGGCGGCAGTGGCGGCAGCGGCGAGGACAGGCTCCGGGGGCAGGTCTTCGTGGATCTTCGTCATTGTTAGATTGAGGTTGTTCTTGCGAGTCGACATCTTGATTGTGATTTTGGAATGTGAGGGCTTGGGATGTGGACGTTTTGATGTTGTTGGAAGCCCAACGCATTTATAGACGTAAAAGAAATTCGGGACAGGGTTGGTAGGTAGGACTCAGAAGTGAATTGCAACAACACATGTTTGATTAGGGACTCGGCAGGACGGAAATCGGCTCGTGCGTAATTTGCGGATGGTAGTGAAAGGCTGAATGAATGCTTACACGGTGTACAATGTTATGATACTCCCTGGGCTCTTTGTTTAAGACTCGAGCTTCAGGAATACCAGGCTGTTCTAAGTAGACTCGTACGAGGGTTCTTCTTTACAGTGCAATATTTTCTTCCTGGCTCTTGCTTCTTAGATATCACTAATTCCCTTGAGATATGCGCGTTGGGGGTTAATACCTGCACTGGAAGAGTTGACTAGAGAGTTGATTCATTAGTGCTGCAGAAGTTCACTGTCTACGGGTGCTAAGGAAGAAAGGAGCTAGACTGGGCTATCTTGGATGACGGACTCCCATTAATAGAATATAGCAGCTTGACACAAAGCTGACTATCTACATTGAACAGATGGATTGAATATTCGATGAAAGTGCCTTGATCGACTGTCTTTAATATTTCGGATATCACTCAATAGTAGTCACGTGCGAACGCGTTTTCTGTACAGGCCTTCGCGTCTTCCGGTTCTGCGAGCTTAATGTACCACAGTCCACCTCAATGCCAGCAACACCATCCTACCTCACACGCTCCACTTCGACACCTTTTGCGTCGCCTGGTGGTAGCTATGGATACCGCTCGACGGAGGATGAGTCAATTGTACTCGAGATAGGAGCCCGCTACCTGCGCGGAGGCTTCTCTGGCGAGCCCCAACCGCGCTGCACCCTCGCCTTCCCCCCGGACGAACAGCGACGCGTGGGCGATTACCGTGCCTTTATGCCCACACATGCATTCCGAGAAAGACGAGATACAGGACCGTGGGGTGAAGATCATGAGCTGTGGAAGATGGATCTGCGGGGCCAGGACCTCGGACTCGTACAGGACAAGTTGGAGAGGGCGCTGCGGAAGGCGTACAATGAGCACTTCTTGCTGGACAAGCCGAGGAAAGTGTTGCTCTCGGTGCAGACTGGACTGTCAAGACCGCTGTTGGAGACGGTGCTGAGCGTGCTGTTTGGTAGCTTCATGGTTCCTGTTGTGACCCTTATGAGCCCGGCGGTCCTGGTCACGGCAGCAGCGGGGCTTCGAAGTGGATTGGTCATGGATATTGGATGGGCAGAGACTACCATTACGGCAGTGTATGAGTTTCGTGAGGTGAAAATGAGGAGGACAATCCGTGCTGGGAAGCTATTAAGTCGAGACATGGGCAAGATGCTGGAACACGAGTGGGAGCAACATAACGCACAATCAGGAAGCCTTAGAGAGGCAGAAGACACGCATGTTACGTTTGATCAAGCGGACGAAGTGCTTTGTCGGATGGGTTGGTGCATGAGTATGGAGGAGGCGGCGTCTAGGTCAAAGCAAGACGACGCTTCGAGCAACACAGAAGCTGACACACCTATTTCGATTCCGCTATCGCGGTCTTCGCCCTTCTCTCGTGTCTCCATCCCGTTCTCGAAGTTTGCCCTCCCCGTTGAGACTGCTCTGTTCTCGACGGGCACTCCGCCTCACGAGCTCGATGCGCACGATCAGCCTCTCCCTATACTAGCGTACACGATCCTCCAATCTCTGCCGGTTGCACCACGCGACATATGCATGGCACGGCTTGTCTTCACCGGTGGCTGTGCACACATTCCAGGCCTGAAGACGCGACTGACAGAGGAGATTCACACACTGGTACGCGACCGAGGCTGGGATGCAGTCCGGCAGTATCCACCGAAGATCACCCCAAGGCAGCGATCAGAGGCTCCCAAACAGCGCTCGGACGCCCCTACGGCTGCTCAGCAATCCGTAAGCGACGAGCAAGCAAATGGCGAAAACGGCGCACTCGGGACTGCGGAATTACGTGACTCCCTTCCCGAAGTGGGCGCTCCTCCCTCCTCATCGCTGGGCTCCGAGAGGCCGCATGCCACACTGGCGGCAGAGGCGAAGCGAGAGCGGATCGCGGAGAAGGACGGTCCTGTGAAGGGCGTCGTCAGAGGAGTGGAGAGCCTGGGAGCCTGGGCAGGGGGCAGTCTGATGGGCACGCTGAGGACGGGCGGACGCGTGGAAATCGAGCGCGAAAAGTTCATGAGAGAGGGGCTGGGCAACGGAGCGGGTGTATGGGGCTAGTGTGAACAGTGCAGTGCATGAGCGTGGAATAGAGTACAATACCCAATTTTGTGGCACAAGACAGTGTATGATGGCGTTTCGCGTTGATACGAGGGGCACGAGGCATGAAGAGACAAAGAAACGAGACTCAAAAGAAGAAGAGTGGAAACGAGCAGAAGGACGTCTCAGGACCGGAGAGCAGTCCGAAGCAGCCGTTGGACCAATAATAGAAAAGAGTATAGTGCAGCCAGCCATTCCACGGGACGTATTTGTATCGGATGTATTAGCGACGCCACCATCCGTACACTCCACTACACTACACTACATACACTACACTACTACATACATGATCGTCGTCTTCTAGCACACAATACACGCACATCATCAAAAACGCCAGGGTCTTTTGTTGACCCTTTATCCTCACACTTTTTTTTTGCTTTTTTTTCTTTGGGTGTATTTATATATTGCTGTGTGCTGTGCCGCTTCCCTTTTTGTTTCAACAACAAACAATGCCTGCAGCTCTGATACAAGACCACAAGGCGCGGCCTGGCCCAGCCACTGAGCCTCTACCCACTAATTACACAGCCACGTTGAGATGATTAGATGGTCGCCTATTTGGCTATCTATCTATCCATATACCTATGTATCTATAATAATAACAATAGTAGTAGTAGTCGAGGCGTCTCGGACTCGGTTGACTTGTCCCCCACCTACCTAAATACCTACATACGTACATGCATACATACACTGTGTTCCGGCCGGGATGTCTGTAATAAGACTGCTGCGACTAATAACAGCAACAACAACAACAATATCTTGGAGTAATGATTGGCAGGCCGGGCCCAGAGAATTCTGCAGGCAGCGTAGTAGCAGTTTGCCGCAGCCTGGCAGGAGTAGTCGTGTTTGATGAGTTTTGGGGGGTTGTGCTGTGAGCTATATCCATCCATTCGGGATTTTTGTAGTATCGTTGGGGGTATACCAAGTACAGTTCGCAAACAGCCAGTCAGCTGCACACCACGCTCGAGAAGAAGAAGAAGAATATATGGTGTGGCAGCATTCATTCTATTTATTACTTCTCATATCCTCATCGAATGAAGCAAATTTCTAGGAATATATTCTTTTTGTGCCGTCTCTGGCCCCCTCTTATCACTAGGCGGCGAAACGAGCTGCGGGGTGGTCTAGCTACATACATGCTATGTAGCAGCTATTATTATTATTACAATTATCATAAGTATTCCATGTATGTATCAATAATTATAGAGAGACATGAGTTTTCAACTAGGCCCAATGTAAACAATACTAAAAAACAAGTGAGGTTTGTGACTACAGTAGTCAAGTAGTTACAGACTTAAGTAGTACTACTAAAAAAGTCCTTACAGGGAGCAGCCGAAACCGAAACCAAAACCACCAGGGGGCCCCCAAACCCGCCGCCCCATGCGCCATTGCCGGTATCGTTGAAAAGGGAGAGGGGGAGAGGGCGTTTCAGCGTCTGTCCGAGCGTTTTTTTTGGGGGGTGGCACAACACACGACTTCTTTGCAAGTCACCTGGATGGATGACTGGGACTGGGGACTGGGGATTGGGTTAATTTTGGGGGCAGGCCGGACAGAGTCAAAGAGTCTATGGTAATTAGAAGGCGTAGAGACTGGACTGGAGCAAGACTCTCGCCTTGCGCAGGGTTCGTCCACTGGCATCATGTGTACATGTACAATCGTGCATAGCGTATGCATGTAAGTAAGTAAGTAGACATGGCTCTTTCGTGCGAAAGTCGATGTCGTGTAAAATTGCTGGGTACCTACCTTGGGACTGGACTGGACTGGACAGGGACCGCGTAAGCTCTCTCACTCTCTCTCTCACTCGCTCAACTCGCTCAACTCGCCCATCCCAGCAGAGAGGGTCCCCTATCAAACGACACACGGGAGGGGGGGAATTGCAGGGCCTGAGTGAGACTGTTGTTACGGAATGGAAAGACGAGGCTTTGTGCGTCGGCACGGAAGCGGGAGGACAGATGTGCCGGGTAGTGGACTCGTCCTAGGACAATGCGGTATACGGCTTGGCGGCGAGGAAAGGTTAGATGTAGACGACCGACATGGAGATATGGTGGTGGTGGTGTTGTTGTTAGTGATAGTGATGGTGATAGTGATGGTGGAAGGCATCACTGCCATCGCATCCCATCCATGCTACTGCTACTGATGCTGGCTATCGTGAATGATAACTAATTAACAATCCATCATCTAATTACCTAGTTCGTTGATCTAGTCTAGCACCGCGGCCAGCATAATAGTGTGAAAAGGGTTTGTTTGGGGAGAGGGAGGAGGTCAAGGATTAGTGGCGAGTCTGGACCGGTCCACGCTCCCTTGTTTCGTTGTTCGTGCTCCCAACTTCCATGCCAGACAAGCCCACAACGACAAACCACAAACCACAACAACTCCAGCTGTTATACACTCATCACCACATTTCCCTTCTTCCTCTTCTTCCTCTTCTTCTCACTACTGCTATATCGCTATATCTGGTAGTGTCTCTCCCTCTCCCTCTCTCTCTCGCTTGCCAAGAACACCCTCTGCTGTTTCCGCCCTCTCTTCTATTGGCCCCTCCCTCTCTCTCCTCCCTCCCTCCTCCTGACACGCACCACCACATTCTCATACACTCGTCTCGCGCACCGCCTCTTCTTCTTCTGCTGCTACTGTTGTTACTGCTGCTGCTGCTGTCACTCGCTTATTCACTTGTTCCGCCCCCGACCCGCTATTCACCTGAGAATCGTCCCACTATCCCGACTTTCCGTCAGAAACCCTCCGGACTCGCTATTCACTCTACCCACCTGTCCTGGACTGTCGCTACTCTATACTCGTTTCCTCCTCTTGTGCCCTCTCCCTCTCACCCTCTCACCCTCTTACTTTCCTTGCAACTCCAGCTCCAGCGCCTTCTTGACTGTTACGACCTGATAGCCTCATGAAGATCTTAAACACCTGACTCCATCCTTTCTCTCTCCGAAGCTTCGGATTCGTTCTTGCAACTGATCATCTTTGGTACACCTCCCTTCGACAAACCCTTTGTTTCCTTCGTTTCCCTCACGTCTGAGAAAGTGCGCTTCTTGGCGTCTCGTTTGTGGCCGAACAAGCCCGCGCGGCCGTTGGCATGTCGTACCTCTCTATCAACGATGATCTAATAATGGCTCAACACGTGCAACAACATGTTTCAGCACATCACATAACATCATCCGACTCGTCTCTACCAAGCCCTTCCGATGAACCTCTCCTCTCCAACCCTCCCGCCGAGCATCCCGGATTTGGCGGTATCGTGCCCGCATTGTCGAAGAAACTGGCCGAAGCTGATGTCCCAAGCAGTTTACCCTTCCCAGTCTCTGCCAGACCGGAAAGTCCAGGCTTCAATTCTGCAGACGAATACCTTCCTGCTCTCGGTATGAGAACGATTGCTGGCACTGTACTGCCTGAAAGCCCCCCCGAACTCAGTGACTCTGCTCTATTCAAGTCTCCAAATCTCCGTCTGCCGTCCTTTGTCGAGCTTGGCATCGCCGCACCGCATCCTGATCGCAAAGGTCACGTCCCACAAACCCCCTTCGCCATTGGTGTTGGTCCGCTATCCAAGCCCGAAGATCCTTTGCACGAGTTAAGTCCCATGCTGACAGCTCCCAATATCTTCCCTGACGGAGCACCTCTAAGCTCCCCAGAGCATGCACAGGGGAAGCATGCGTCCATCACACACTTTGTCCCAACCTTCACTCCACCTTACGATGGCACCATCAGCTGGGACCCCGTCACCCATGTCAAGACCGCTGCTGCTGTCTCTCCCGCGCAGACTGATCCAGACCAGTCAATCGCCAGAGACTGCGCGCATGGCCCCGAATCTGACCCCGCACCAGAGGCTGCGAACAACGCTCTCCTACATGCAAGTCTATACGACGACAAGGCTTGGCTGGGTGACGTAGTGAGCAGCATAGGTATGTGACTGGCTGTGTCGGTTATTGGTGGGCCCTTGCTAACAGCATGTACAGTCGCGAACTTGACCTCAATGTCTGACCTGCGGAGGGACAAAATCCAGATCTTGACCCACGCCTTACCGTGCCCCTCTGCCCAGGGACATGTCTTCCCCCACATCATCCGGGCCGTCAACGACTGTGCCTCGAGAATGCACACAGACACGGAAGCAATGCGGACCGTGTGGATCAGCGTATACCACGCCGTTCCCGGCCGCTTCAACATGGCAGACCTGCCTACCTCACCGCCGAGCACCCCCGGCCCGGCAATCGGAGGAGAAGACTACTTCGCAACCAAGATCCTCGACAACGCCGTCACCATCACCGACTACCAAGGCGAACTCCAGCGCATCCCATCCCCACAGCCCGTCGCCACCCCCGGCTCCGTCCACGTCTCCATCGTCGAACGCTACATCCCGCCCACCAAGCCCACCGAATTCGCCGAAATGTTCAGCCTCACAGCGCGCCGATCCCTCCTCCTCGACCGCCTCGTCGAGCTCTCCCCCGACAACGGCACCCTGCTCTTCATCTACCCCACCGAAAACGGCGCCCGCACCTTCATCGACGAATACCTCAACCCCGTCATGGAATACGCCATCAGAGAGCTCATGATGACCCAGAAGCTCCCCTCCGACATGGCCGCCGCCCTCGGCCGCACCGAGAGCGCCTCCCGCCTCCTCGAATTCGCCCGCGTGCGCTCAAACCTCGAGACTCTCTGCGCCCAGCTCAATAATCCACTTCACCCGCTCGGCCACTGGGGCATCCTTCGGCCCGCGCGGTACACCCTCATCGCCTCCTCCCGCCAGGAAGTCACTGTCGACCGCGCCGTCTGGGCACAGGAGTGGTGGACGAAGCAGGAGAAGACGCGCATTCGCGAGATCCTGGCTGGCTTGCCGGCTAAGAGCCCCATGAGCTCCGGCGTCATGATGCAGCGCTTCATCGACGAGATTGCGCATAGGGAGGCGAGGCTGCCGACGAAGGGCATCGAGGTGTGTGTTTTTATGATTGTGAAGACGGCGTTGTGAGGGGGGGTTATGGGGGTCCTTGGGAGGGAAGGGGCATGGGAAGGGAAAAAAGGGGGTTTTAGAGAGGGGGGGCATTATATGGTGTCGCGGGTCTATTATGACGAGGGTCCTTTTTTTTTAGTCGGACAGAATACCCCGGGTTTTTCTGATAGGAAACAAAGTCGATTAGCGCATATTCAATGAGTTTTCCTGATGTTCTGTGCGTGTGTGATGGGGTTGTGTTTTGGCTGGCCTGGTGCTGATGGATCGGTGATGAGGGTGTAGATGTGTGTGATTGGGTGGTAGCTAGGTGGGTGTTTGCTGGTTTTGTCCTGTGAGAGGGATGGAGAGGGGGAGGGAGAGGCGGGCATGTTGGTGTTTGGGTGGATGGGTAAATGGGTAGGTAGTAGGTGGGTATGGGTATGTGTGGTCATGGTCTAAGCGGCATCTCACGTCAAAATTCATAGCATGTCAAGTCACGTCACGTCAAGTCAAGCACGGTATCCCCAATCTCAGCAGTGATGCGACGTGATGTGATGCATGGGAAACAGCGGTTTTTTTTCTTTTCGAAATATATGCGGCGTGGGACTGGGCGACGATCAAGTACCATCCCAAGCCTACAAACACAGGGCTTTCCCCCGGGAGATGCCTGTGAAACACATGTTTAAACAGCAGTTACCCGGATATCTTTCCCTCATAAGTGCTGCGCGGCCATATCCCACAACACAATAATAACAAAAAAAAAACACACTGTCCGTACATACATGATCAGGAAGTTCTCTCTTTTATTTTTTTTAAGGGGGGAAAGGGATTTCTCCTCCTTATGCGCCGATTAGGCGTACAGCGTTTTTATAGTCCTTGGATGGATATCTTGGCGTGTCTACCAGTTGACGGCAGCGTCGCCGGTGCCCGCAGCAGGCGCGGCGGCCCAGCCCTCGTTGCCAGTTTCGGCGGCGGCGGCACCAGAGGCTGCGGCCCAGTCGCCAGCGCCGTCAGCGTCCCATCCAGCACCAGCACCAGCAGTCGCAGAGGCAGCAGCAAACGCAGCGGTGCTTCCACCCTGGACCTCCCACTCACTGGGGAATCCACCCTCGACAGGACCAGCACCGACCTCGTCAGCGCCGGGCACCTTGGACTCGTCCACACCGGCAGAGTCCTTGTTCTCCTCGGCCTCGGGGTCGCGGTAGAAGTACAGATCGGTCATGACGTCCCACTCGGCCTCGCGGCTGGCAAGGGTGCCGCGCAGACGGAGCACCTCACGGGCGAGCATCCACCAGATCAGACCGATAGCGTGGCGACCCTTGTTGTTGGTCGGGATGGCGACGTCGACGTACTCGGTCGGGGAGTCGGTGTCGCAGAGGGCAATGACGGGGATGTTGACGTACGAGGCCTCCTTGATGGCCTGCGCGTCGGTGCGCGGGTCGGTCACGATGATCAGGCGCGGCTCCTTGAACGACCGGGTGATGTAGTTGGTGAAGTTACCGGGGGTGAAGCGACCAGCGATGGCGACGGCACCGGTGTGGGCGGCGAACTTCAGCACGGCGCGCTGGCCGTAGGGGCGCGCGGAGATGACGTTGATGTCGGCTGGGTTGTCGATGGCGGCGATGATGCGGGCTGCGAGAACAATCTTCTCCCTGTACAGTCTGTTAGTCTTTTGAGGCCTCAAGTGAGCGTTGAACGACCAAAATTCCGACGGCTTGGAAGTCGCTGGTTTGGCAGGCCTGGGAGGCTTCACAAGGGAACGTGTTCTGGTCTTACCATGTCTTTCCGATGTTGATCACATTGATACCGTCAGGGCGAGTCTTCCATAGGTAGGGCTCCATGTGCACCTGCAGGTTCTTGGATCCGAGATGGCACTGAGCTGCCAGAAGCATCTCGACATCCTGGTTGGTGGCGTTGAAGATTGGGGGAAGGTTGTTGGGAGCCATCTTGACTTATGGGTGAAGAGTTCAAGAGGGTGAGAAAGAATTGAAAGGAGTGCGACGGCGAGAAGAGAAGATTGTCCTTGAAGTCTTGCGGTTTTGCGCGATACATTGGGGGTGGGATGTCGATATTCGCTTAGCTTTTCGATGATCTAGCCACACTGAGATTAGCGTGATATGGAGACCGCCGAACTTTGGCCGGCTTGCTCGATCTCCCTTGGCTCGTGGTGGAAAAGTTGATGCAGCTGGCATATGCGAGCAGTTGCAATGCTCTCTCGAATACCAATCCTCAACTGCCTTCGGGCTCAAGTTGGTATGCTGCAGCGGACCTCTCAATTGATGAAGTGCTAATGACTCTATACAGGGGGACAAGCCTCGCAGAATGTCGCGCTTCTCCGATCCTTTTCAAGTTCGCCGTCCGTACAAGCATCCAGAAAGCAGAAGCACAAGCCGCGGCGGAGTTATCGCGACTTGTATGCGGCCGATTACAGAAAGAAGGCCAACATAGCCCGTCAAGAAGTCTTGAAAAAGGAGCGAAGTGAGCTAGCAGGAGATCCCGTCAAGGGCCGACCGACACCGTTTCTAGAATCTCTCGACACTGGCAAAGAGCCTGAGGTAGAGGTGCAAGATGCACCATACTTTCGACAAGGGGCCCGTGGCGATTGGCAGAAGAAGGTCTATCTTAGCTCTTACGTTCGGGAGGATGAGCTCGAAGAGGTTCTTAACAAAAGTCCAGAAAAGTCACACATGCTCATACGAAAACTCAATGAAGCATGGCAGGATGATAATGCAGGCGTGAAACCCGTCCGGGGCTCGTTTGAAACCGACGAGGCATACGAAGCAGAGGTCAGAAGACGTCAAGAGTTGCGCGCCCCACTGAACAGGATTCACGATGAAGAAGCCAGAACTCTGGTTAAGAAGCGAATTACAAAAGACCATGATACCGCAAAAGAGTCTTTGAGACGGATCTTGCAACTGGAGAATGCTAGTCACAAAGACATCTTTCACTCAAATGTGCTGCGATGCATCGATAAATTTGGTCGACACCACACAGACAAAATCTTGAAGCCGCCTCCCAACCTGAAGGACCAAAAAGCAGAGCCACGACCATATGCTCGTGGTGGCCCCGACACGGGAAGCTCTGAAGTTCAGATCGCTATTTTGACTGCAAAAATACAACGATTGTCGCGGATTGACCAAGAAGGGCAATTGAGGAAAGACAAGGCCAACAAGAGGAATTTGACTCTGCTTGTGCACAGGAGACAGAAGTTGATGAAGTACTTGTATAGAAAAGAGAAAGGTGGCCCGAGGTGGCAGCATCTGGTGGACACACTAGGGCTGGGCGACGCTATGTGGAAAGGCGAGATTTCCCTGTAATAATAACCCAATGTATCATCAGGATTGTAAGTTCTACTATTGTTCAGTCACTCGACAGCCTGTTCGCAACCTCGTATTGTCACTGGGGTACATACAGACTTGTGCAAATGACTAAACACTGATACACGGAGATCCTATTCAATCAGAACTCGACTATTGTTCTTGGTAACGTGCCAGTGCTCCGCCGATCGACACTGACCATCCGATTGTTAGCGCCAAACCCCCACGGTTCGGTGCGGAACGTGGAACTCCACCTCCAGCCAGTGAACAAAGCCCAAGCCCTCTCTGCCTTCTTCAACTCTCTCTCTCTCTGTCCTCTTCTCCGACGCACAAAGCCCTCAATCAGTGTACGGAAAATTGCGACAGTACACCACAGATGGCGTCCCCTTTGGTAACAAGTCCGCCGCACAAGGCCGTGGACCCGAACAAGAAAGCTCTCTATACGTTACGTGTGAGCGATAAGATCGGCAAGAGCGGAGGTACAGCGAGGAAGGGATACACAAGTGTAAAGCGTAAGTAAATGCAAGCTGGAGCACGTCAAAAGAACCATGCTGATATAGACAGTCAACTATAAACCCAATCTCAAAGGCGAAGACCGCACGACAACTATCACAACCTCCGCAGGCAATCTCGCCCGACTCACGCTTGCAGACAAAGGCCGCCCAGGCAAATTCACATACACAGGCCAGCGCACAAACGCGAAAAAGTCTTACGTCCTCGTATTCGACCATGACAACCATACCTGCACGCTCGAGCCGGTCTCAGCATCCTACAACTTCAATCTCAAGTCCACACCATACGAAACAAACGAGTCCACCCTCGAGCATAAATACCCCCAGATAGACCTCCGCTCCAATCCCGACGATGACGGAGCCAACGCCCTCGACGACGGCGCAGAGAACCCATACGACTACAGAAACTTCATGGCACCCACGACAGACCGCGACTCCCTCTCTCCCCCCCAAACCTCCAGCGCCGCCCACACCCCCGAACTCCCCTCCAAGCGGCCCTCCAAACCACAAGCCCCAAGCCGCAAACCAACCACCACAAACTCCACCACAAAGCCGAAATCAAAACCCAAACAACCCGCTCGCCGCGCAAAATCCCCATCCCAATCCCCTCCCCGCGCATCCTCCCCGCCGCGCATCCATCTCGACCGCCGCGCCTCGACCGTCCACAAAGACGCCTCCTCACCCAGATCCGCCTCCTCCTCACGCGAGTCCTCCCCTTCCTCGCCCGTAGGCTTCGAGATCGACTACGGCGACTCACCGCCCGACAACCACAAGCCCAAGGGCCTGGGCCTGCACCTCCTCGACCACCACGCCAGCGGGCCCATATCCCTGCGCTCCGCGGCAAACAGTGCCTCGCCAAGCTCGCGCCTCCAGACACCGCACATACCACCACCACACGACGAGGAAGAAGCAGACTATGAGTTTGACTTTGGCGATACGCGCGGTGGTGCTGCAACTCGGCAGGACTCCGAGGACGACGCTGAGGGCGAGGAAGATGATGAGGATGAGAGCGATGCCGATGCCGATGCAGATGCAGAGTCAGATCATGACGTCGAACCGATGGACATTGGACCGCCGGCGCAGGATACCGTAAAGGCGCAGCAGGCGGCCATGGCCATGGACGAGGAGGATGATTTGGATGACTTTGAGAAGGCCATGATGGAAGGCATGGAGAGTGAGAGCGAGAGCGAGGAGGAGTAGTAGAATTGTGGGTCTTTGGATATGGATGGTGTCATGGCGCTGTGCAGGTTCCATTGTTCTACTGCGCAATATAGAACGCACCATTATGGTGGTTGCATGCATGAATAAGTGGCGTTTGTATCAAGGGTATGCATGCTTATTTTGCCTGTCACGGCATGTGTCTTCGACACTTATGCGAGCACGCGTCGAAGAAGTTCGATATCACGTTCAAAAGTACATAAATATCCAGTACCGTAGAACAAAAACAGCAATGACTGACTGAGCTCATGGCCAAAGGGCATGTAAATCAAGTTTCTCAACGCGCATATCCATGAAATTCTATCGATGTCCTGAAAACATTGCTCGAGTATGAAGACCCCGAGGGTTTATGCTGTCTAACATTATGCCGCTCATATGTCCTGAACGCCTTGAAAACATGCATTGGATATCATGTCATTATAGCTGGCGGAGAAGCCATGTCCGTATTTGTTGGCCAATTTTTTTTACATCCACCAGAATAAACCCATTGTTATTGTGATGAGCGAGATTGCCATGTTCCTGACCTCATTTCCAGAAGTCGCAGCAACGCCACCGCCAGTCTGTGTCTCGGATGCAGAGGGCTCGGCGCCAGTATTGCCTGATTCCGCATTAAAATTGCCTTGATCGTTGGGATTGGCTGAAGCAGAAACAGAAGCAGACGCAAAAGCAGTGGACGGGGATATAACTGAAGCTGTATCCAACGCAGTAGACGAAGAAAAGGAGCGATGCATACTTGCGCTCGGGCTGCTGCGACCAGAGGTGCTCGTCGGAGCATAGACCTGGCCAACAGAAGGCAGGTCGACATCGCCGTCGATCTCCCATGTGCCTGCAGTAGAGGCAGGGCACGGGGGAGCTGTGAGTGAAGGCGAGTATGCTGATTCCTTGATACCTGTGGGATTTAGTGTTGCCCAGTGCCTGGACAAGTTAGGAAAGTCAGGGGACAGGGGCGTCGGGGTGCCAGAGCGAGGAAATCCGTCTGGTGGTGCGTTATTAGAAGCAGGGTCGACCTTTGCGCCGTAGCTGATTAGGCCGTAATCATTTGCCTCCATAATCCACTCGTATATGATAGCTCCAGACCAGTACTGGTTCATCTTGTCTCCAAGAATCGCCGCTTGGTCGTCAAATGTGCGCGGCTTGGGCACGATGCAGCCAGTTTCCGAAAAGTAGATGGGAACAGGAAAGTCCTTGACCATGTCGTTCAAGATTTCATATCCAGAAGTTTCATAGGTTGCGTCTCCGCACCATTCGTAAGCGTTCAAGGCGAAGAAGTCCAGAGATTCGTCTGCATTATCACCACAAACTAGGTAGTTCTGTAGCATGGGGCGGAGACTTGCAATATCGGCTATACGAGTGGTCAGAGCTGCCACGGACCTGTATGAAGCTGAACTTACCAGCTGAATAGCCGATTGGAACTTTGCGGTAGTTCTTGGAGTTGCGGTACGCCTTGAGATCGCGCGCGGCAGCCTTCACATAGGGCGCAGCCACAGATCCAGTTCCAGTGGTGAGAACCTCGTTGCCAACAAAGACGCCTCCTAAATTATCGTACTGGATGAAGGCATCGAGGACGTCTTGAAAGGCCTCTTTTTGGGTCGTGTTCCACCTTGGAGCAGTCTGTAGAGTTTAGGCAGTGAAACTTCAGTGAAATTCGCTACTTCTTACCTGCTCGATCTGTGTATCAAAAGTATCCAAATCTAACCATAAGTAGATACCAGCATCGGCAAAGGTGCGCATACAATCGTCGTGGTTACCACTAGGATCGACATGGTACACACGAATAGCATTAGCTCCAATATCCTTCATAAGAGCAGCATCGAGAGAGCATTGAGTGTTGTCAATGAGAGGATCGTCGGGTACAAGCTGGTAAGCGATACCTGGAGCTTCGAATCAGTGGGTGAAGTAAAGTGGTCCATTGGACGTACCCTTCAAAAAGTACTGATCGCCATCGCTCGTGAAGAACTTGGATCCCTTTGTTGTTATGGTGGGAATAGCATTGACAGTAGCAGCCGCCGCCAGCAAGATCAGTGAGAGCATCATCGGACGGCTATAATTGGGATGCTAGGATGAACGGTAAGTGGGCTATTCGCAGCTGGCTATGCGGTAAGTAAGTGAACGAGCGACACGAGAGCTAAAACGAATGCTGGTGAAGTTTACGAGGAAGGGTGAAAGATCATGACGAATAACAGAGAGTGGAGCATTGGAGAGATGGCGGCGATGAAAACGGAAGGAACCTTAAAAAAACAAGTGATATTGAGCAGGGAAACAGCAACAAAAAGCTTCTGTTTCGCGCTTGTGCGGTGAATCGCGGGCGTTTGGAATTGTTTTTCCACTCGCCGCACCATCGTCATCTATCCTTAGCAGCTTATCTGTGCACATTCAGATCTGGAACTTCCCATTGGCTACAGATGCCTCGATTTGTTTTGAAACTTGGAGTGTCCAATCCTGACAGGCATCACAGCCAATAAGCTTAAATCAAGCCCCACGTTCACGGCTTGTTAGTCTTGTCAGTCTGGTCTCCTTGTCGTTAATGACATAGCTTATCCTGGAATCTAAGGCCTGCAGGATCATCCTTTGTCTCCGTGCTGCAACAAGGTCAACAAGGAGTCTGTGGAGATGTGGTGTGTATTATTGTTGGCATGGAACTGAGCACTGTATGCTGTGATAGCTACTCAGGCTTCACTACGGTTGACTGATGCATAGGCGGTGCACACCTGTAAGACTTGGCTAGGAATGAATAATGGTCGTGAACACCTAATTACATGAAGTCGTGTAGTCAATCAAGACTTTGGGCCTCGGCATCCCGTCGTCAGCAGATTGCACAGGGGCAGCTTGTCAACCTATCAGCGACGCATCAGCCACAGTCACAGCCACATTGTTAGTAATAATAATCTTCGGCGAACAGAAAGGCCGTCACCGAAGACATGGTCTAGATGGCGTAGCTATTAATTTACAGTAATTATAACTAAGGTACCTAATTACTGACAGGAAAGAGGAGAGTTGCCCGATAACCTCACCCCAGACCAACAGACAGCCAGCGGGTTATAAGATCCTATAACAAGCGAAAACTAATTGATCATGTACGTTAGAACGATAAATCGTAACCTGGACTAGGCCTTTAATCTTTCATACATGATGTCTGACTATACATACATCTCTTATCTCATTTCATCATGTACTGTGATTCTTGCCCAGACATAGTGAGCACTAATTAATTTCTTGCATAGGTCTGGTAGTTATGTGGGGGAACTGCCTAAACGTCGGTGGCGTATGTGATGGGATGGTCAAAGCTCCTTACAGTAGTAGCTTCTCTGTGACCTTGTCACTTCAAGCCTCAAGCTCTCTACCGCTGCCATCACAATCTTTCATAAGATGTCATTCCTCAAAACACTCTTCAAAGAGGTATAGCGAGTACCCCAGCGAGCCAGTATGCTGTCCATTGTTACGCTAATCGTCTACTTCAGAGCGGTGTCAAGAACGTCGTCACCCTCTTCCACGCACCTTCCACCGCATCCTCTGTCCGCGCCCTCACGATTATCAAGCAACATAATGCCAATGCTGTAGCCACTGCGACTGAAGACCAAGCTTCAGACCATAGCACACAGCCAAAGACTGGCCAGCACGAATATGATCTGGAGGTTCGCGAGGAGGCACCAACGTCGGACCAGCTAAAGAGCATTTTGGGCTATATCGGGGCAGAGAATGCTGGAAAGATCGTTAGTGGAGCTATGGGCGTGACAGATGCACTAAAGAAGGTTCAGCAGGATGGAAAGGCGTTTCAAAGACCCATTGTGAGTCCTAGACGTGGCAGGTATGCCGGTAGGGAGCATTGCTGACAGCCGTGCAGGTTGTGGACTGGAACTCAGGAAAAGCTGGTATGTATAAGCTTAATGCATATGCCTTGAGTGAACTGATAAGATTCCAGTTATTGGTGACAATGAATCTGAAATCTTGAAGTTGCTGAAGGAAGCTACTCAGGAAAAGTAGTCAAAAGAAGAAACGCTTGAGGTCAATGGCAAACTTGATGATTTATACATTCTAGCACGACCAGAGTTATAAAATTCAAGCCACACAACGGGACCAGTGTGTACGAGTATGCATCGCTACTATATGGGTAAAGAGTCCCAGATATGTGCTCAAACTCAAGCTCCCAACTCCCAGCTCCCAACGTCGCAGTCTTAGGTTGGCTTGACATGTGAGACAGTGAATGTCGTTGTGAAGCACGGTAGTCTCCTATAGTCCATTCGTTGTTATGCTCTTCATGTTCTAAAGTCTCCCACTTAACACTGTTCACTCAACGTTGAACCCCGCAATTCATTCACTTCTCTAATATTGACTCGCGCCCGAGCTGCCTACGTCTTGCGAGCTACCAGTTCTTTCCTTTTCTGTACTTGTTCCTCTCCGCCTCTGTCTGCCCCTTCACCTCCTCCAGGAAAATCTCTTCATTCCTCCAGCTCCCATTGCCACATGTGCATTGCACACCTCTACTAGCCTGGACGACGCATCCTTCTAAGTGTCACTATTTCTGTCAAACCCTGAAGAAGCCTTACTACTCACGAACAAGCTTCTCTTTGTACACCTTGCGCTCGTCCTTGATCTCATCCACGATGGACGGCTTTCACATACCGCAGCCCGCTCATGTCTTTTCTACAGACTTTGGCCGCAAGCCACCACGGCCAGCTACAGATCCCTCTACACATCCTATACCAGCCTGCGTGATTGCTCGCTCAAATCAATCACACGATGTCCATCAGTACGCCGGAGTCTTACAGAGCCGTTACCCGCGTGAGTGCGAAGAGATCTACGCAGGTTTCAATCGTAGCGACTTCTTCGATCCATACGACATTCATCTTCACAGTGCAGAGTTTCTAGACGCTGTTCTGCGCGTGCTTGCGGAGCCCAACAATCTTCGCGTCAGGAACTATGCCTTGAGCTTCGCAACTGAGAACCCGCAAGGCGTAATAAAGCTATCCAAGCTTCAGATCAACAGCGAGGCCGATCTTGCTTCGACGATTGCGAACCTGTTCCCGCCTGCACATGTGAATATGCACGGAGTCAGGATGTTTGGACACGTCGTATGCCAGCTCAAATGTTCTATGATGGCGAGCAGCGAACCCAGACCTCTACCAGCAGATCGTATGTCTATGGAGAATCCTGTGACTTCGGGTCAAGGTCCAATCAACCACAACGATTCTATGCCATTCTTAAAGCATGCAAAACGAACAGACTCAAGCAAAGAGCCGAACAAAGGCAATTCGAGGCTCCCGAGAAGCTCTTCAGCCGCTCAAGACGGCCTCCATCCTCCGTCCATCGTTCCGAACAACTCTACATACGCCAATGATAAATGCTCAGACATGCGAAGGACTATGTCTGCGGAACACTACGTCGATTTGAACAACGGTACTAGTCGCATGAACAATGAGCAAATATCGAGCAAAGCAGGACCGAGAAATCTAAATGGTAACTGGTCGCACCTCAATGTAAATCAAGGAGCCGTCAGTCTACCTCAGACTCCGATGCTTTCTGCGTCAACCTCTTCCAATTTGAATACCACCCGGCAGAGTGGGAATCACGAAAGCCCCTCTGTAGTTCCTTCAATCCCCCTGCCTTCAGCGTATAAGGAATCTTTCGGTCAAATTCACCAGGCCAATGCTGGATCAAGACACTCAAGTGCACAGTCTACAAGATCACCATATATCAGCAACATCCCTGCTGCAAGCCAAGCACCTATGCGATCTATACATGGCCAAACCCCAGCTTTCTTTCCGATGACCAGTCAGGATATGACTGGTGCCATGACTCCCCGGTTTTTCGTAAGTGGTCAGCCTCCCTTCCAGCAACAGCTACCGTTAGGTAATTCGATGCCCATGAATTACTCGACAATCGAACAAAGCAGATTCACGCAAGCTCAAGGAACCTGGGACAACATCGATCAGCCCATCCTGTCACCTCCACCGGTTCATTCTGAGTACAACCATGAACTGACTGCTCGTTGCAATCAGGGAGATGTCAGAGGTAGCTTCGCTGGTAAAGGTAATAATATACGAGGCCCTTCGACCACTGGACCATATATTGGACGGGGTGGATCGTACATGAAGCCGAACGGTAATCGAAAGGTCTCTGTCGGCTCTGCAAACTATCGTGGACGTCGTAACACACAGGGATCTAACGGCTACCTGGATTCATATGAGAACGGAAACCACGGAGATGGTATGATGGGCGACCGCGATTCTGCTCACCGCGGTACGGAACCATTCCCAAACTTTAGCGGTCCTCTGGATCAGCTAGATGCAAGCGCTATGGCCAATGCCCCTGAACAAATTGTCACACAAAGTTTCATAGGTGCGGCGAGAGAGGATGTAGTTGACCTTTGGGTCACAGGTTTCAACATGCGTCGGGATGACGATGAGACAAGTGGGATGTTGGTCAGACTCTTCGAGACTAAGGCGAAAGTCAGGAGTGTCACAATTATGCACAGACCGGACTCCCTACACCCTTTTGCATTTATCAACTTCTACACTTCTGCAGGTGCTAGGGCAGGTCTTGGGCTCAACGGGGATCTATCGACTGGCTCCCAGCCACTCAGAGTTCAGGTGTCGGAGAAATATTGTATTGGGTCCAGGAGATGGTCGAAGCCTACGCCCTATGGACAGCGTCGAACTAGTGATGCCCATGGTCAATACCATCATAGAGGAGCCAACGAATCTCGTGGTAGCTTTGGTGGTGGTAGCCAGCCAGTTTACATGTCCCCTGAATACGCACAGTCTCTCGGCTACACAAGCCCTCAGGGCCCACCAAATCCCAATTTCAAGCGTTCGAACCAATGGCAGCAACAATTTCATGGACTGAATGCAAGGAGGTACCCGAGCGGAGCGAATGCTGAGTTCATACAGCGGCTGGATACCAACCATGCCAACGAAAATGCTCCCAAAGGCTCACATGTCCAGTACTCACCACAAGACTGCCGAAGCTCGATGCCGGTCCGCGAGAGGAATTTTGAGACAAACAGCAGTCCAGAACGTAAGAAGAAGGGCAGCAAGAGTCGTTCGTCCCCTATCAAGACTGGATCAGAAAGCTCGTCATCGACAGCGCAAGTGCACAAGTCCAATATGGCCGAGAAGGATGTAGCCGCTGGTGACGAGACCAACGTCAGAGAGCAGGGGCCGTTCCATGCAGTGGTAGAAGCTGAACCCGACAATATAGAAGGAGCCTTGACACTACATACTATTACGAGCCGAGAATGTGAACCGATCCCGGAAAGCTTGGAACTTGATGGCCCTCCAAAAGCAGAGGTACTCGACTCTACAAAAGAACTGGTAGCATGTGTCGAAAGAAGCTCAACATCGAGTCCAGCTACAATACTTATAGCGACTTCAGAAACATCGTCGGAGCAAGGCGGATCTACTCATGACCAATCCGTCACTACCCCTGAGAGTAGGCATCGAATTGACGATAGCTTCCACTCTGCCATGGAGGCTCAGACGCCGAGGTTCATGTCAGAAGATAGTAAAGAGAGCATTGTAGAGCCATCAGTAACCCGCAACACCTCCACAAACGCCGTTGATACTGGAGACATAGAGACGGAATCTAAGGCTGTTCCCGGAATTGTTGCACTCATCGAGGATCCCGTCTCTATCGACAAATCTAGCTCTAGTAATGAGCCAGCCTTGGACGAAGACTCGGTGTTCACCGAAGGACCCGCTGACTCACCAGTCCTAGAAGACACGGGCCACAAAGTCTTCTACAGTGTTGAGGACCAGAAAGCTGGGAAGGTAGAAACTCGTGAGGACCACTCCAGAGGTGTCGTCACACCTCCGTTACAAGATATAGGAGCTACTTCTTTGGTACAGTCGAAGTTGGAACCCGACCGCGCGCAGAATGAGGGCGCTATCAGATCTGGTTCTAGCTCTACTAATAAGCCAAAGTCGCCAAAGCCTTCGACTCAGCAGCAGCAGCATCAGGCTGCACTTCATCCATTTGCTAAGGCTAATCAAGCCAAGAAGAGCAAGGCACAGAAGAAAAAGGAAAAAAGGCAGCAAAAGGTCAAAGATGTAGCTAAGGTGAACGGACATGCTAGCGACAAGCAACTTCTTACCCGACCATCTACCCCAACACCCTCTGCACCTACTGATCCTGTTGTTGAGCTCACATGCGAGGGTCACGATATCGCGATGCTCACGGAGACAGCCAGCGATGCAAACTCTCTCGAGGTCGAGAAAGAGCAAGGTGAGAGAAGGAACAGTGTGCAGAAAACCCGGTCACAAGCTTCGGCTGTGATCGAAATAGATGTTCCAACTGCATTCAGGTCTGGTTCTATGATGCTAGATGCCGCTGTCAAGCCTGAGGTTGACGAGCTGAAGGCTAAAAAAGATGGGAATGCGAGCACTATGATCAAGACAGAGAAAGGCAACCCAAACGAGAAGGAGGAGAAGAAGAAGAAGGCCGTGAAGCCTCCACCAAGCCCGGAGAAAAAGCCAAAGAGCACACTGGCCCAGAAAGCTGCTAAGCTGGTAGCCATGCCCGACTTGAGCATGCTTAGAAGGAAGGATGCTAGCAGCGCTGCGAAGAAGTGAGCGTATCCTATAAATTCGGCGGCTTGATATTCAATCCAATGTGGAATTTGCTGTGTTAAATAATATGAGTGAACAAGGAGAGGCAGCCGGTACTATCAACGCATCGACATGACACTATGATGGTATCTCGAATATTGACGGGAGAACGGAATGCTTCCTACGACGAGAAAGAAGGGTCAGAAGTATGGAGATCAGGTTTAAAACTTGTAATATAGAAAATTGCACACGCATGATGCGACATGAAAAGATGATTCGGTTCTGCACACTCTTCACTCCCGTATACACTCTGAGTCCCCATGCACGAAACGCACACCTGGTGATATTACAAAGCCATACCATGAAAATCAGTCTTTTTCTTTTTTCAACGCCACGCCATGCAGTATGAAAGCGCTAAATTAGAAACACACACACACAAACACGCGGAACAGTCCTCATTCTAAATCATCGTCCCCCTTGAGCCCACAAAAGTCAGTCGCATAGACTGAATCGACAAAGTACCAAAGCTTCCAGTAGAAGCTTGCCGACGCGCTGTCAAACGTCCCGTCGTCCTCCTTGCGCGGCACCTGGTTCCCGATGATTGTGCTGCTGCCCCCGAACAGACTGCCGACGAGTGGTATCCAGCCAAACGTCTGCTGCCACCGCGACACGACGGGGAGAAGGGCTTCCTCGGCGGGTTTGAGGACGGCGGGCTTGGCGCCGCGGACGCGCAGCGTGTTGTGCGGCCCCGATGCGCCTGGCTGGGCTTGGTGTGTTGCTGTGGCGAGCGCGGTGCTGGTGGAGGAGGAGGAGGGGAAGGGTATGTTGTTTGCGTGGGAAGCGGCGGACTGCGGCGCGCGGAACATCTGCGAGAGAGGGTGGTGATGCTGGTGGGATGACGGGCGGTTATTATCGAACGGGGCGGGCGCAGAGGCAGTTGCTGTCGTCGAGGACGCGGTTGCAGAGGATGGCGATGCGGAGGTTTGGCCGAGGGTGTGCGAGCTGTGTGGGGAGGTCTGCAGTGAGTCCATTGTGAGGGAGGTGGCTGTTATTGGGGCGTCGTCGCGAGGGGCGATGCCACGGTACGGCTCAGCGTGGACGGCGTAGCCCTGGATGAAGTGTGGCGAGGCGTAGCAGGCGGACTCTGCGGCCTCGGGGCTGTCGAAGGTGACCTTTATCCAGTGGTCGCCGCCGACGTACTGGTTCTTCTTGCGCAGGGCGGCGTGGGAGAGGGAGCGCTGGGCGGAGGCGCGGCTCTGGGAGATGGAGAGGTTGTACTTGACGTGTGGCGGCTGGCGCTCGTAGTCCTCGTAGATGAAGCCGTTTGAGACTTTCTCGAAGAACTCGATGGCGGCCCATTGGAAGTCCTTGCCGAAGCCGTAGAGGATGACTTCGGTGGGCTCCTTTGCGGTGGTGGGTTGTGAGGCTGCTGCTACGGGCGCGGTGTTTGTGAGCGCGCTGGCTTGGGCGTTGAGGGCTGCTGCTGCGGCGGCGCCGGCGTCTTCTGTCTTGAGGCCCGCCTTGAGGCTGCCAAATATATCGTCGATGACTCTGGCATCGTTGTCGCGCGCCTTGTCGACCTTCAGACCAGGTGTGTGGGTTTTGCTTCGTGATGTACCGCGCCGTGATCGCATCGACTTCCCAAACGGCCCCTTCTCTTCTGGCCCTCGACGAAGATTGTTCTCCGAGCTGGAGTTGGCGCGTCAGTAAATTGAAAATAGCTATAGTGTCAGGCCTGTCAAGCTTACTCTGCATACTCATATCCCCAGGGCAGCTGGCGACCAGAAGAATCCCATGCGCGCTCTGATTCTGGGACCGCGTGAACTTGCATTCCCCCCCGTCCTGGCGCGCGCATTGAAGCCATTATGTTTGGATCGCGATAGTGGTTCGGATCGCGATATTACTTTGTGAGGCTCGAGATGGTAGTCAGGGTGCGCAACCTACCGAGGTAGAGATGTTGGTGAGTAGAGGATCGGACATTTGTTTTGGGTTGTGTACATAGAGCTTTTGCCTAGCGGCTTGGTAGTCATAGGATTCTCTCCGCTCCGCCCCGCCCCGCTCTTATCGATGAAATCTTTTCGATTCCGCCCATTCACTTGTCAGAACAAATCTATTCCAAAGTGCATATGACGTGTTAGTACTATAAGTCAAAGAGACGATTGCTCTAGTGCCTGCTGCATAATGTTTCTCTCCTTCACGATACGTACGATGTGGAAAGATGAAGAACACACCGGTAAAGATACGCGGTAAACGAGGGAACAGAAAGCGAGCACAGGAGCAGAGTCAAACACCACCACTGCCGTCAAACAGTTCCAAGTCGACTTCCAGAGAGCTCAAAAGACGTTTTGTATCAGCTGGTCCCAATCAGACCCCCGCGAAGCGCCGCCGCGTGGCCAAAGCCACCGCCGATACGCGATCACCACTCGAACGTCTCCCGAATGAATTGCTCCAGGAGATATTCCTCCTGAGCGGCAACATCGAGCTTCCGGGCTGCTCTCTCAGCCTCGCACGAAGTCTCTCGGGGAACAAGACCATCCAGCTCTCCTTCGTGCTCGGCCGACATCCAAACACATCCAAACCCCTCGATGCTACCGACGCCGCAGTCATCACCCGCATCCTCAAATGCCGCTTCGTCACCTGGCCATTCCTCCAGTCCTGGATCCACGCCGCCTACACCCTCGACAAGCAACAGCACCACCACCACAACCACCCAACGAAGCCCAAGAGATCCCACATCACGCCCAGAAAGCTCATCGCCCAACCAGACCAGCAACCTGCAAGCCCGTCATCCCCACCAACGTGGTTCAACTTCCACCCTCCCCTTAATCGAGACGACGAAGACTATCACGTCTGCATCCCACGAAAGCTACTCCGCGGCCCATGGACATCAGACGATACCTCTTCCCTCACTCTGCTCACACATGCCGGCGCCGTGATTGCCGATCTGGAGCTCGCGCGCCGTGGACTCCGCAAGGCCATCGCGACCGCGAATCTGCGCGTTATATACTCGCTCGTCTACGTTCGTTCTCCACAGTCACAGTCACGACAGGAGCAGCAGCAGCAGCAGCAGCGCTGGGGCAGCTACGTGCGCGTGACAACCGAGATCCTGCGCTTTGCGGTGGTTGAGTGCGGGTGTGATCCGTCGGTGGTATGGGTATTGCTGCACACGGGCTCATTCGATGACGACGAGCACCAAACAACCACAACCTCAACAATCAACTTCATGGATCCACCCATGTGGGCCTGGGCCGATGATGCCGAAGCACGCGGCGACTGGGCAGGCACGTTCCTAAAGAGCGAGTTCCGAGCCTGTCTTCTTCCTCGTCCTCATACCCCTGTCGGTGTCGGTGTCGGTGACGAGCGCAGCCAGACTACGCTGTCGAGAATGTCGAGCAGAGCAGGGCTGGGTAGGGAGTGGGAGCGGGTGTGGAGGGCGGTGGATGCGGCGCTGCCGGGTGTTATGCAGCGGTATGATGCGCGAGAGAGAGATGTGTAGGATGAATGATCACGGATGTGATGCGAGGGTTTATGCCTGGCTGTTGATGTAACGTCTTCGTTCGGTATCGCTCGTGCGTGCTGACTGAGATGGAGCTAGAAAGTAATAGCTGATATGTATCACCGGCCTTTTGGTAGGCTTCATTCATGGTGCACAGTATCTCCCTCCTTCCTCTGCTCCTTATGATATGATACGACACGGTTCGGTACGTACCTGCTGTCTGTCACAGAGTTCTGCCTGTCCCATTCAGCACATACATACACCGACTACCTACCTACACCATGAATGACCCAAGGCCTCTCCGAAAATGAACATTAGACGAGCCTCAATCCACACAACACACATCATCAGCACTAGCACCATATTTTTCTTCATCATACATTTAATAGTTAGATCATTACCACTACAGCAAGCCTATTTGTTCCACTGCCACCGCTAATGTGACCACCTTTCCTTCTCGCAGTTTCCGAACTTCTTTCATCATCATATGCTACATACAGTCCTTGTCCCTCCCGTCATTTGCCATATCAACCATATCCACCATTTCGGAATCATCTTTCCTTCTCGACAAAAAGACACACACATTTAATCCCCAATGTTGACCATTACATTGTATGAATCTTTGCGGGTGTCCTTCAATCTGTCGCACGGAATTCCACAGAGCTCCCGCGAGACCGGACAGCTAGAACAAAAACATTCGTAAAGGGAAATTAGTTGCAGGAAGGGAAGGAACACCCCGACGCCGGGCGTATACGCATGTGCGGGAAAGAACAAAGGAAAGTATGTGTGTAGGACACGTATAAACAAAAAAGGAAGGAAGAGAGTGTGGGGAGCAAGTAGTCAGCCACGCACGCCATCCATGTCGTTCATGCAAAGGCCGTAAATGCAGCACCAACTGTCTGCCCGCCAATGCTTACCAAAACAAAGGCCGTTACACGACTTAACTTAAGCTCTCCGTACTTTGAACTGGATTCATGTTTCCACCAGTACATGAAAGAGGAGGCAGTAGTTTCGGGTGTGCAGTAAAAGCACCGTACCCAACATGTCGTTAGGCATGCACCATCCAGTCTCAATATCCGCTTTCATCTTCATCCAACGCTCTTTTTCGCTGTGTATGGATAGCTCACATACCAAACACCTCCATCATATCGTTCTTCTTCTGTTCATCTTCTACCAAAAGTCCTCGTCCATTGCACACGTCCGCCAACACGTCAACAATCTTCTTGAAACTGCTTGCTGCACCCTTCGTTTGGGTGAAACGTGCAACACAGAGCTGTGCGCGGCGGCCATGTTCCAAGATGGTGTATAGCTCTATCATGAATGTGACAGGTCGGATGCTGAGGTGGTTATCTTTTCCAACACTGGCACTAACAGTGTTTTTTGCCCGGTCGAAGCGCACATCGCGAACACCAAAACGCTTCCAGTCGCGCAGGAGTCGTACCATCTCTTGGCGAGCGCGACCGCGGCCGATGTGGAAGCATAGTACTTGCGTAGCCGGTTTGATATGGAGAAACCGGGCCAGCCAATTGGATTGGTAGTCGACCGGAGCCTTGCTTTGTCCGTCGCCAATTTGCGAAAACTCACTCGACCCCAAAGACGTTGTCGACATGTCATTGGCAGCTATCATGAGGTCAGTACGTACGATCCCGAAGAAGAGAAACATGCTAGACTTACAATCGAATTCCAGGATCTTTGGGTCGTGTTTTGTCCACTTGCTAAAGAACCGCAGAAAGCCTTTGCGAGGAGCTTGTCCTTGACGCATTGGAAACTCGCTACTTTGATGACTGCTGACATCAGCTGCTCTATGGGCCTTTACGAGTTTGGTGGGTCCAGTCTTATACGGCAATGGTGACGATGGTGGAGCTGAAGTTTTGATGCGATCATCTAGGCCTTGCCATGCTTTCGGAATCTCTTGTCGAACTTCTTCTTTCTCAATATAGTCCTTGTCCTTATCTCTTTGACCAAGTCGAAAAAGCCAACTGCGTTTCTTCTTCAGGCCATTTTCGCCTGGAGCATTGGTCGATGAAGGGGTATCATCATGTTCTGTGCCTGGCCCCATACTCCCTTGCCGTATCTGTGGCACGGTCAGATGCTGCCCCTTTCTCGCATCAGAGTCCGATGATTTGGCACTTGCACCGCTGACCTTTCTGACATTGAGCGGAGCAATCGGTGTCGGACTAGACGGATCTACGACGCGGATTGTCCTATTGATATCAGAAACTTTGCGATTGTTGCAGTGAAGCTTGCTATGAACAGGATCTGTGACAGACCTGTGCCCATCGCGGAGTTCTTTCACGTGATCTTCCTCTGAGATGGCAGGAAGATTGCTGAGGTAGTCACTGCCCGAGGGAGCAGATACGGCACGCTTGACACCGCCATCAGATGGCTTGAGAAGCTCATCGAGGTGCTTGAGAGCCTCGTTGAAATTGTTCGTAGTCTCACCTTCAGACTGATAACGCTTCATCAACCTCGCGCGGGTTTCTGCAAGTTCTCGTGCAATGAATGTCTTCGGTGTCTCGTCTGGCAGCGGCGGAAGAGGCCTATGTTGGAAAGCATCGGTATGAAGAGGAGCCCCCGCTTTATGGGCTGAAGAACCGAGCTTAGAGATGGAAGTGGGAGGCGTATCGTACGCGCCGGGCTTGTCGTTCAAAGACTCTACCATGCTAAACTCTTCTGAGGAGTTCTTGAATGCCTCATTGCATAGTTGCTCCAATTCTGTGCTGACTTTCCGGACATCCTGATTTATGTAGTGATGAGGAGTCGGCGGCGGCTTCCTGTATCTGATGCTCCGAGCTTGACTGGGCGCGGGTGTTATTGGCAGCTTCCGAGATGTGACCTCTTCACTTGGTCGAGCCGCAATCTTCTGTAGTTTGGTGTCTGGCTTGTGAGACCGCAGAGGTTGCAGAAGCCCTTGTTGATCATCAGTGTCCTGGGTGGTATCTGACATCCAAGCATCCGCATTTGTCGCTGGGCGCCGGAGATGAGCAAAACTCACGCCTTTCTTGTAGCTAACACGGGGCTTGATGAAGACCGGTGGACTACTGGGATATACGGAACTGGTGATGGAAGCCTTCGAATACGTACGCCAACTTGAAGCAACAGATTTGCGAGCCACGGAGTTGCGCTTGGATGGAGGACTTGTGGCACCGACACTTCCTCCCGAACTTTGGCGCTTGGAAGTGCGGCGCAATGTCTGTACTCGAAGTGTGTTAGAGCCGTTGATAACAGCTTTGGGTTTACCGTTTGCAGACAGACTGCTACGGCGCCCATTCGTGTCCTTTCTAGTCACGATGTGATCTCTCGACGATCGAAACGGATCATAGCTCTTCTCGGACGCAGGAATCTCGTAGAAAGAGTGCTTGGGGGTCAGATGTTCGTTATTCATGATGGAGTAAGCGGACTGTGAATGCTGCATTGATGGAAGTGGTGGCGGGTCTTCCAAATCAGGGGTCCGTTCGTGATGATAGTCACTGTTCGAGTATTCAATGGCGCCTGGAAACCCAGAGTAGTCTTCCAAATGCTGAATTCGATGCTTCATGAGTGCGCCATAGAAGAATTTCTCATGATTCAGATCGTCGTTCAGCAATTGATTGATGAGAGTCTCCTCCTTCTCGGAATGCCATAGGACACGCATGTTACGCAGTATCTCCCTATCGATTTCTTGCCGTTCGAGTGGTTCCCAATCGTCGAGATGAGGGTTTGGGCCTACCCACTTTGCCATGCTAGTGTCCTGTTCACTCAGTCCAAGGAAATCATCGTACTTGTGTAACAGAGGATGATCCCAGATATCTTCCATGCGAATCCGTTTAGCTGGATCTGGGACCAGTATGCGGCTGATGAGATCAGCGGCTTCTGGGCCAAAGGAATCAGGCATGGTGTACTCGGCATGGACGATCTGTCGAAATAGCTCCTTCAAGTCTCTCTCGTCGCCAGAGTACTGGAAAGGTGGGTATCCGGCAAGCATGACGAAAAGAATAACTCCGCAGCTCCATACATCAGCTTGGCCGCCATCATAACTTTTCGAACGGATAACTTCGGGTGCAGCATAATGGGGGCTGCCGCACGGGGTGCTGAGGTGTTTGCCGATAGGTTGCAGAGCCGCCATCCCGAAGTCGACGAGCTTGATCTGGTGCGTGTTCTTGTCCAACAGAATATTCTCCGGCTTGAGGTCTCGATGATGGATGTTGATTCGATGGCAGTACAGGAGCGCTGCGATGATTTGGCGAAAGAGATAGACCGCCTCGTCCTCGTCGAGACCCCTGCGGTCAGAGATGTAGTTGAATAGTTCACCCCCCTCAACGTATTCCATGACTAGGTATCTACAATCATGTCAGGTATCGAAAAGTCAATTTGGTGGCTAGCTTACATTTCATTGCGGTTTTCCCACACATCAAACAGACGAACAATGTTCTTGTGATCTAGGAGCTTCATGATGACGATCTCTCGCTCCAAGCCGAATGGGATTGCACGACCTTCTGGATAGAGGTCTTCAGCCTTGGTCGATTGGATCAGGTTCGCAAGACTGATGGCTCGGACTGTCTCCGCAACGGCCTTCTCGATGATCTTTGCGGCACCATATTGACCCGTCACGGAATGCCTGACAGCACGTACCTGTGAGCAGCCACCACGACCGATGGTCTTTCCAAGTTGCCATGGACCAATGTGCGATTTGCGTTTGCTCACAACACTGCTATTGGAAACTGTCGAGCAAGCAGAGTCTCGCTTGCTTTGCGTCTCAGATGCGGCGAGCTCAGCCACCCGTCGGTGACCCGGCGATCGTGGAGGGATTTTCCGTTCAGCGTCCGGGTTGCGGATCTTGAGAGTTCCTTTCGTCGTGGGAATGAGAGACTCATTATGGGGGATTGAAGCGGGCTGTGCAGGTGACGTCACCAGAGGCGACACCGCAGTAGGTTTGAGAGCAGCTCGTTGTGAAGATGGCGTTGGGGTAGGGGTGCTTGCGTTTGATCGGGAGGCCATATCGGCAAAGGGTTTGCGGGCAGTCTGCCGGCTTGCATAGTAACGATCCATGTTAAGATGATTCAGTGTATGTGAGGTGCATGTACAGGCCAAATTTTGATCTGGAAATCGAAGTATTGGAGAGAAGAGGGAAAGATGCTGTGGTTATCCAAGCGTGCAGTTGAGCAGGAACGGGGGCTCTCTGTCTTTGTCGGATTATAGCATGTTGTCGAGACAATTTGAATGTCCTTAGGAGTATTGGGGGTAAGCCGCGAGACGCGTAAGAAAAGCAGCAACACCCACAGCCGATGGTTGCCGCGCCAAAAGGAAGATATGAGTGAGTGGGAGTGAATGAGATGGAGAGCGCGCAATACAAACTTGACGTTTCTCTGGGGTTTGAGGGTGGCAGAAGCTTGGAAAGACGCGAAATGTGGCTTCCAAGGAAAGAGCGATGGAGTGTGGGGGCGCTTGCAAGCTCCGTGGGGTGAAAATTAAGTAAAACTGTCCAGGTGGGAAAGAGCAAAGGGATGTTTGACGAATTAAGACAGTACGGAAGGAAATGTTGAGGCCAGCAGAATCTCAGGGCCAAATGAGAATCAGTAGAGACTGTTGGAGACCTCGGAAGAGAGTGTTGATGAAGTTAGAGAGGTCACTGTTTACACGACGAAAGACGTTCGGGTGCAAGTAAGGGAGAACGGCGATTGCTTTCGTTGCTCGTTGCTCGTTGCTGCGGCGGTCGACGGTCGGCGTTCGGCTGAATCTCACGTGGAGACGCGTCGTGTTGGTGTTGGTGTCGAAAGTCGAATGCCAAGAAACCCACGATCTGAGCGATGGGCAGTAAGGAACGTATAGTATTATATGAAATAAAACTCGAGCAAAAACAGCACGTTTGGCGTAAAGGAATGTAAGACGCGTGAGAGAGAAGAATAGACAAAAGGGAGAAAAGAAAAGGTCGGTCTTGTGTCACGGAAGAAGGATGATTTTTGAATCTCACTGGCCTCTCAATCTCAATTTTCGACAAAATGCTCCGACAGCATCGCCCAATTTCGCTCCTGCGACCTGCATCAATCCTCATTAAACACGTCTATCATTCTCAATCACGATCTTGCTGAGGAAATGAGATAAAGGAAAGAAAATTCTATCACCTATCATTTATTCGCCATGGCCTATGACCTACCTCCGAGTGTTGCGCTACATTGATGCGATTCATCAAAGAGTAATCAGGCCTGAAGTCTGTTTGACGAGGCTACAGTGTACGAGAGGATCAAGCATGAGTATTTTGAGATGCATCAACCTGACTGATGAGACAAGACACCCTTTTATGAGATGATGTTGCGACGTGAAAGAGGATGAGTCTGCGCGGTGGAAGAAGTTATGGAATGGAGGGGCCATGAGGCTGCCTGAGGCCTGAGACTCCACTCAGGCATCCAGGCAGCAACGCTAGCTCAGGGGTGAGATCGAGTCCGCATCGACAATACTATCATCATCATACAAGTACTTCCGACACCGCAATTTGTCTTGAACTTCCACCAGGAGTGAATCCCTCTTGACCCATGCACACATCACAGCACTGACTTCTGCTTGAAGTCATCAAAGACGTTGGACCTCCAGTACTCCACAGACGTGGTATCTCTTGAAATCCGCCGCAACTGGCGAGAAAGCTGCTTCATCCGTACATTCAAGCATATTATGAAGTATAGTAAAAGGCTCCTTTCATAGCCAGTCGTCTACACGTGCCATCATCACCTCACCATCCTCAAATCACACCGTCCACCCCAGCATTCCTCCATACCAGCATCACACAACCACACCCCAAACACGCGCTCTTCCCCTTTCCATCCCGACCCGCATGCACCGCCAGGAACACGGCCAGTATCATTTACCCATCCCCTCTCTTACCCCATCGCACACTCTCCACTCAACCCGGTCACCGGGATCAGGGTCGCAACAGCAATAGCGATATCAATATCAACAGTAATAATAATAGCAATGAACACGCACACACGCACGCACGCACCCCCGAGAGATCAGATACGCCGAGGACACCCGGAATGGAAACAAGAGTGCGTGCGGTTATGCATCGCCGACCAGATCGGGCGGGCACGGTGATGTTTTGGTGCGAGGTGAGAAGGCGCTAGTGTTGTGGGTGATGGTGATGGTGTTTCATGGTTGTGTGAGGGTGAGAGCTGTGGTTATTCTGTTGGGGGGGTCTGAGGTGGGCTTGGAGGTGTTTGTGTTTGTGGGTGGTGTGTGTGAATTGGGATTAGGATTGTACGGCCGTCTCCTCGCTGTAGAGCCCTCAGCGCAAACGTTAGAGCTGTACTACAATCGTTTTACTACAATAATGAATTGTGTAGTGATGAATTGTGAGGTATGCCACCACGGTGAATCACTCTAGACAAGGACACACCATCACTCCAGCGCATGCTGCGCTTACGCAGTATTCTAAATCAATACATGCATGCGTAGACTTCTCCCTTCTATATACACTTCGTCATAGCCGTTACCTACGCACAAATCCATTTCCATGCCAACCTCAAACAGTAATCTACCAGGTCTCCAAACCGCCAGTCCAACATAGGGAGTCACATCGGGCGAGAAGGATCCATGGATTCATCCATGATGACAGAAGCTCACCTCATCTCAATCGCTCGAGTCCTTCCACCAATCCACACACTACGCACGCTCCCAGCATACAAGACAACATCCTATAATAGGTACAACCCAGTAATTTCGGTTAATGCACCAGCACCCCCAGAACAATCCAACTCATGCTCGGTGTGCGCGACGAACTCTGAGACATTTGAGAACATACCTCACTTCCTACCTACGGGGTTATCCCCTGTTTGTCTGTCTGCCTGCCTGTCTGTCTATATATCTTACCAACAAAAACAAAGCAACGTGCGTGCGTACGTGAGTGCAACATTCATTTCAATAGACACAGCAAAATTTACGACATACAACCATGTCCAACCTCCGAGACTTCAGAGCCAGCCGCAGAAGAACATAGGTCAGAGACAGAGACAGGACTGTGTAGCATTAGCTGGTCAGTTAGCCAGTTAATCGTCAGGGTGTTGAAGATGTCTGATGTCTGATGTCTGATGTCTGATGTCTGATGTCTGATGTCTGATGTCTGATGTCTGATATTCGCTTATAGGATCTTTGAAGCGCTGATGTGACTGACAGTGCTAGGGAGTCCGGTACGGCGCTTGGTAGAGGCTTTTGTGTCTGCTGTTTCAGTGTGTAAGTGTGTGTGTCATACCCTTTCCCAGCTCAGGAGACAATCAAACGGACCATCATCCACCCGAAAGCAGAACATAACCACGACATACCAGCACAAGTGCGGAGTATAGATTTGTTCATACCTGCCTGCCTACTTACCTATCTACCTACGTGTATGATGGCCTCAAGGGTGGTGTAACGTTACGATCGCGATTCACGCGTCAGGGGCCCTGGTGCAGGAGCGTGGACTAAGTCAAGACTAATTTTCGTCCTGGAGGGTAGTTCATATTCGACGGCGACTAGACGGCCAGAGAAATATGAAACTGTGTCTGGCTTTGTTGTACAGACGGGAATGATAGGCACGTGTAGAGAGTTTGCGTGTCGGATGCTCCACACAGAGAGATACCAGGGGTGCTAAGGATGATGGAAGTGGAGTGGATTTGATTTGATTCCAGGTTTCAGCTATGGATGTGTCTTTTTTTAGATGATACATAGCTTGTCTGGATGTGTAGAAGAGGCATGTCGATCTCATACAACGACTCACGACGCTTTTGATTGATAAGGCGCTGGCAAACAGCAAGTATTGTTGATACTATGAACTTATATAATTTGCCTGTAAATTCTGCCACCACCTTTACCACCCCTAGACGCTGAAGATACAGATATCGTGACTGCGTGGGGTCATCTACGAGTCTGTCTCCTATTTTGCAATCAGTTTACTTAAGAGTGAAGAACTATGCGACTTTGGGTGTTAAGATTCAACCCAGTATATAACTTGCTGGGTAGATGCTAGATAGACGGTGGACGGATCATGCGATTTAGTCACACAATCTGAAGAGTACACAGTTGTGTGTGGTTTGAAAAAGAGTATATGTGAAGTGGGGTGCAATGTGTCAATTAATCCATTTCTAAAACAACCAATTAGTCTGGCGATACTCTAGCAGCAAAATTGGCCAGACTGATGCCTCAAGTAACTAACGAACTAACTAACAATAACAAGGTCTCCGAACATATGAGCTACTCCTCAGGCCTCGGTCACAATTCTTGATGTCTAACAAACGGCGTGTAAACAGTCAAAAAAACAGCTCTCAAGCGTCTCGCCGTCTACCTCCTAGTATTATAGTAGTCGATGAGACTACCTGTCGTACCTGCCTAAGCATCAGGCTACTGGACAGACATGTGGCTGCTGTGTGGATGGACCTCGGGCTTGCCTGTCAAGTGTCACGACGGGTGTGGATGTGTAGTGGTGGCGGAGAGGCTGCTACCTAGGTATGTGAGAATCTGCCACTGGCGTCTATGGATACTAATGATAGTGGTGGTGGTGGTTAGGTACCGGTAGTTGGATGACGTCGTTCATTTATTCACTGCCTGGGCCGTTTAGTTAGCGACAAGTAGTCGTGCACGCCGTGGATACCTAGTGAACAGACATCGTCGCTGTCAAATGCACGCTCTGTTTACAGTCCGGTCTCGGGACTGGTCAACTCGTTCGCACACGATCAATCTACGTCAATGACTGTTTTAGTGCGGAGGACATAGTCACGCCGCTCCGACAGAACAGATAGACGAGCATTAGATCACAGCCCAACCAAGACAATAGTCACTCGCAGGTACGGCGGTCGTCGCCGTTGTTGACACCTAGGTCATCGACCAAGGACGGGAAGCCAAGACGGTCTTCAGCGGTCTGGGTCCCAAAACCTCGGCCGGCCTTAACAAAAGAGACCGCCCTTTTTCTCCATTTCCTGCCGAGATACATACAGTATACGTAGGTAAAATAGTAAGCGCGGGCGGACAAAGCAATTGATAGAATGGATATAGCTGGTGACCGGCGGCCGCTCGCTCGCTTCGAGGCTGGCGGGTCTCTGCCGCCGCAACTCAAGGACCGACTAACCTGTAACCCCCTCCCCCCCGCGCGCCAACTTTAAGGGCAAAAAGAAGCGCCGAGTAGTGATGCCGCCCCCGTGCAGTACAGAGTCGGCCGGGCCAGCTAAGGTATTTCCAGAAGCGGAAATAGTAGATGGGACACCTGGAGCCCCATATTACTCTGGCCGTAAGGGAAAAGAGAGTGGGGAAAATCAGGGTAGATAGTCAGTTACTCAGTGGGTTAGTAACTTAGCCCCCAAGGATAATGGATGGCTGGCTAGACGCGAACTATCCATACACATCGTGCAATGACGATATGTGACACTTTGCGAAGGCCGCGGAGCGTGTGTCTGTGTCTTGTGTGTGCCTTGAATCATACGTATCATTTGCGCCGGAGCGAGCGTCTTTGCAGCCAATGGAGTCGCCGTAAATGCATGTACATGTATAGTATCAAAGCATCAACCTGGAAATCGATAGGCGGCATACTTTGGCCATTCCAACCCACTATCTACCGATCCATCCATCAACACATCCAAGTTATCATCCATACCAGAATCATGCACAGCGCTTAGACGCGCGCACACGCACACACGCGCACGCGCACATGGGACATACAGATTGACCCCTTAGGTATTAGTAAGTGAGTGAGTGAGTCGAGGCGAATGCGTGGAGAGCCGTGAAGCCATGGACAGCCACTCTGTGCCTCCTCTCTTGCGAGAGAGTGTAAGTAGGCTTGGGAGGCTTGATGGAGGCACACGCCAGACCCAGAGGCCGCATATGCCATCTTCGCAGAGGCCGTCGGGACAGTCAGGCATGGCAGGTATAGTCGAGTTGACAGAGGAAGCTAGAGGGGGTTGTAGGTAAGTGTGTAAGTAACTACGTAGGCAGGCCAGGAGAGCATTGAAGCGGCGCCTCCGTGATGACAGATGCTGCATAAGACTGGAAGGAAGTGAGTGTCTCCGGGGTACATGTTGTCGTCGTCAACATTGTCGTCGATGAAAGTGCATCATGAGCAAACATTGAATCACAGTCTCGACCTCGAAATTCCCATATGGGGTTGTGATCAGCGCAGGGCCTGGGTTGCGAGTACAGACAGAGCCCGAAGATGGCAAAGATTTGCCCTGCCAGGCGGCCACCAAGAGGCCAGAGCAGCCTGCGGTCGAGTGCGTTTTGCGGCTTGAAGGCTTAACGGGCAGCGTAGAATTAACAACCAGAAGAGAAAGGAAAGAAAACAAGGAAAAAGGGCTGCGGCGTGGCTGGGGCGGCTCCAATGACGGTGGCATGGATCGGGCCACGGAGGCCAAGCATAAGGGGGGGAATTATCCAAGATCTCGACCTCGACCTCGACTCCAGGAGTCAGTCTACTGGCTAGACCCGAGGGTTTATGAGCTAACTAACAAGTACGTCTATCTCCGCCGGAAGAAGCATTCGAGATATCAAGATCCAATGACTGAGTCGAGCCTGCGCGCAATATGTAGTGATAATTGATGCTGTCTGTCTGTCTGCTAGCAGGGCACTGCGCTGCAGTAGTGCGGGCGCGTCGAAGGATCAGGCTGAGCCGAAGGCGGCCACGCGAGAGACGAGCATGTTGGCACACAAACACAACACCAGGTATACAGTAGTGGCAATGGTGGTAGAGGAGGGCGGCGGCATGGGGGGGTTACCAGGTCGTGCGTCCATGCATCGTCCATGTTTGCTTTTGCTTGCGTGGGTGTGTGTATGTGTGTGTGTGTGTGTGTGTGTGTGTGTGTGTGTGTGTGTGTGTGTGTGTGTGTGTGTGTGTGTGTGTGTGTGTGTGTGTGTGTGTGTGTGAGGGATGATAGGATCCGGTGTGTCGGCTCGATGGCTGCGGTTGTGGTGGTGGTTTATAGTGGGCAAACCCCAATCTCCAGCGATCGACCAAAGGCGCGCGGTGGGCTTGAAGTCGCAAACATGCTAGAACCTGGAGACGATCTGGAGACGCCAAACTCGTGGTTCTGAGGGATCTGATGAGGCTCTTGCACAGCTAAGGATGCCGTGGCCATGGTCAGTATCATTATCAAATGTAAACAACACCACGACCGACAACGGTCCTGCTACTCTCTCTCCTCCTGTTACCTCAAGTGAATTACCTACTACTACAGACGAATGACGCGACTGCTCGGCCGTCTGCATTTCCCCCTCACATCGGTAATTATCGTCTACCTACTGTACCATTCAAGAGGACAGACAGCTAGAACTAACAGTCAGTCCCGCGAGCGATTTAAGTTGAGAGAGAGGGGGTCCGCGAATCGACTGGGCCAAGCTTGGAAATTCCGAGCAAAGTCTAGGGTTTATTTTGCAAGTAGGTAAGTAACCGTCCTGTAAATTGTATGGTGGGCCAGAAAAGGCAATACTTTTTAGGATATTTACATGCCTGGGGTCCCCTTGCGCCGCACAACAGACAAGGCTCGGGGATGACCGAGAGAGGCGCCTTTTTCGACGCCGACGACGCCCGCCGCCCGCGTGGCCTGCCGACAGAACATGGCGCTCTCTCTCTCGGGGGCTTGCAAAGGCCCAGGCTCATCGTGCGTCGTGGTGGATGGGACGTGATGGTTCTCCCGATGCATTGACGATGTGGCTTTTTCGATATCCCCCCTTTGAGACTAAGAGCGAGTATGTACTTGCGTCTTGCGCTCGTGAGCCTAGATACCACCTCATGCATACAGGGAGAGGTCGAGGGTGTCTTGGCTGCTCTTGGGCCCCTAGAGGCCTCGTGCGATGGCGATGGCGGCTGCTCCCACGCTGCAGAAACAGCGCCTTGGGCTGTGGTGGCTTCGATATCAGGCTGCTTGACGTATGCCACGCCCTTCCACCTGATGTGCTAGATGTGGGAGACGAAAGAGAACTAACAACTTGCGACAAGTCTGGCAGTGTTAGTAGCATTAGTTGTTTACGCTTCTTTCGCGTTTCATCTCCTCTATTTTACATCGCAAGCGAGGCGATGCTGCCGCGGAGGCTACAATTGACGGACCGACGGGGCTATCCTTGTCAACGTCGCACGATGCCTTTGTCCTGCATGTTTACATTTGGACGTTGGTGACGAACACTTGACGAACTGGAGAGGGCATGTCCTGTTGTATCGAACTATATGATAGGGTTTGAATGATATATTAACTTTTGCTCTGACGTCGTGTGGCATTATGGCGTAAACGTCTTTTTGCTACGTTCTATGGTACAGTACACATGCGAGCCAGAAAGCTTCGTATGTATCAGAGCCGCAATGGAGAGCCACAGACAGTATGACCAAGAGCACGCACTAATTGATAATATTACTTCGATACCAGGATGGTCCAGTCCATTTACTGGCCCCGATGAGATCTGAAGAGCACAGAACACTCAACATGCGATCTATCTACCTGGTACAGTACCCTGCAAGACTTTTTGCCTAGGCCAGCCAGAAACCGCGCTGCTGGGAGTCTGTGTAAGGGTGGCGGATGCACACAAGTCCACAAGTCCACAAGTCCACAATCAACCTCGAACCTCGCGAATCCACATCGTACAAAAAGCCCGCGGACTCTCTTCCTCAAGCATTATTGATGGTATTATTTATGAAGTGCTGAGAGCAATAGTAATGCTCTGTACGTGTGTGCGTGCTTGTGCGTGTGCGTGTGCGTGTGCGTATGTATATATGCGTACATTGCAGTTTCCCGACTCCTTCCCGGCGTACCATGACACAAAAATGCAACATATTATCCCATTATCCATTGGTTCACCCGTTCCGAGCAAGACATCTTTGTCATGTCCATGACCAGAAGAAGCCAACGCTGGAGGTCTTGGACCCCAAGGATTTGAAGACATTTTATGTTGCCAAGCAATGCCTCGTGCGCTGCCTGTTGCTCGGTGGAGGAGATGGCGACGGGTGGGTGCGATTGTGGCTGTTTGGCGAACACCTCTGCCCGTGGCGTGGACAGTTTTGACCATAATGCATACATACATAGTGCCATTGGAACTGACTTTCATGCCCCCACTGCAAGCCAAATCTATAGCCACCTAGTAGGACTGACAAGAGACTAGCATTTTATTCGTACTGTATTATCCATAAATAATATAATATATCAGAACTCAAACATCTGACGTGGTTGGAATGGATGGATGTCTCTCTCTCTCTCGTCAGAGCTCTCACTAAACGAGAGAGAATGCACATGGGGACCTTTGCTCATTCATCTCACCACCCCCCTCCCCTTGCCCTAGGGCCTGTTGCCGCCATACCATACCCACGTGGAACGCTGGACAAAACAGCAGGGCACTCACACGACTGGGCGATACTGTAAGTGCGAGATCACCAATGAGATCGGCAGCGTGCAGAGAGTGCGCCAACCAGATGCTGCAGCATTTGGTGCAATCAGCAGCATCTTCTCATCCTGTCGCAGCTTCTGGTCGCACCGTAATGTTGGATAATTAAAATGATCCATACCCTTTTTCTTCTTTCCCTGGTGGCCGGTGAGATGTATCCCTGGCCGCCGCACGCACGCACAAACGAACGAGCGAACGAGCACGCAAGCAGGCATGGACACAGGGCAGGGACAAGAGTCAAGCGCGCGCGCTCCAGATAGAGAATATTGAGCACATGGTCTCTGGATGACGATGACGAGATGTGATTAGTCTCATGGGGGCGCGTGTGTCTGGTTGAGTGAGAGGACGCAGCCTGCCGCTTGTCCCTGGGCCTGCCTTGGACGCAGGATTGGAGCGTCAGAGTGTTCGCTCCAACAAGGCAGCGCAGCGGTCGAGGAGACAAAACAGGAATAAGTCATCTGTCTTAGTTCCTGGGTGGTGCTGTTGTTGGTTTCCCTGGGACCTCACCGACCCATGGTTTAGGAGAGGAGAGGGAGGAGAGCTCGGCCGAGGTGTGTGCTCGCTTACCATACTATACATGGCTGGGTGGATTCAAAAGTCTCGTATTCGCTGGACCATGCGCGTTCCCGAGTAGGAACCATAGAGATTAGAGGTTAAGTACAGATAGACCTGACGCGCTTCTCTGCTCTCTGCACACACACTACGGAGGATTCGTAGCGGCTCAGTCAGCTGTCCAATAGAGCGCTTCTTCTTCTTCCAATCTTCCCCTTCTGGCACACGACTGCATGCAATAGTCTACAGCGCCGATGCAGGTGCCAGGCGTTCTGCTACACCTTTCAACTGCGCCGCCATCGCTTCCAGGCTTTCTGATGTTTCAGAGGCTTCAGCAGAAGAAGAAAGAGTGAGAGATGATGGTGTGCGTGTGTGTATGTATGTACGTATGTAGGTATGTGTGTGTGTGGAGAACGGCACATGCGAGTGTGTTTCAGGCTATTAGGTCGCTCAAGCGCCTGCGATAGGAGGATGCATGCCTTGGGTTGATTGATTGACGAAGACGAGAACCCAATTCAAAAACAAGCACCGTCCAACCGTCGACCAAGTCCACACTTCCACACTATCACAACTCCACTCCCGTTCCCCACGACGCCAATCCCGAGTTGAGAGTACGCCGGCCGGACTCTCTGCTTGCTGGATCTTAGGGGGGGACCTCTGACTGGCTGTAGCGTTCGGGCGGTATCGGGCTTAGCGTCCGTTTCGCTAAAGGAGAAAATCCCAATTCCCAGAAGTGGATCTCTGTGCTGGATCAAGATTCAAAACGATGATGAATGATGATTGATGTTGCCAGTGCGCGTGTGTGCGTAGCTATTCCACTCTCTGCGCCATCCGCTCGGGTCGGGTCAAAACTCCCCGGGACAGGGAACGGCCTGCTTGATGCTGGAGGCGAAAGACCGTCCTGTGATATTTCGAAAAGAATGCAGAAGAGAAACAGTAGCCACAACAAGAAGATGAAGAAGAGGACGAAGTTAGCTTAGAGGTAATTAGCAACAGCAACAGCAAGCACAAGATGGGCTGAATGACGATCGACTATCTTTAGCATAGCCACTATCTGTAGGCAGTTCACAGGTACAGACAGTATTATGCGATGTGACTACAGTACGTGCTCTGGCACCTCCCGCTTCCTGGCCACCGGCAGTGCCCTGTTTAGCTTGTAGGAGATTTAATGATGATTATCCGTGTGCATTTCCGATCCCTAAGTCTCTGTATGCCTTCGGCTTTTCCGCCTTGCTTAACCAAGCATATGCAGTAGGTACGTACTCCGGCCAGAAAACCCCCCAGGTTCTCTCTCTCTCTCTCTACGTACAGGGCCTTGTGATCCGTAGCGAGCAGTTATTGTCCCTTTCACTAGTATAATTAGCACAACACACAGCGCTTTGTCAGAGAAAGCTAGGTAGGGGCCAGCCGCCAAGCGGATAGGGCAATAGTATACCAAGCATTGTGGATTGTGCAAAGTTTGGAGCCGAGAATGGCCTCAGCGCTCCCTTCAAGCCCATCCCGCACGCCAACGACGTCTTCTGGGGCCCAACAGAGATGCACTGACAGGGTCACAGGGCCTAGGGCGTGAGAAGAGTCAGGGATTCTGACCAGACTTGCAGCTGCTGCTGGTCGCCTGCCTGCCTGCCATCCACTCACCGGGGGCCTGGAGCGAGATCAGGGCCATGTCCTTGTCTTTGTTGCCCCTGCCTTGCAATCGTGCACTCACTCATCAGCTGTGATGGGTTCTGCTCCTGAGTCCTGGGCTCCTGTGGCAGCTGGGTTGCCAGCAGTCCAGGATTGCAGGAGAGGGATTCCCGGTATTGCTATCCGCGATACGCAGATCCAGATGGGAGGTGTATCTGATAGTGTAAGTCAAGTCAGTGTGTAGTAACCCAGTCGCATGGCAGCCCTGTATCTCACTCAGCATCGTGACTATGTGGTTGTCGGTGCCAATTCAAGGAGCCTTGATGTCTCTCTCCGGGCTACGTAGTAGTATGTATGTATGTACAGTACGTACCTATGTTTTGTGCACACAAGGAACAAGCAGCAAATGTGCCGTGCACACCAGCTACCAACTACCAGTACCGCCCACCGCCAGCAGCCCAGCAGCCAACCCAGCGGCTGCCCGCCAGCCAAACCGCCCGCCGCTGCAACCCCTGACTGACATAACGACATACAGTACAACACACCCACACACTCCCTTTGCAACTCCAACATCCTTCGCTTTACCGCCCTCTGCGCGCCGACGCATATATGCGCGTTCTTCATTGGTAGCAAAAGCTATCGAACTTGTCCTGTCTTGTCTTAATAGCTACTACAACAACAGCAGCAACAATCCATTTGTTCTTTTGTGGGAGAAGGAAAGCTGTAATCCGCCCCCCCCTTGTCTCCAGGACCCCCGCTACGAGTGAGTGAGGAGGTTCGTCTTCCCACACCTCATTACTCACGAGTTTCCAATCTCTGCATCCATTAATTAGTTTGAGAAAAGACAAAAAGTCGCCTGGCCGTGTTCTCGTTTACCATATCCGCTTGCGTCAAAGTGTAGCTGAGTAGCCTGGCTCGTCTGGCTCTCTGCTTCGGTCGAGCTACCGCTTGGCCCCAACTCTCCGTCCGATCCAGATCACATCAGAAGCAACGCTTGGACAAAGACCCTCTACGTATCTATGCACACTATACCCCCCTCCCCCCCCCTCTATTCCATTCCGATTCACTTCTGCCAGTAAGCCACGCGAATCCCCAAACCTGACCGATCCTAAGCTGGCTACATATACGTGACGCCTACCACACACACATACACATATACACACACACATATCTCTCCACTCACACTCAGACAAAGTGAAAGCCTTCCGTGTGTGGTCTCAGAGTCAAGTCCAGTCCAGCCTTTTCGCCTCCGCCTCCCGTTACTTGAAAGGATCGACAGCAAGCCGACGCCCGCCTTTCCCGGCTCTTCATCTTGGATATCAAAACAACAACACCTCTGCTCGACTTGATCGTCATATTCACTTGGACTCCTAGTTCCGGTCATCATTGTCAGTCTAAAGGATATCAAGCATCTGCCACTCCAACATCCATACGCAGTTCCAACAGCCGACCATATACCCCACCTCTACGCCCTCTCATCTCTCACACGTTACATATTCATATCCTAGACCTTAACACCATCAACTCTGTGCTGATCTCCTGGAATATCTTCACCTCTACCGGAATCCCAATCTTGCATAGCTTCGTGTCACCAAAGCACAACAGCTTGCACTACCCAAGATCTTGGGATCTCCCGAACCTGCTCTCTTTCATCGCTGGAATTGCTGTGGTAGTACTACGGCCTCTCCCGTCCTTCTTGCACTGTACGTCCTTGCTTTCGCTTTTCGTCCACTGGTTTTTCGCGTTCACTAAGACTTTCTAGCAATTCTTTGGCAAAGCGTGCATTTGTGCTCACCACGCCTTCCCATTCCGCGCAGGTACAGATCATTCGCCGACCTATCTGTCTTCGCTTTGCCAGTCTGCGATAGAGCAATCATCTTCCAGCGTTACAGTCGCCCAATTCGGACCGCTATTCTATTGTCCAGCCAGTTCTCCTCGCCGAGTCTTCTGTTCCCGTCATCTTCGACAGACAAAGAAATCCGCAAACTAGTCTACTTACTTTGACTCTTAGCTGAAGTCAAGGCTTTAATTCGCACCTTCGAATCTACCCCCGACAACGCGTTCGACTAGAAAAGTCACTCAACGACCATCCAATTCCATAGACGTTTTGTTGTGGTCCGAGATTGCCTTTTGAAACCTCTTCCGTTCGCGAGCCGTCTTCCTTCCAGACGGGCTCTTTCCATCTTCTATTGATCCGAACCGGCCAACAGGCCTTTATCGAGAAACAACCGGCACCGTGGCGGCAGCCGTGGCTCTTCCTCATCATCAGATGCACGGGGGACCGGATCCCTTGGGGGCGCCCTCAAGCTTCACAGCCAGACGACCAAACGCGTCGAATCTACCAAACTTCGAACTTCCCCCTCCTCCACTTTCACAATTCAACAAGATCAACCCGTACGGCTCCATAACATCTTCTCAGGCTACCCCAGCCATCGGAACGACAGCCAGCGTCGGTAATCTCCTGACACCGCCAAGTAACGTACCTGGAGACGGTCTCAGCCCAGTCTCAACTGGCGTTACGAGCAATAGCTCAGGAGGCTCGGCACAAGCTATCGGGCCATATACTCACCACTATTGGCCGTCACCGCAGTCGCAAGGACATCAGTCGTATGGTGGATTCCAATCAGGTCATCAGCAATCGCAACAACATCAGCAGCCACAGCAACATCAATATCAACAACAATCACGAGGTTTGTGTACCCCAAACCCCGAACCGACTCTGCATAGGAATATGTACTTACAGTCTCCTAAAGGGCTTCCTCCACCACCTAACGATCTCAGCCTCCCATCTTTCACATCGTCCGGATCCATGTCTGCGCCTGCGCCTCTGTCCTCGATGCCTGCCCAGCACTACCCGATGTCGAACATGATGGGCTCACAAGGACCAGTGAGCACGTCAGCACCACAACAATCACCAGTCCACGCCCAGCAAGAATTCCACCAACAAAACCGCCAACCACAAACGCCAACATACTACCACCAACAGCAGAACACCGCGCCGCAGCAGTCACCATATCCCTACTCCAGCGGTCCTTCTCCAACACAGCAGTCTCCACTGAGCGCCGGTGGTCAGATGCATCGCATGTCGCCTGCCAACAGTGGAGCTCCAGTACCAACTCTTCAAGCACCATCACATCACTCGCCACACCAATACCAGCAGCCATTCCGCGGATACCCTCTTCCAGGTCCTGTGCTGTCGAATGTGCAAAATCCCGGTGGTCAGCTATCGCTAGTGGGCGCGATGCAACACGGCATGATGGGCGGCTTCAACAGTGGACACGCCGCCAGCATGAGCCATATGTACGCCTCGCAACATCAGCAGCAGCAGCATCAGCCGACAAACGACCGGCCGTTCAAGTGCGATCAATGCCCACAGAGTTTCAACCGGAATCACGATCTGAAGCGCCATAAGCGGATCCATCTGGCCGTTAAGCCGTTCCCTTGTGGACACTGTGATAAGAGCTTCTCTCGCAAGGATGCGTTGAAGGTTAGTACTACTCTGATTATACATACCTTTTTCCATGAGCCTTTAGCTGACTGATTTTTAAACAGCGACATATCCTCGTTAAGGGATGCGGCAAAGCCTCTGCCGAGGGCGCAAAAGACGACGAAGCCAACCACTCGCCTAAGGCCCTGTCCACGGGCGCTGACAGTCACGACGGCAAGCGCTAAGCGACCTTGGCGTACATCGCTCTCGATAGATCCATCCGCACCACTCTAAACACATCACCCCGACTTTGTATTACTTTATATATACCCCTTTTTGCTTCGTATTCTTCCCTTCTCTGCTTATATGATTCATCCCACCCGGGCACACCAACAACTTACACATTTTGTTGGTTTACTAAGGAAGGAGGGGGGCTTTTTCCAATTGGACACACGTGGCGTTACTGGTCTTATATCAAATTTATTATTATTTTGGTTTCAAAACATTCCTCAGTCATCGCATCGGCGGGGTTGGAAGGGGGCCAAGGGTTTGTCGCGGATATATACCTACATGATTGTTGTAGCCTCCCTGGTCTTTTTTTCAGGGAGGTTTTTTGTATTGCGAATCATGGGGTGGAGGAAAAACTGGTTTTTCTTGGGCCTTTCCTTGGAGGGCGTTTCTGTTGTTTCTTGGGAGAGAGTTTGAAGAGCAGCATCAACAGCACATGCTTGGGCGCGGCCGAGTGTGCAGTGTGTGCAGTGTGTTTGTATGTCTTCGTCTGTCACACAAATAGTTTTGCGGTATGGGAGGAACGAGGGACTTGGAATTGGACCCACTGAGACACATCAGTTATTTCGGTGGTTGTGGATTTGGGTGGATATAGTGAGCGGCAGCGGATACACATTTTTGTTTACACATACACGAGGAATATGAATATCAATGTATTGACTATCTGGTTGTTCGGATACACACTACCTACCTGACTACTACCTGCTACATACTCTACCTAACCTACCTAACCTACTTAATGCCTACGTACCTACCATTACCTGCCCTATGACGGCTTGGTCTGCTTGTTATTGTGATGTCGTTGTTGACGACGGTGCTACTTGCTTTGCTGGCTGGCTTGCTTAGTGGTCGATGGTCGATGTACATGTCTAGACGCACAGGTTTTATAGTGCTTCGCCTACTCGTTAGTGTTTATTACCAGTAAACTTCCTACGATACAGTGCGTGATACGTGGACTTGTGCAGCTAGGACCTACTAGTACCAAGTTGAGTAGGTAAGTAGGCAATCAGTCAATCCTCCCATCCCACACCATGTACTTGTAGTATGTTACATTTTCGATCGATGGACTCGAGGTTAGATTCGGTGTGTAGGCAGGGAGGTGCTAGGCTAGTCAAAGCTTTTTTTTTTCCTCTTAATTACTACTGCTCAGCTCGTCGGCGGTTTTTTTCTTCCGCGAGGGGGAAGAGGGGTAGTGCTCGTTTTTGTCCGAGGCGCAGCTTGGGTACATACAGTTGTAGGTACTGTATGTAGGAGTCTCGGGGTTTTATTCGTTGTTTAGTTCCTTGGTTGATTGGTTGATTGACAGGCGTGCTGAAAGGCCGATATCGCGCTGTTAGGTGGACAAGACTGTACAAGCATGAATTGAAAGCGATTACATATCGATATATAGAAGTGGATACGTCAGCTCGACTGCAGGGCTCTGTTACTTACGACGTGCTGACCTCAGAGTATCGAGCCTGAAGCTAGAATGGCTATCCTGGGACAGCTCCCTGATTTCGAGACTCGATGACCCTGGACAATACAATCAAATTGCACAATGCATTACTCTTTCGTAATTCTAGACCTGATACGATGACGAAACTATAATAAAATATATCTTGAATGACTTACCCAGCTCACTCTTTCCCCCTACGAATATCAACAACCTCAGGCGTCGTCAGTGGATTACCCCAGATATTGTCAGGAAGCTCTGGTGGAGTCCGGTTCTCTTCTTGAACGCGTATTGCAACTTCCTTCAGTCTTCTTGCCAGGCCTTCCCATTGCCCCTCCTTCAAAATAAGCTGTCCGTCTCTCTTTCTCCACTCCCCGCCCACCAAGACATGTCGAATATCACTGACATTCGCATGTAGAATCACCGCAGCAACCGGGTCCGTCCAGCCCGCCATATTCGGACTCTCTCCATCAAACACCACGATATCAGCCTTTGCGCCTACTGTCAATACTCCAATGTCGTCCCGTCGTACAGCCCTTCCTCCATGCCTCGTCGCAAGCAAGAATGCGTGCTCTACAGTCATCGGACAGCGGTCCGGAATCGCCGTCTTCAACGCCGCATTATACCTCCTTGCGCGCTCAGCTTGGAGCCAGATGCGTGCTTGCGTGAAGATCTCGCCGCTAAAGGTAAACGCGGTATCAATACCGAGCGCAGCCTGGTCCTGGATATCGCAGCAGGAGAACTGTCCATGGCCATAATGCATTTCTGATTCAGGGGTGATGGATATGAAGTTGTCGGTGCTGCGTAGGATAGCGCGGTCGGATTCGGTGACGAAGCCACCATGGGAGAAGATCCAGGGTGGGTTTGGGCTGTCTAGAAGAGCGTATGAGTGTGCGAGGGTGGGCGAGTTGCCAGAACCCCACGGGCCAGGACCGACCGTGTGGACTGTTATGACTTCTGGCTTGAGAGATCTATGTCTTGTCAGTCCATGACTTCTGCGTAATTGCATGGGACATGAGCAACCCTCTAGCAAAATGCTTGAAGCGTCGCTAGACTCATGTCCCATCGATACGACTCACTGGATTATTGCTCGAGTGGGCTCAACCTGGTCTGGAGGAGTGAATGATAGACTGTCCCAAGCCAACCCGAACGCAACCGCACTGTCAGGCCTGGTGCTTCTATGACGCACCGCCAGATCCAGCAGTGCCTTTGTCTGCTCTCCGCCTGAAAACGACTCGTTCGTAGCCATTATATCGTAACACCACCAGATCCTCGCCCCACTATCAACCGCCGCATCGAAACCACGCATCATAACATCATGATCCCAGTTATGGTGAGCGTGCTCCACGATACTCGTAACTCCTCCGTTCAACGCCTCCGCATAGCCAGCAAGAGCACTGACGTAAATGTCCTCTGCAGAGTACGAGTTCCGAGCCTTTGACATCTGACTCACCCAGGAGAAGTACTGCGCGAGAATAATGTTGGAGCCAAGAGTGCGGTATGCGGTCATCCAAGTATGCCGATGCGTGTCGACGAATCCTGGACACACGATCTTGTCAGTTACATCGATAATCTCTGTGTCTGTTGGAAGTACGAGTGTTTCCGGCTGGGTTGTGATGGCCGTGATGATGCCATCATCGCTTGTCAATAGGGAAGCGTTGTGAAGAACTTTGATAGACTCGGTGACCTTATCGAATGAAACGATAGTCCCGTTCTTGAAGAACCTGGGACCCATTGCAATGGTGATGTAGTTTTAGAGGATTTGTACACAGCACTCAAGAATCGATGTCGTGGGATTTCCTTTCTAGTGCGTGCGGAAGTAAATTTATGTGTTAGTGCCCGAAATCAGGACAACGGGTTGAAAGCTTTTGTTTTATGCTTGAGTGAATGAAGGCTGTTTATTGAGGAAACTGTTTTTCTAGTCAGCGTCATCGTCGTTGAGCTTGACCGACGTACTGTAGACAAGGGAGAGTCTCCACGACGTCTTTCAAGGGGACTAAAGTAGTACTCTTGACGGCAATGCTCGGATCCCCACGTCCTTGCCAGCGCAGTTGGTCCGTCTGATGCAGGACGAGTTCCCTTGACTATTGAGAGCAGCAGTCAGTATATATTATGTCATTGCATACACCCGCTAAGTTCGGTATCGGAATTACCATGTCCGAGAGCGAAGGCGAAAGCACGTTTTCCCGTTATGGACTAGTCGATATATTGCCTTCGTATCTTCTCTCCTAAGTCTACTACCGTGGCTATGTCACGAGCATGAGACAAAAGCCACACAGGGCAGGTAGCGTAAGGAGCTGCTGCTAGGTCGTGTTTCGACGCTCTCTCGGGAGTCAAACAAAGTGCGCCAACATGTGAGTAAGCTAAGCTAAGAGTTCTTCTACTTCCTATAGGAAAACTCATAACTTTAGGCAAGAACAACGCTCTACCTCTTGATATAATAAGACTAAAAGTACGCTCAATCATTGGAGGAATATCGATAGTCTATCCATAGAGCGGCAAATTCGGTACTGATGCTATCCACACATCCGCACGTTTTGACCTGACTGTTTGCAAGGCAAGTACACTGGACCTTAGTACCCAGATCAAACCAACTTACGTACTAACAGATCACCATGTAGTCTACTGAAGAGATAAAGAGAAATACACATGCTTATCTGGTACAGGGTTGGATTTGTATGTGACAGTCTTGGCCTCTTGTATTCGGAAAGAGTCAGATAACTCGTCGGGAATCAAGAGTGCACGATTTTGATCCGTCCACTACCTAGGCATCCAGACGACCATTGATGGGCTTTTCCCCCTGCGCCAACTAGATCCCTGCTCTTGAGACAGGGATAAAGTCAATCTGCCATGGATCGTTCATCTCAGTTTCACTTCTCGCTTTTTCCAATCGAAGTACGCAGTGAGCTTTCCAACTGCATTGCCCTCCGGAAAGGTGTCCGGATATGCTTTCATGAACGCTTTGATGTCTTCATCCATCCTCTTCCTCCTCTCCTCGTCCATTCTCATCCTTTTTTCCTCATCCTGTCCATGGTCTTCAATGTCCTCCTTCAACTCCACCTCTCCGACCATGCATCCGAAATCCGTCTCATCCACGTCCACCCTGAAGCGCTCATGGACCATCCAACTCTCCCTCTCCGTCACGAAATCTGCAGCGACTTCTAGACAGTCTTCAATAGAAACACCTTCAATTGCCACGTGCAACTTCTCCTTGATGACTTCCTTCACGGCCTCTTCTCCAGCCACCTCCTCGAACGCCGAATTGATGAAGTCGCCGCCCGCGCGGATCTTAGCCTCCCATAGTCCGTTACGGCGCCGGATGTATACACCCTTTCCGAAGAGTGCATTTTCCCGGTCAAAGTACGTGTCGCGGAACGTCTTACGACCGAGTGGAGCAAGATGCTTGAAGATAGGAGAGGAGGCGTTGCGGAGAGTTTGAATAGATGTTGGTGTCGCAGCGAACTTGCGCTCAACTTCTAGGACACGTTTTGTCATAGCTCGGGCGCCGTTGGTGAGGTATGCCATGTTTGTGAGTTGTAATTCGTACGTTGGTTCGGATTTGTTGTAAGTATCAGAATGTTGGAAGACGGGGGACGGTGCCTATAAAAGATTGGTAAAGTTCGTTGCAGAATTTTGGGTGCATGTGACCCTGGATCTGTAAAAATCTCAGTCTTGCAAGAGATTGCGGAGGCTGAAGCAAGGGATGCACCGAGGCTGTTTGACCGTTTGACCATGCGGACTTCACCATCAATGGTTGCACGAGCTTGGTCTACGTGTCAAGTAAGCCTCATAATCCTCACGTTTGTGGTAGCTGTATGGACGGAGCGAGCTCCGAAGGGTCGCCCACTGGTAAGATACGAAAATGAAACGATCGCGCTGTACGACAGACGGAGAACGGCGTCGTTTGTTGGGAAAAAACGAAAACCTCCGTTCTTTCATAGTCTAAGGAAACAGCGAAAGTAAAGTTGAGGATCATGCCTATCCAACGATGACTCATGTACAGGAGAGAAGACTTTGTAAAAGTAGGAATCGTGAAGGTAAAGTGACGTATGGGACAAGCCGATGCCAGCTCTCGTAGTCTACGTATTCGAAAAATGACGTCTCTGGATATGTTGAACTTACCTATCGATAGCCCTTGACCTTGAATAATGGCGTGTCTGAAAACGACAAACCCACCTATTGGTAGCCTTCAAGCTTATACTGTAGCGTCTATCTGTCGGTTTATCAGTGTTCATAACTAATGGAAAGTACATAAGGAGCGCGTCAATCATCATTTTTCTTCACTTTCTGGACTGAGTAGCGGAAACATCTTGCTATACCTATGCTTAGATGACGAGTTTTCACTACCCAGGACTCAATCTATCAGAGAGAAGGATATATGCACAAGCGTGACTGTAAGTGCAACGAAAGAGAGCTCTGAAGTTTTGTGTTAGAAATTGCGCCCTTAGTGTCCTCCAATCATACACGATCCATGATATTCAATCTGTACCCTGAATGCGACGCGTCTTCACCGGGCTGAGCCAGGTCAGCGAACAGTTACCGCGGCTACCGCGGCATATAACTAACAAACGATATGTGGTTTATGTTAATACTGGCGAATACAGACTTGTTGTATCTTCAAAAGTCCTCTGGGCTGCCGAAGAGAATTCGAATTTCGTTGTCGGGAACTTTGGGCACACGCGACAGAGGCAGTATTATACTGAATTTAAGGAGCAGTCTGATTCACATGACCGCGTGCCTGTAAGCTTTAAGGAGCATGTAGACAACAAACGCGTACCTTCTCGTGTGGAAACGCCGGTCCGCGCTCTTGCATAGTTCTACACGTATGTCCATCAAGGTTGCGGACCTCATTCTTCCGGCTCAGCGACTTATGTCAACGCCTCTAACAAAAGCTGAAATTCACCAAGACTCGATCAGAGGGCTGGCATCGTGTCAATTAATCGCCTTATAATGCTGACCGAACAGAGGCACCCTACAGCGAGTTTTGAGCAGGCCGCATGCAACATTGGTCTTCGTATAGGAAATCAACACAATGTTTGTTATTATTGGTGAGTGTTGAGTTGTCGCGATTGCTTACTGTTCAGAGTCACTGCATCAATGAGATCTCTGCACGACTAATCACCATCGCATGTTACAAAGACTTCAATAGAAGCGTAGTTCTACACATATTGCACGATGCTGAACATGACAAATAGTAGAGCCGAACAGCATCTAACCGGAGTTGATCTTTCAGGAGCATAGTGAATTTCCATCATGTTATTTTCAAGAACATCTTGCTCTAGTATTAGGCGCATGATAGTCCTCCCATACCAGCCTTCAGCTGATACTCATTACATGCAATCGGGCTTGCCTGATTCCAGACTCCAAGATAGAACCTTCCGTGCGAGCAGAAGCGAGTGTCTTCAATGTTCGATATCTGCCGCTGAGTGCATTTAGGTACACCAAGTAACGTTACATTCAATCCAATCACCACATCACTATCACTTTCACAAGCACAATCTCTCAGCGACTGACTCTGAGGAGTATCAAACTCCAAACAACAATCTCTCAATCCTTATACGGACTGCGTTGAAGGGTCAGTGGCGATATAGTCCAGTTAGAAGTTTGCGAATTTCGGCTCACACGCTCCGAGACCAATAGCTGCCTCTCTTACCACTATTGCACCCATTTTACCCACCTCCGGACAGAAATGGCTAGCCAAGATTCGGCGTTCATACCTCTTGTGCGCACGTTGAAACTTCACCGACTGCGGCACCCTTCCTACGAGCACGTAGGCCCATTACCCTTTATTGATGCCCCCCAACTTGCAGTGGGACAGGAACATCAAGGCTTCATTCCAGGTCTCCGAGCGCAAGAAAACCGCGTGAAGGACCACAAAGCAGCGGCAAGATCAAGCCCTAGCCTCCGAAGACATCACGAATCCGTAGGTCTCAAGTCGAGGGCCAGTATGCAAGCATCCCTTCCAACGACCGTATGCCCCTCGCTCTACGGCGCTTCCGAAGTGCATACTTTTTCAGCTCGATCGAGACCTTTGGTTGGACTTGTTAAGCAGCGATCAGATTTACTCTTCCCGTTCAGACGCTCATACTTGTCGGAGCCTCGCGACACCCTGAAGCACTCGAGTCACTACGCTATGCTTACCCAAGAAAGGATCATGGAAGAGCACGCCGAACTTGACAATCGTCCTGAGGCAGCGAAGAGGCCCTGGGGGGACCGTGCTGTGGACGTAGCAGGCCCATCCCTACCTCTTGACTACCAAGAAGAAGCCGTGCATTTTGTGTTCAATACAAGTGACGGGCGAACAATTGGTGAATAAGCATATCTTGTGGCATGGCCTTGGTCTAGTAGATACTCGTCTTTTTGTTGTGTTTACAACTCTGCATCTTTTCAACCGTATAGGTTAGCCTACTGTTCTTGAACAGTTAACTTGTTAGATCATATTAGTGAAGTTCGCCGTCGGCAGCAGAGTGAACATTTCTGTTATTAAGATTACTTCCACATTGCTGTGTGAAGGCGAGGAATGCGATGCCTCTTGATATTACGGCATGCTCTGGTCCTTCCTTGATATGTACATCGCCCCACGTACCCAAGTTGCTGTCTTAGGTGGTGATATCACATGATCTCGCTTATCCGGCACATGAATATCGCCATTAGCTGGGGTTATAGTTAATTGTAGTGGCGCTAACTCTAAAGGTTCCGCATATATGATTCGTATGATGATTTTGTATTACTCTGCTCTTTTTGTTAGCTAATATATTTTAATCATTTTGAGCAGTCTTCATCGGAGCTCCCGTAGCTCAATCGGTAGAGCGTGAGACTTTTACGATGTGTGTCGTGGTTATCTCAAGGCCGCGGGTTCGAGCCCCGCCGGGAGCTTCTTTTGCTTTTTGTGCTTAAGTTTTAAGTGTTTGCCGAAAGCAAGCTTTTGCGTCGTTAAGGTCGTTATGTGTGTCATTAGGACGTGGCTGTGAAAGGAACGCGTCGCATTCTGGTGTTCTTGTGGTACACGCTAATGATACTAGCTTCGCGCTAGCGAGAATTTATGCCTGCCATTCAGTCTCTCGTCATCTTATTCACTGATGAGGCACGAATATCAGTCGCCCGGAGCAGCAGTGCCGCAGACCTTGCTGTGTAACAACAGTAAGGTGCCAGCCGTGGCGTGTAAGTACTTACATCTTTGATTTAGTATCAAACACAACAAGTCTCCCAAGGTCAGTCCGGAGCCTAGGACCTTGGAAGCTTCTCTTCGCTCGCACTTTCGACACACTTGACTGGAATACTAAGTCTCAGTGACGTCACCTGCTCTGAGTCCGTGTTTACATGCCTAGATAGGAGCGCATGCCCGTAATAGGCCAAACGACGAGCACACAAGCCCTACTTTTAGAACAAAATTTGACCTGAGTTCCCGACCACAGACTATCGAAGCTATGGCAAGGCGTTCATCAAGCGTATATTTCAGCCCTTACATCATGAGATCAGCTGCTAACCAGCGCTGTAGTGTACTCCTGCACGTCACAGGATTCATCATTCGCGTGGCAGTGTTTATCACAATCGGTTACGGCGCAAACGTACTGATTGACAGTGGACTGGATCTTTTGAATTGTATCCTGGGTGTCCTATATGCGTGGTACACTATCGACAAGAATGACTTTACGAACTATTACTTGTGTGCAGACGTTATGGTTCGGAAGGGCTCAGAAGTCCTATACCAGTCCCCTGATTGGTCTCGATACATCACGCTCTTCGTATTCATTCGTGGTCTTCACCGCCAACAGCCCTACAACGTTGTCGGATAACGTTTCTGTCGTCATCTTAGTGTGAGATTATCATTCACATGCCCAGGGCTCGTTCCCCCCACGCTTCAGTAGATGCCAGTACGTCACGAGAGGCGAGCCATCATTCGTACAACTAAGTACAAAGGTACTCTAATCCCATTTGCAGGCTGAGCTGTCGTATACGTGTCACATTGCATGCTTACTCGCTGTATGTACGGGCCCATAGTGACGCCTTCGAGTACCTTACATTCTCGATGCGACACTCCAATGGAGAAAGATTACCAAAGCAATAAGAAAGAAAGAGTGACACGTTTGGCACCGGCAACTCCGCGTGCATAGTCTTACCTTACCTACACAGGGGGATAATCCAAGAATTCGAGCTTACGAGGAATGCCTAGTATGTAGACTTTGGGTGATAAGTACCTCTCGAACGCTGCAGTATGTGTGTCAGTAGAGCCTCGCCGTCGCACAAGGCCTACAAATCTTGAAACAGTATGGCACGTGCTGGAAAGTGTCTATTACCACCTAGTCTTCTAGCACATTTTGAGAATCTCTAGCATATCGTGATGTTCTCTGATCAAGGCAAATGGTGAGCTCGGCCCTGTGCTTGAGGTGTGTTACTTGCCAACCCATTTTCCAACCCTGATGACTTGCCATCTTCTCTTGGATATACGCAGCAGCCTGGATGAGCCCGATTGCACTTGCCGCTTTCCGGCAGAAAATTTCTGCGTTGTCAATTACAGGTCTCCTTCGACGCAATCAGACTAGGCTGACTGATCCATCTATGAAGTGGGGGGGGTTCAGCCAGGGTGCCGAGCGGTCCGTGAGATTGTGCTACATCTTATATTGTTCACATTCCTCTACCTTCCTCAAAGCATCTCTCGCGTTCTTTGTACAATTGAACTTCTTACTCTGATCTAGTCGCCCAGGCCAACCATACCGACGCTGGTAAACCGAGGACTTCCTCGGACGAAGATGGTGTACACTGCACTAGGAGTCTTGTTACCATGAAGGTGTTGTACAACACAATTCTGTATAGTGAACTATTCATACCGGCTGCGGAGTTGCCGTACTCGCCTTCAACGACGACTCAGTCCAAGGATGAATAATATTCGGGAATGCAATAATATGAAGAGCCTGTTCGGACCAACTGGATTCATACAGAGCAGCGACAGTGGTGATATGTATGCCTACGTGAGAGTTTTATTCTTCATGTCGGGCCGGCAAGTTTGAGGACTGCTTCCAGGACCGACGGACTGGATCAGATATACCCCAATGCCCATATCCTACGTCCATACAATACATATGGTCACGCGCATTGTTAGTGCTATTCAGGCACTCCTCGGTCCGACCCTGTCTGTGATCGACGGTCCAAACCTGATGTAAACACACTGTGCACACCATAGTGCTCCGACCGTAGGTAGCTCGGTCCATACTTAGAAAGCGAAAGACTGCCACGATAAGAGCACGTAGCAATGGTGCCATCGACTTTCTCGACCCATGTTCGTTGGTTCTTTGTGTAACATCTCAATTGTATAGGCAATTGCACTTCCACGCTAAGGACATATCGCCTCATGATCACTCGTATCTGCCCTGACTATGGGAATGTCCGAGGCCGCCACCGAAACCCTTTGAGATGGCTTCACAGCTTTTGTTAAACCATACCGCTAGGCACACCATGGTCAATGCCACCCTCCATGCCACCTCTCACACGAGGCCGACACGACAAGAGTCAGCCTACGAACAATGTTACCCGATTCGACTTCGCAAGTTGCTTACAAGGTAGCTATGGCAAATTTATAAAGGACTCCATTTGTCCTGAATTCTCAATACAATCGCACCCAATATCTGACAGGTCAATCAGTTTTACATCTCCAAATTCAGTTGCCTCTCTTACAAGCCGCCATGAATTCTCCACCTATGATTCAACCAATCGCTCCACTTCCTTTCAGTCCGCAAAATGTTCAGTGTCCGATTTACGAAAGGCCTTCTTGCCAGCAACTAGATTGCATAAATGGAAACGTGCCCCATAGTTGTCCGGATTGCGCAGGTCATTCAGGGTGAGTTCAAATGTTATTCTTGACGTCATAGAGCCCAGGGGTCTCCCTAGTCCTAACATCGAATAAGGCGCCACGGACACAATTGCATCACCTGTGGGGGTACTGGCATTATCTTGGTACCTTGTTCGAGTTGTTCAGGTCGTGGATAAACTTTGCTTGCTATACCGTCATCTTCACACAAACTGTCTTTTCCAAGAACCTTGTCGTTATTTCCATGTCGTATACCTTCTTTTGTCACGCATCTGAGCCCAAGAATTCGTAAGGCGCAGTTGGGTCTCGGTTTCTCAATAACTCATATCCTTACGAGATTAAGAAGAATCAATATCCTGCCGAGTTGTCATTTTTCTTGGGATCATGACATATCTAGTTATTGTAGACCAGTTTTGACTGCATTGTTTCCGATGATCTCTACGGGTGTCTCATTTGGCCAAAGATAGATTTTCTTCAACAGTCTTGCACTGGATAATATGATTAGTCTATAACTTATAGCTCAGTTTAAGTCGACCTGTCAGGATATTATCTGGTGATTATGTTGTGGCTTAATCGCACGTTGCGCAACTGGCGAACGGACGTTGCAACGTCCCTGAGCCGCGGGAACCTTTAGTGCTTGCTATTTCCATTACCGTGATGGTGGGATTCCACAGCCTCGGTCTCGGCATCTCATCTACCAATTGATGTCCTCGTTTGCTGGCTGTCATCTAGGATGGTCATAAAACTGGGCTTATCTGTCATCACCCACTTTCGAAGCTTCTGTGGAATAGCTGAAATTCACTCCAGGCACCCGCCATGTTATATCTTTATACTCGAGGATAGGATTCCAGAGCTATATAACAGGAAACAACGTGATTTGACTTGTATACCAACTTGAATGAAGCAAGAACCATTCGACCTTACATACAGCCTAGTTCTATTGCTGGTAGCCCCTGCATCTGTACCATATTGACCTAAAGAAATCTCAGTCCGGATGCTGACCGCCGTAGGACGATTTCTTTGCTACGAACAATGTCAATCCGGAGGTCAATCCGGTCGCGCCGATATGAGCAACTGACTTTGTGTGTGTTGTGATATTGCGGTTGATCTTCAGCCAGGGGATTCTGTTCTTTGCGAAGTATCGGTGTGCGGCTGCCAGGTTTTCTCGTGCAAGGTGTTACAAATCAAAGCGGTAAGTAGAACATCACGACCGTCGCACAGTTTCAGTAATGGATAGGCCGGCACATCCCGGAGGCTCGTATCCTGTCCTACTCCTACGTGGCAGTTGATAATGTTCTCTTCTTTCTTCGGTCCGACTAACATTCGATTTCCCTATACTACAAGCTTGATATATGTCTCATTTTAGGGGGCCCTCACACTCGGCCGAGACACCTAGAGAAAGTCAGTCATGTAATGTACAGGTTATATGGACATTCGATGTCATGCTCATGCTACTAACTCCGTCACCGAATAAGCTTGCTGTCACTTTTGTATCAGACCATAGCTCTCTCGACCAATTAGTTACTATCGCAGCTTGGACGCTGGGTATACATAGTCTTTCTGCGACGAAAATGGCTAGGAGGGTCCAATGATGCATGTAAGCACAAAGCGAGAAAGTTACTGGCCAAAAAGGGGTTAAATTGCTATGAATAGGAGCCAGAGGTGGCTTGTATCTAAGCGAAAGTATGGAAGCCCTACACAGGCGCTCATCAAATTGTTTGGAGATGGAGACAGGTTAGAAATTTTAACCGATAGAAGCACTGTCGAACAGAGGACGTCTCCCCATGCGCTGTTCCCAAGGAAGGAAGCACAGTCCGAAGCCTTCTTAGGACCGGTGATTCATTTTCTAGATGGCAGAAGCGACAGTCATCTATTCACCATCAGTCAAGGAGGAGCGAAATAGTAGGTTCTAGGCGGAAAATGACTTACCACACCCTCGTTCACAAGGGAAATGACCGCACCGTTGGCCACGAGCCAAGCCTTCTTCTCAGCGTCAGAGACCTCGAGGCTCTTGAACTCCTCGTGGAGAGATTTGAAGGAATCGACGCTATCCGCAGTGATCTCAAGAGTGGTACCGTCAGAGACGAATCCGAAGACGTTAGGCTCGACGGAAGAAGTGCAGGTCTCTGCATCCTCAGCAGAACGAGCAGCACGCTTGGAGCCGGAACTCCAGAAACCCCCGGTAAGGCCAGAGCCGCCAGCAACACAGCAAAAGGTTCCAGCACCACCAGCACCCTAGCTGCCGTCAGTTCACCTTTCCATAAACGTGTTATGTACTTACACAAGCCTGGCTCGCACAGCCACCACCAGAGAACATACGGGCAAAGTCGGTACTGCTCGCCTTGGAGATTCCTACACCGAAGGCCGTATTGGCACCAACAGTGCAGCAGACTTGTGCCGCGACACCGTAGCAGCCAGCAAACTCAGAGTCGTTGCAGCTGGCTCGGGCATAGAAGCGAACGTCATTGGCTAGTGTGAACGACACCAGAGCGGCCTGGATGGCAAGGATGTTGAAGAGCATAATTGCGGTAGTGGCTTGGGGATCTGGATTAGAGATTGAATTGATGCTGATGCTGTAGATTGCTGCTGCTGATGATGTGCTTTCAAGAGATATGACGAACCTTTTATAAGTCTCTGAGTCTCTATGAAGTTGAGCACGCCTGCAAAATGCAAATGGAGCAGGGGCCATCTAGACATGGGGAAGATATTCTCACAGTACTCGATTATGATTATGTGGTCTTACATACATAGACCCCTCACATTGGTTTGATGCTGGACCGGTCATGGATGGCTACCGTGAGTTGGCCGAGCTGCAGCTTGCTTACAGATTGGTGAGATGTTTACTCTGATGTACCAGTGCTGTTCCCCGCCTGACTTGGTCTTTACATCTTTGTTCGTCTTAGTTGAAAGATCCATGCAAAGTATAGATCAACGTCTCCGGGGGTACTTGGAATCATCGTCAGAACCATCGTTGACATGTGAGTCCGCGTTGTCCATTCTTGAGTCTTTGTGCGGAATTCGTACAATTGTACCATTGGATCATAACAGTTACAATGTTCTGCGTCGGACTTTGACTATGACGCTCCTTGTGGACTCGGAGAATCCTTTACAATATCCACATAAACAATACATATTCAAGCCTTGGCAAGACTTGGTAAGTATGCGTGATACTGTAAAGGTTATACCATTAGAGCTTGCAGGTACTAACCCTGAAAGCGAGCCTTGCAAACAGATGGTTCTTCAACATGTACTATGTCGTGCAACATCGAAACATGCAAGACAGTCTGTCGTCTGATGACCAGAACATAGGCGACTTCCCGGTCTAGCTCTAGAATACATCGTGCTGACTAGTGCACATCTCAGCAATGAGGAGAAGAGATTTTGAGCGTTGTAAGCCTCTTCAAGTACCCTATTGTTCATCTCAATGTATCTCCTTCCCTGTGTGACTATTCAATTGCTCAGGCGACGGTAAGCTAGTGAGACTGATGTATCATATGACTCAAGATTTTCACTGATCATGCGGCTGTAGTACGAGATCTTGCTCAGCTGGAATGATACAAGATCAATTATAAGATATTTCTCCTCATTTGAGTAAGCATCTGGAGAGGAACCCATAGGGGAATGATTATCAGAGCAGCTTATATCCTTGCGACATGCTGGCAAAGGACGCAGATGTAGACAATCATAATGGTTACCGCCTGAGTGGGCGATACCAATGTATTTCAACAGCAACCTTGTATATCGGTAGATATTTGTCACCATGCAGAGGCTCCGCGCGGGATGAAGACGCTATAGCCGTGTCCAGACTTCTTTGTTGACAGACCTTCCATTGCATAAGTCAGGCCATATGCATATCGAAGATTTCAGCCTTAGACTGGGCAGAGGATGAACTAGAATCTTACGACATGCCGGCTGTGGCTTAAGTCAAGACACTGAGGCAGGCTTTGAATTCGTATAGCACGGCCCGTACCGTAGGTGCTTAGCCACAGCATATTTCCATCCGGACCTCCTTTTCAGCGTCTACCAAGACAGTGCCTCTCCAATATAACGTTCTACTTAGCAAAATAATAGAGTGTTTAACAAAGGCCACCCCCTCATTGCGGCTGATGGGCAAGAACCTGGCGAACCTGTCGTCCGGGACAAGGATCCCAAATTCTTTGTCAAAATCGGCTGAGTTTGCATGACTCAGTTCGATTAGCCGTGAATCCATGCTAGCTTTCACACCCATGCGTCTTCATTCCCCCCACAGCTTTAGCGATGCTGACGGTCTGCAGGCTCACTCCCCGCACAAGACGTCGCTTCAGCGAGAACTTACGAATGAAGAATGTACCCAATGAAACAATTCTTGGCTGTCTAGGGCTTATAGTAATGCGTAGGAAAGGACGACTAGTATTTAACTATTGATGCTTGGGCCGTATGACATGACCGTCTCATCGGGTGGAGCACATAAATTTTGTGACATGCATAGAGCTAGAACTCCGGTTATACATCGTCCTAATTCAATCTCACGAATCACTGGAAGATTCTCGTGCCATATGGAGCTAACAAATCGTCCACGTTCTGAGACCAGTGGGTCAGAATCACACGGTCACTGGTATGAAACCCTGTAGTGAAGCAGGCTCGATACGAAAATCGCATATACAGAGAGTTGCAGAGGATTGATCGGTGTGGGCATGCAGCACATGGATATAAGCAAATTGACAGTAGCACAGGCTGTGAATGTGATTGATGACACAGAAGAAAAGTCGAAAGGATTCTCCGGCTTACTAGAGTTTTGCAGGAATCCAACCAATTAACACTGAGAGACTGAAATGTCTCACCGTTTTGGGTTATTGCTACCACGGTAGCACAAATCGACGAACGGAAATGCCAACGGCGTGGCGTCCTTCGCGGAGGATATAAGAAAGAGTTCAGGTTTCTATGCAGGTCGTGGATGTAACTCGACGTGATTTCGAGACTTACGTCTGTACATAACGACGAGTCCGATGACACCACTCATGAACATCGGAGCACAGACAGATCTATCTGGGCTGCGCAAGTACCCTGTTTTCGATGATAGAGCATGTGACAAATCTGGTTAGGCGGTTCAGATGGCCGTGTACTGATGGCAGATTGCTAAACAATATATCGTACGGTGTAGAGCTTAAAGAACGTTTAGGCAGTTGCGTGCCACCTGATTATTTTGGCGATTTTGAAGATTTATCATATTGCAGTTACAAGATACCATGAGCGCAGCTGAAGCGTACAGATATGTGACATCGTTGCACTTTGCACCAAGCAGTGCCTGATGTACCCCTGCCGATATCAGACGAATTACCTCGAAAGGTATTGAAGCAGCTGGCATGCGTTCCGTTTCAGTCGTGGCCTGTGATAGTGCACATCTGTCTACTGATGGCAGCACGGTCCGAGGCGGTTAGCGAAGACGATCTAAATTGGGTACTCAAACGATAGAGAGATATGTCAAAGCGATTGAAGATCAGCATTATTGACCCTTGTGAGGAGATAGTCAAGAAAGCGTGGATATGAGAGGATGCATACGCCGCTGAGGCGCGACTCGGCTCAAAGCGCAACTCTGAAACGGGCACTCTCTCATGACGTCGTGGATGCGGATGGGTTATGGAGCAAAAGAAAGGCAAGAGGAGAGGCCTACGAGTGGTCCAAGTTCTCAATAAGATATGGATACGAGCGGCGCAGCTCTGAAATCGTGCTTGACGTGAGTACGTGGTCAGCAGGCATTTGCACTGGCTAAGGGTGATGAAGGATTGTGGGTGGGGAGGTAAGAATTGCTGAAAGTGTGGCTTGGTTCACTGCTGAAGAGACAGTACTTCTTGGATGATAAAATTCTCTATTGCGTCTATATCGCCTCTCCCCTCTAGATTCTCGGTAGATTTCTTGGCATGGAATTCTGGATGATTAGCTTGTAACAGGCTAATAGACGTTAAATCGATCTCCGGCTGACGCCCCTATTTCGGTATAGAGCAATCAGATCTGCATCTAGCGATAGCATGTTTAGACGATATCAGCCACAAGGCCGGGATCTACCGCCAGGATCGAACGTGTATGCAAATCCGAGGCTCGTCCAAGATCAACCCCGCAGTAGGGGACTGATGGTGATGCATTCGCATGGAGGTAGTGGCGATGGTTTAGAGTAGCGTGGCATGTGGCAACACGAGTTTGTGAATCAGGGAATCGGACATGTTGACGCACCCTGCCTGTTAGAGTGACTATTGACAAGTATGAGGATGAAATACCTGGTCAACAGGGTTCCAGAAGCAGAAAACGAGGGCGCACAGACATCTCCAATACGATGGAACGTCTCCACAAGAAGGCCTCAAGGGATGAGGTGTCGAGTGGTGCCGAGCGGTGCAGTATAGTTAGTCGTTGTACTGGTGCATGATGGATTGACTATTTGTGTATAGCAGTACACAGAGAGGGTACTTGATAGTGCTAGATATAGTCTATGTATTAGTCTATGTACGCAATTAGTCCCTACACATAATAATAACAGCGGTCGCGTCGAGAAGCCATAATTTAAAGGGCGAAGAAAGTCTACAACCAATCACGGGCCGGCAGACGTAAACACGTGCCGGAGTTGACGGCCGAGGCCGAGGGATGTGGACAGGGATGGAGTCGACGGCGATGGCGCTGCCATTGAATCCTAAATTGCTCTAAAGGGACGTTAATATCCTAAACGGGCATAGCGTAGGATCTGTCATTCGACTTCGCATACGAACGCTAACGTTCCAGGTGTTTGAAGTGACAACAGTATCGTTAGACGCAATGACAGCAGTAACAGTATCTACCTAGGCAGTAGCAATAGCAGTAGAGCCAGCTACTGTAGTGGCAGCATCATCGTTAGCAGGTACAGTACTATGTACATACGCCGACTTCAAGTGAAAGTTGCTGAGGGCCTCAGCAGTTACATTCCACTGCTTGGAAGCTGAGCCTCATTGACAATAAAGAAACTTAGAACGAAACTTTACCATCTATCATCCTCAAAAGTCAAAATATAGACCTCAAACTTGGGAATGACCGTATACTATGAGCGTCCTAAAGGAGGTACTGTCGATCACTCCGATCGACGCACTGTGCACTTTACAGACATGGCTCACATGGGCCGAAACATCCACGAGCGAAACCACTAACTCTTAGTTACCGGCTACGCATACCAACGTATTACAGCAGTACGCCTCTGCCAGGAGAATATAAACTCTCCATGGCGCCGGTCTGCAACTTGCTTCCTCCGACGCCCCACGATTGATCTCGAACTGTCGTCGAGATGTGGTCCTCAGCTGTCGTTTCCCTTCTGCTCGCCTTCACCTCCATCGTGGGAGCTGCTCCAGCTCCAAATGTCGACTCCGACTACGAGTACATCATCGTCGGCAGCGGTGCCGGTGGTGGCCCGCTTGCCAGCCGTCTTGCCAGAGCTGGCAAGAAGACTTTATTGATTGAAGCCGGTGACGACCAGATTGGAAACGACAACACAACTGTTCCCGCCTTCCAGGCTATTGTTACCCAGGACCCGAAGATGCGATGGGACTTCTTCGTCAACCACTATCAAGATCTCGAACGCGCCAAGCAAGACCCCAAGTTCGCATACGATATCGGAAATGGCCAGCAGTACGTTGGCCTCACGCCGCCTCCAGGCGCAAAGCCGCTAGGTATCCTCTATCCCAGGTCCCAGATGCTTGGTGGTTGCGTTACCCATAACGCATTGATATGGATTACTGCCCATGATAGTGATTGGAACTACATCTCTACCATCACTGGCGATGATACCTGGGCTGCATCCAATATGGGACAGTACCTGGATAAGGTCTACGAATGGCAGTCTATATCTTCTACCGACCCAACAATCCTTCTCCGGGACTTCCAGCTTACCCAGCATTTAGCAGCCGGAGCTGCTGTAATGGGTGCTGGACCAAAACCCTTGGATGGCCTCGTTGGTGTTCTGGGGACCCTCCTTACTGACCCCAATGGCCGCGTCCCTGGTCGTGACTCTAAAGAAGGCTTGTTTCAGATCCCCCTTATTACCTCGGGCGGCGCTCGCAAGAGTGTACGAGAACACATCCTCGAGACCGTCGATGAGGGTTACCCCCTGACTATTCGTCGCAACACTTTCGTTACCAAGGTAGACTTTGATTCCAGCTCCCCACCAAAGGCCACCGGCGTATCCTACCTTCAAGGCGCCAACCTGTACAAAGCCAGTCCCCTTAGTGGCGGTCAAGGTACCCCGGGCTCCGTCAAAGCTTCCAAAGAAGTCATTCTCTCCGGCGGCTCCTATAACACCGTGCAACTCCTCAAACTCTCCGGCGTTGGTCCCGCCGCCGAACTCCAAAAATTCAACATCCCAGTCCTCTCTGATCTTCCCGGGCTCGGCAAGAACATGCAAGACCGCTATGAGATCCCAATCACGGCTGCGCACGAGACCGACTTTCCTCTGCTCAAGGGCTGCACCTTTGACATGAAAGACCACGACGAATGCTACAAGGAGTGGAAGAATAACCCTAATATTCTGTCTGCCCGCGGCGCATACGCCACAAACGGCCTCGCCGCAACCATGTCCGTCCACTCCGACTTCGCCGACACGTCTGACATCGACCTGTACATCTTCGGCTCGCCGACAAACTTCACGGGCTACTTCCCCGGCTGGGGTGATGACGCGGTGCGCACACACAACAACTTCGCCTGGTACGCGCTCAAGGCACACACGCGCAACACAGCCGGCACCGTCGAGCTACGCTCCACCAACCCGCTCGACACGCCCATCATCAACTTCAACTACTTCGACACCGGCACCACGACTGATGGCGCCGACAAGAAGGATCTCAGCACGCTCGTGCAGGCGCTCAAGATGGGCCGCGACGCGTTTGACCGCTACCGCAACGAGTATCCCTTCTTCGGCGGCAGCAAGTTCACGGAGCAGTATCCGGGCCCGGAAGTGCAGACGGACGAGCAGCTCGAGACGTATGTGAAGAATCGTGCCTGGGGCCACCATGCGTCGTGCACGGCGCCGATTGGTGCGGATGACGACCCGAATGCGGTGCTGGATAGCAAATTCAAGGTGCGTGGTGTGCAGGGACTGCGGGTTGTGGATGCCAGTGTGTTTCCGAAGATCCCGGGCGTCTTTATTCAGAGCCCTATCATGGTTGTCTCTGAGAAGGCGGCGGATACGATTCTGAGTGGGCATTAGATTGAGATATAATGGGGGGATATATTCAGTGGTGCTAAGTGACGTAAACGGAAGAAGGGTAATGTATATATGACGCGTAATAGCGGTGGACATGGTATATATATATATATAAACGACTCACGAAGAAGTCTCCTACTAGTCAGGGGTCGTGTGAAAGAACAATACAAAAACATAATTCAACAATCCTCGCCCAGTCACCGCTCACCAGCCCCCGTCATCCCCTCCATCATTGCCCCCAAAATCACCACCATCCCCATCATCGTACCGCCCTTCCTCCCTCCCTTCATCATACGCATCATCAACCCTATCCCCAAACCCCTCCACATCACCGACCTTCCGCCCGGCCCACCCCGCCACATCCTCAGGCACGTCCTCGACATCTTGCACCGCATTATCCCAGCGCCTCTCCATGTCTTGCGGCACGTCCTCAACGTCCTGCACCGCATTATCCCAGCGCCTCTCCACATCTTGCGGCACGTCCTCAACGTCCTGCACCTTGCGCCCTGTCCACTCAGCTGCGTCTTCGGGGAAGTTGGAGGCGTCGGTCTCGAGGTTGGTCATGTCGTTCTCAAGGCTGTGTTTCTCGCGGTTCCAGGAGGATTCTGTGGGGGTTTGGTGTTAGTTAGTTGTGGATGGAGGGGCATTGAGGGGATGTGAAGAGGGAGGGGAAAAACGGGGAGAACGCACGCATTTCCTCGCCTTCGTGCATGAGCAGTGCGCCGCCGACGACGCCGGCTGCTGCGGCTGCGCCATATTTGAGGCCGTTGTGCTGGTTATGCGTGTTGTGGCGTGGGTTTTCGGGGTAGGGGTTTGCTTGTTGGGGCTGTTGGGTGTAGTTTTGGTTGTAGCCGCCTTGGTTGTAGCCGCCTTGGTTGTAATTGTCTTGATTCTGGTATCCAGGGCCTGGGTAATTGAATGTTCGCTCACCGGACTGCTGGTTAACGAACAGCCAGCGTGCATCGCGGGAGTCCCATTCGGCGTACCACGGAGGGGAGACGGGCGGTGGGGGCCCGTTTGGGCCACCACTGCCACCGCCGCCACTGGAGTGTGAATTGCCGTGAGAGCCGTGATGGCCTGTGAATTCAGATATTACGTCTTTGAGGAACGACATTGTTGGTTGCTATGATTTGAAGGAGACGGCGAACGTGAAAAGGATGAAGTGAAGATTATGATCTGAGTCTGGCTCTGTAGATGAGAGGATGGTAAGTGGATTATAGAGGGGACCGAAGTGGATGGATCCATATAAAGAAGCTAAAATGGAGCATTACGTCGCCCTGCAGGCCCAACGCCAGACCCAACAACCATTGATTTGCAATCCACCGCGCCGGCCAGAGGGACTAGATCTAAACACCAGCTGCTTCTGTAGTGTAGCACCCGTGGACACACGCATTCGTGGCGGTGCATATGTCTAACCCGGCGATGCACAACAGGGTCTCAGGGGATCTAGATGCGCCGCCGCCGTCCCGGCTTCCCGCAAAGCTTAAGCTTGGGCTGTCTCGGCTGTCACGGGCGCCCCCTGACGTCTGATGTGCCGCGTGTTTTAGCGCTGCGTCTCGCGGCAGTCAAGGGGCGGTCCAGACTTCTGTATCGTGGCCCCTCTTGTGCATATATGTCGCATTCTAAACTTTGGAGGACGGCAGTCAGTCTATATCACCACGAGCAGCATGTTCCAGCTTCTTGGCTAAGAATATATCTACGGTGATAGCTACAGTTCTGAATACTTGATGGCACGCAAGATGTGTGAGAGTCAGTCACATAATACGCCGTGTCTAGGGAATTATGATGCCTCCGTTAACATCAGAAATCATTGACATCAATATAGAAGTTTTGAATAGTCTGCGTGTATCTGAGAAGTTATTGTCCGCTCTGATGCTAAAGATGAAGACGAAATTTTGATTAATCGCGTGTTCGGGCTATTTCAAAGACGACGCGATGCTTTCAGTCAGTTCTTGTACATGGACTCATCTCTGCTGAAATAGGAGCATGTCTGAAGTCGTTCGCAAGAGTGCTATCTTGTTTGTTGGACGTTCTAGGACTTATGTAAAACGACCGCGTCTATATAGTGCCTGCATGCGTTCATATGGTGGTATCACGTGCCCTGGGTGAACCCTTGTGTTTGGTCTACGTCATCATGAGACTTTGGCAGGGCAGGCGCAGCTTACCTGCCTGTAGTATATCAAGTGCCATCTTTGGCTTTGCCTTGACTTCACACAGTCACACTTCAGCAATTAACTCACACTTCGGCAACCACATAACACCCTCAAAGCAAACACATAACATACTCGAAACACTTATCAAGATGCCTCACCTCCCACAGGAAGAAGAAGCCGGCTCCAGTATGCCCCACCAGTCTCTCTCTGTCCAAGTATCATATCCTGACGCATTCGTAGACTTGACCGATAAGGTAGCCCAGGGTTCCAAAGACTCGACCGCATCTACTCACGAGCTTCATGCGGATGCGCACAAGGCCGCTCCGGTACGTACAGCGTCAGTGCAGTATCTCCACTCGTGCTGACATCACACAGGGGATCACGATCAACCAAGACCTCCCACCCAAAGCTACCAAGGAGGAGCTGAAAGCCCGTTCAGAGGAGCTCAATAAGAAGTAAAAGAGCAAACATGACGAAGGGTGTATAGCAATCAAATGCATTAGTCTTTGAGACGATCCAGTGCTATCATGGCGACACCTCCTTCGCGTCCCAGTCCCAACATCTCCCCCTACTCTCCTCAACCTTCTTTGCCTTCTCCCTCAACACGTCGATCAAGCGCTCAGCCACCCACTCCCGCTCAAACAGCTTCTCTTTCTTCACACTGCCCCAGAACTCCTTGCTCAGCCCAGTTTTCACCGTGCCTGGATGCAAGCCCACAGAGAAAGCCTCATCCCCGGCTTTTGTCCTCAAATAGTTGTCAAAAGTCTTGACAACCTGATTTATAGCTGCTTTTGACGCACGGTAGCTGTACCACCCGCCCAATTTGTTGTCTGTTATGCTACCCACGCGCGCGCTCATGAGTGCCATTATCGCTGCGCTAGGGAGCCCTTCCACCTCACTGGCCGAGGTGTTGTTTATCTGCTTCGTAGGCAAGAAGTGCTCAAAGTGCTTCAGCATGAGGAGCGGACCAAGGGTGTTCGTGCGGAACGTGAGGAGCGCGTTGTCGGCGTCGATCTGACGGGGCGATTTCTCAGGAAAGAGGATCCCAGGTATAACCAAGCCCAGATGCAAACCATTCCCCTCCTTCACAGGGAACAGATCCTCGCACCGCGACGACGCGGCCTCGATGCTACTCTCGTCTGCATCTTTTGTCAGTAATAATCCACAAACGCTCCCAACCCCCCACTCCAACAATCCCCTCGACTCACCCAGAACATCGCATTCAAGTACATGCAGCCGGCCCTCGTCCGCACCTAGCCCATCAAGCAGCTGCTCCTTGACAACGTCGCGGTCCTTACGGACAGTCGCAACGACTGGCACGCGCGACGTTTGCAGGATGTGCCGCGTCAATGCGAAGCCGATGCCGCGGCTGGCAGGCGAGACTAGAGCCCACGGTGCCATTGTGGGAAGTAGAAGGATGTGTTCGGGTCGCGAGGTGCCACTTGGCGTGCGACTGTGTGTAGGACGGTTTACATGGCTGGAGGAAGGGTGGTTTGGAGAGATTGGCTGGTGGTAATTATGAATAGGGAGGAGGAGGATGGTGATGTAAGGAGAAGTATGGTGGTGATGCGTTGATTACACTAATTCTGCTAGACTGTGTGTGGGCCGCGCTGGTGTGGGTACTCGTCAGAGCGTGGTGCGTATTTTGTGTCCTGCATATGGATAGATGGATTGCATACCCGATGTGGATGGATGCTTGTTTACATCAAACACACACAATACACCCAGAAAGCCTTCACAGCTCCTTCTCCTCCTACCACCCCTCAAACTCCATAGTCTTGCCTCCCCCTATCCCAAACCCCAAGCACTCCTCTACGCCGCCCCCTCCGCCCTCTGCCCCGTATAAAACGCCAACCCATACTCCTCCGTCCGAAACGTGATCGTGGCACCCTTCGGAAAGAAGAACACATCCCCCGGCCGCGCACTCACGCTCTGGCCCGTCTCATCCGCAATCTCGAAGCTGCCCTCGAGGATGATCTTGCACTCGTGGTAGGTGTAGGTGTAGACGAGCGGGGCGCCCTTTTCGAGCCGGTAGAAGCCGCAGCTGATGGGCTTGTCGGCGTCGAGGTGTTGGCTGGAGGCGACGTCGCCGAGGAAGGCGTTGGCTTGGGTGGGGAGGACGGGTGGTTGGAAGGTTTTTTGGGCGTTGGGGAGGTGCGTCATGGGTTTGGGGGTGGTCATTGTGGGAGGAGGTTTGTGAGGGGTTGGGTTGGGGGTGTGTTTTTCTGGGGGGAAGGGGTTTTGAGAGGGTGGTTATTCTGTGGACTGGATGGTGGTGGTGTGTATATAGATATTGTAATTATACGTATAGGTCCATGTATATATATATATATCTCAGCATACATATATAGCTGCTTGTCAGCCCCCTCATCCCCGCTGTTGGGAAAGATTATCTCAAAGAAGAGCATCGCAGTGTTCTACCACTCATTGTCTAGCCATTTATGGACGACTCTTTAGGAGGTTGACTGTAAGATGTCTTTGATTGTTATGTGCTGGGACTAATAGTCCTTGAGGCTTGAGTGGAATGCATGGAGCGTTTAGCTTTGCCCAATTAGGAAATCGAATGCTGCTTCTTACGGAACGCGTATTGGTCGAGGGACAGTATCTAGCCTTCTGTGACCCGAGTCATTGACCATTATGATAGCGATAGTAGCGACAAGTAGATAAGATATAGTTGCCTCTGCCAGCATAGGTATCGGTCCTGCGCAAGTGTTGCACCTCCAAATTTTACATTATATCTTCAACGAATACAACAACGGAAAGAGTCTAATTTACACTTGGTGTAATCCAATTATATTACACATTTATCATATTACTCAAGGGAATTATGTACTGTCCAAGGAATGTGTACAATAAAGTTATCGTATTTTTTACACCTTTCAAAGGCATAGAGAGGGTCATCATGAGAAGCGCGCCCCTTGCGGCTTCTTAGCCCCGCCTCCCAGCACATTTTCCACCGTTGCAAGGGGCCCAAAGAGGTCCTTGTAGCTGTCTGCAGCGAGCGTGAGACCCTCCGGCACAGCCTCTCCACTAGAAGCAGCCAAAGGCAAGATCATAGCACCGAGGCTGAACAGCGTGACGGGCTGCGGGTTGGGCCTCCAGCCGAGATCATACGGCAGCTGCTCGCGCTCAAACAAGCTGCGGATGTAGTCGATGTTGGTGACGCCGGAGATGGTGTCGTTGCCCATCGTCTGCAGGTACAGTCCCGTCTCGCCGTAGGAAAGGATGAACTCGCGAATGCCGTAGATGAGGTCCGGGTTGTTGGCCTTTTGGGTGTTGAAGCGCTTGATCTTGGCCTTTGCGGCGGATTGGATGTTGGTGTACTTTGCGTCGCCGAACGAGGAGATAAACTCCTCGAACACGCCGCTGTTGAACACCCGTTGGTTGCCCAGACCGGCGTCCTGGCGGGACAGGGAGACATCGTGTCTGCGTCATGTTAGCGGCCTGATGCCTTTCCTATCGTTGTGAGATGGGTTGACTTACTCAATGGGGAAGTTGTGGAGTGCGAGATCGTCCAGATCGAAGGTGCCTCCGACCGGATTTGGTGACGCCAGAAGACCAGCGGCGAAGATGGCGAGCGTGAAGTCTGGGCCGATACTCAGGCCAGCCAAGCTGCCTTCGAGCACCTCTGGCAGGGTCAACTTCCGGCCACTTCGGTTGATGAATCCGTGATTTGCCAGCGTATTCAGACCAGGACAAGGTCCACGGACTGTAGATGCATGTTAGCGACCACGAGATTGGAGACATTGTCATATCTCTACATACCGTCATTCGGCCCTGGAGCAGCCCACTGTTTGAATCGTGGATCATCTGTAGAAAGTCCAAGAAGAGCCCAGGAGCACTGAAGGAGTGACAGCAGCAATGTTGTTGTCTGAATCGAGCCGAACATGGTGACTATCTTGAACACGCAGTATCAGTTGGACAACGAGGTGCAATGGTTGCTGCTGGATGACCAGACTCGTTTATAGGGCAGACAGCCCATTTTGAGTAATGTCTGATTAGTCTTCACATTCACATACTAGCAGTAGTTTCTCTCTACTGCTATACTATAGCCTCGGATGATGATATTGGATCAGGGATGATGGAGTGGCGGACAAGGTGGAGCCACGCCGATCACTACAATGAGCTTAAAATCCTTAAATGGCCTGACGTGCACTAACTGACCAATGACTGCGCTCGCTGATGCGGGGTTTAGGCTCTGATTTGAAACCGAGGGCGCTGATTGGTCCGTCTTTCTCCTCCCTTTCTGTCTCTACCTCTCTACGTTTCTGGAATCCCAAGCTTCTTCCTCCAGTCCGGACATGCGCGACCTCACGGAACAGTAACAATACACTCCAAACACAGACTTAGTATCATGGGTGCTTCAGCCTTATCGATAACAATTATTGAAGATATGTCACTGCTACCGTCTCGTTGCTCGTGTTGTCCCTTGGGCCTGCTGGGGTTGATGGAATCATACTTCGAGCCTGTTTGGCGTACGCAAAGATGCTTGTCCTTGGCTCTCTCTAAGGGAACGCCATCGCCATAAAGTGTCAGTATCGCCATCGTTAGCGGGTTGAGACCGCCGCACGGATCAAATGCCATCCGCTCGCTCTCTAGGCTACATTGGTCCGTAGTCACCTACACGTTTGTTCACTATAATCGTTCCTCTCATTTAGCGTCGATTGTCAGAATCATAAATATATTTTCGAATATATTACTCGTGTGTCATTGTTGATGTGGCTCAAAACGTCTATACCTGCTGGTCAGGGATCCGCCCGTGGAAGCAGGTACTATAATCTATCTGAAACGTCAAGCGATCGTAAGCTAGTAGGGAACCATGCCGGAGATTGCCTACGCTATGATATTGTACACCAATGTAGGTACCTCTAAATGCGTGTATGATGCTCTATCATTTCATCGCAACAGCCCTGCGCTTTCCTCGGCAGGACTTTCTATTTCGAATTCTTCATCTTCATCTTCTGTAGAATCGTCGCCCCACCCCTCGGCTTCCAGATCGACCCCACGAATGCCAAAGCTTAGGAGAAAGCCAAGAAATGCAACACCTCCGAACAGCCCAAATGCAAGTGCTTCGCCTTTGGGTTCTATCTTGGTCGATGCGGTAAACAAGGCGCCGGATATGAAGGGACCAGCGGCTCTGCCCGCCGCAGAGAGCGTCTGAGCCAGACCGTTTAAAGTTCCCAGCACAGAGTGATTCGGCGCTGAATTCGTGATCTGCTCATAGTCAGTGCACACATCCGACGTCGATTAGTCTGGAACGTACCAGTAAAAGCGCTGACGTCAACCCGCCGACAGTTGCAACTGTCTTGACAATGAGGACAAACCCGAGCTCGATCCATAGCCATACTTTCCCACTACCCAGCCCAGTGCCATTGTCGCCATCCTTGTATCCCACCCACGGCATCAACAAGAAGGCAACAGCGAATGTAACGAGACTAATTCGGTAGGTGGTCTTGTTACCAATCTTCTCCCTAAGCTGTCCATATATGCCGACCTGGAACACAATAGTGATTATGCCGGCGAAACTGAGAGACAGGCCAATCTCTTCGGGAGAAAGGTTACGTCCCGCTGGAGGTTCGGCTTGAGCAAAGACTGGGTACAACGAGTTATACGCGATATTCGAAAGCTGAAAAATGAAATATGTGCACATGATCAATATCGTGTCGCGGTTTAGGACCTCGCTACGTGTGAGCTGCGTGTCATTTGAGGTCGTGAATATCGGAGTCGAATCTGAGTCATCCTCCTCTTCGTCAATGCTCCCACGATCGTCATTCCCATCAACGCGAGATGTTCTGCGCTTTCCCATAGAACGACGCATGTAGCTTGGTCGGCTCGAGCTTGTAAATTGCCAGAGCCACGAGAACAGGTTTTCAATTCTCTTCCCTAGCGGTGGCAGTTCTCGGGCTTCATCTAGGCTCTCTTCAAGGAAGAACATTGCCAGTATTAGATCTACTAGCAGGACTGCCGTGGCAAAAATATTAGGGAATAGGTAGGGGTACGGATTGGGTTGAGAGGGGTGGAAAGGATCCTTCTTGAAGACGAGAAGACCGCCGACAAGCGGCCCGGTAATGGCCCCTAGTCCATATACTACCGGGAGGTATGTAAAAGCACGCGATTGATTGCTCCGGTCTGTGATCTCTCCCAAGCAGGTCGACACAACGCCCTGGTTGCCGTTGACGAGACCCATAAAGACCTGGACGATTATAGCTTGCCATAGTGTGCGGCAGAATCCGAATGCAATGAAGCACGCGGCTGTCAAGAAAGTGCCCAGTAATATGACAGGCTTCCTCCCAATCTTGTCTGACAGCCATCCCCAGAAGAAATTTGTAGCGAATTGAGCGAGAGCGAACGAGGACGCAATCAAGCCAACGTACAACCCGACCTGACCATCCTTGACTTCCGGAAACGTCGATGCCATGTCAGGTAGATAAGGGCTTATTGAATTGAAGGCAGTCTGCTCAGCCAATGCTATTACAGCCAACATAGCCAATTGTTTCTTGGGTAATGGGGTTTCGTGATGGCCATCGCCGTGTTCGGAATCAGCGCCCGATGCATCGTCTCCCGAAGTCGACTGCGACGGGGGAGGAGGACCGCGGGATGTTGGAGGTTTCGTAGGAAACGTATGGTAGTGAGGCGTGCTGGCTTTGCGTCGAGGCCCCGTTGGTGGCTTCATCGTGTATTCAACGGCCGCGCGGCGAGAGAATGGAAGGTCTGCCTGTTCGAGGCAAGCGAAGAAACACGAACTAACAACTTCATAGAGAAGATTAATGCGAGAGGAGAGATGCAAAGGTGCTAAGTATGGAGCAGGGATGAGGCCATCTGAAGTGATTGCAGAAGCATGGATATGGAGAAAGCTTCCACTGGCGTGGTGTTGAGGGTCCTTGGCATCCGCTATGACCTCAGAGTTCCCCAGGTTATTCTAGACCCCCTGGTCACCTCAAGACCATGCGTAGTTCACATCCTGGTAAAACATGTCATCATCTAATTACACGATCGCCTTATATTGCACTCGTGACCACTCAATATGCTGACCTCATGCCATTAGTGATTATACGTGCACGTTGTTTATGAGCAGTGCTGGTGTATTCATCCATGGTGATGTACTATCCTGGTATCTGCCTGTCGCTGATTGGGCGTTTTCGTGCCTATCTCACCCTTGACAATTTTCTAGAAATAGTATGACACGATATAGTGTAGTATCTAAGGTCTAGACTACGTACAACAGGAGAAGCGTACCGAGCTGCTCAACTGGCCATGTTAAGGTATGTCTCTAAGTCAAACAGCCTTTTGATCACTCAGAATGGAAAGGAAACTCTAACCATCGCTCACTCCTGTTTACATGATCATAAAACTGAATGTCTGTCATCTCCTCGTGGCCTTCACAGCGTTTCATTCAACCGTCTTGGATTTACTTTTCTTCCTCTGGCGTCGAAGGATTTGGCCGCCATGCAAAAGGAGGGTAACATGGCAGTGTTCATGTGGTCACAGTCTCTATGGATCTGGTAGCTGATCATTTCGCGATGCTATTTCCTAGACCGATCGTGTCGCCGTGGTTGTAGTGGACGGTGTTATCAATACATCATACTGTATAGTCGTCTAGAATCCATTGTGCAACGGCTGTTCCTCCAACGCCGACGACACAATTGTAAGATACTTCAAAATCAACATCAGAAAAGGGCGGAGAGTCCGGCAAAATGTCATTCCCATTACAGACGGATTGGAAACGATCTTCAACAAGACCTCCTAAATCAACAGAGATGTAGCAAACATCACAATCCGAAAATCTATAACTGGACAAGGTCAAGAAACACACAGTTGCGGCAATCTCATGCAGACAGAGGATGGTGTCTTTCGAACTCTATCCATCGACAACAAGACATGGGATCCAAAAGTCAAAGGGGTCGACGTTAATTGTAAACAACGTCGTCTACAGCTGGGAAGGTGACTGCGGATACATTTGCCGGCGATTCTAGCGTACAAACACATGCAAGACTCATCGAGGCTACTTTATGTGTGACCCATCCATGTCCGTCACGGCGTACACGCATGGCAATACTAATGCCTAATGTCTAATGGACACGTTGGGAACGATTATTACAATGTTGATCAAGATAGAACACTAAATCGGAAGTTTTTGGAGACTTCATTGAGCGACTATGGCGGTATGGTCATTATGACATGCAACTATAATCACCTGCTGCTGCTGACGAAGATCTCTTCGTCCCTCAATACTGTCCCATACGTGCTAGATTTTGTTGTTGGTGACGCGAGGGTTGGGACATAGTCGACAGTTGCCTGGTCACTGCGGTCAAGTCAAGGGGTAAGACTGGTGAGTCGAATTCGGATGGAGATGCTAGTCCGGTGAGTGGCCCAGGTATCATTGTTAGAGGAACGAGAATACTGGAGACTGGCGGTGACTGGAGTCTAGACAGCACAGAGAGCGATTAGGCCGCGAATGAAGATACAGAGGACAGTATACGTAAGAAGTAGGCGGTCCACACGTATATGGACTGTAAATGTTGAATATTCTCTGGCTCACAGATCTTGAGGCTCGGGTCTCTGATACTTTGGGAACACATTACAGCTCACTCGTCCACAGTCAGAATCGTGAAAACGATACGCTTGCCCACCCTTTCATCAGTACCAGCGGCTAAGGAAGCAGATTTCCTTGGTCATGTGTTTGTCTGAAAACTTGACATGGATCCCTTTCAGATCTCAGGCGATATCTCTTTAGTTCCTGGTCGAGTACAATCTTAAAGCGCAACATCGTCAAATTTCTCGTTGTCTGGTGTATCCGTACCGCCTTGCTGTTTAGTCCTCACGGGTATATGACCTGCTTCTGATGCCTTCTCATCATAATCATCCGTCTCTGTACCATTTGAGTCCTCATCGTCATTGTCTGGGCCCTCTTCACCATGTGAACTTGAGGGCTTGACATCCTCAACACGTGCTTTAGGTTCTTCGGTGGCGGTCTTGGGTTCAGGGGGTGCATCTGTCTCGTCCGTTTTTGGTGGAGGTGGTGGACCCTCTTCGTCATCTTCGCTCTCGACGTCATCCTCCTTTGCCGTGCCTGCTGCAGTCGTTCTGTCCGGGGTTGGCGGTGTCACTTCTGTGCGGGGGCTTGGCTGTGGTGATTTCTGCTGCTGCTGTTGTACTCCAGGGCCAACTTGTCGTAGTCGTGGATCAGCATTCAAGTAGTAGCCTCTCACACCCACTATCCGTCCTTCTCTTTCGCAGCCGATAAGCCAGTCTGGAACCACCACTGGTACATTCGTCTCCACAGCTCTTTCCCACAATTGTCCTCGCCCTTCTGTGCACACAAAGTGTGTTGTGTCAATACGGACTTGGTCGACAATCTTGGCTCCGATCTTCTCAGCCGTCTTGTGCAGGCTTTCTTTCAGTTGTGCAGGCATCACACCAGGGGTAATAGTGATACCACTAAGTTCCGTCATCTTGTGGGTCCTGACTGTCAGGCGCTCCGAATTGAATGTCCCGGCGGATGTTCTCAGGACTAGATGGAACGTGTACTCTGTGTCCACAGCTAGTCCACTTATCTTCGTGGAGAGCGTTTCCGTCGGTCTAGGTATCGTGCCCGCCTTGCTGCCATTTCTATAGAGACTTAAGCTTCTAAGAGAGGCGGTAGCAATGTCCACTGGGTCCCATTCCAGAACTACTGATGTCTGCGTTGCATTGCGACAGCGTAGGACGGGAGGTGAAGGTGCGCGCTGACCAAACGTACGGAAGATGGTATTCTGCAGGTTGCTGAAGGCTGAATCGGCTGCAGCCTCGGATTGAAGGTTGCGCGCAACGGTGATGTCGACTATCGATCCGGAGGATATATCTGGCGGTAGCAAGATGGAAGGAAATTCAATCTATGTAATCATTTGATCCTGTTAGAAGAGTGCTTAGAGTAATAGTACTTCACCCAGCTGTGTACTCACCAGCCGCTTGTCCTCTGTAAGCAGTACGGCAACACCAGCGTCAACTTTGCCGACGGTAAGTGACACGAGCATCGCGGCTGATTGGGGAATTGCGAGCAAAGGTCTATTATTGCGGGCGCGGAAGTTGTTTACGGGTAACCTAACGACACAATATGAGTTATACATCAGCTACGCGCCTTGATGCCTGATGTTAGTGCCTGAATATCTAGGCGCTCGACTAGATGACAACTCCAGCATGACGTGGTAATATTGAAAACATTTTCTAGTAAAGTTGAGATCACGAGAAGTGCAAACAGCAGTAGATTTTTAGTCCCCAACCAGTGAGGTCAACACTATATTTAGCAGGGGCAAACAAATCTAAATCAACCTTTGACGTTAGAGCACCTACATCATCACGAACCTCAGACCACGCAACTGCTACACGAACACCGTTACTTTTACTATATCAATGATGGGCCTCTTGGCTCAAACGGCACAGGCATCTGCTCTTGCGGCACTGTCTAATATTCTTGCGCAGATCATAACGGCCTACCGTACAAACGTAGGCCGCAATGCTGTACGGGAAATTTACGATGACTGACGCACCCTACACATAGTCCCATTTCCAGCTCGACTGGACACCCATCCTGCGCTTCGTCATATTCAGTATTCTCAGCACCCCACCCAACGTGCTATGGCAAGAGTTCCTTGAGTCGAAGTTTCCTAGCATGCGACCCAAGGACGATCCTGGTGCAAAGAAGAGAGAGGAAGACACACCTACTGCAATGAAGAAGAAAGAGCTGGACCCTGGCAACACTGCGACAAAATTCTTGCTAGATCAGAGCGTAGGAGCGGCGTTGAATACCTGGGCTTTCATCGCCTTCATCAGAGGCGTAAACGGGGCGAGCAAAGGCGAGGTGTGGACTGCTGTTGTCGAGGAATCATACCCACTATGGCTCGATGGGCTAAAGGTATGGCCCATCGTGTCTTTGATCAGCTTCACTGCCATCCCGGTTGAGAAACGAGTCATATTTGGGAGTGTTATTGGTGTAGCTTGGGGTATCTACCTCAGCTTACTTACTGCAGACGTATAAACATAGCACATCTAGTTTGTCTCACTTAGCTAGGCATACCCGGGCGACAATACCCACACATTCATATGTCTGTGAACACTAGTCAGTGCTTACATAAATGAACATTATCTGATCATTGAAGAGTCCCCAAAAGCTTGAGCTAGTGCATCTCCGTCATGAAGCCTCACATCCAAGTACATATCACCGTGGAGGCTCCCATCGGCTACAGTCGCTGCACGTGGACTTTCATCCCATAGAATCCGGAGCGAACAATCCCGACAGCTTGCCAAACTCGCCTTACTGGAGACAAGACTCCAAGCGATGTCGGCTATGTATCCGTGACATTTTGCTCACCCAGGTCGGCCAACGTTGGGGCTAGGAGCAAACTAGAGGGGGAGCTGCCGACGACAACCGAGGCGTGCAGGTAGAGCTAGGAAGCTATGTCAACTTGCTCCGTCTGTCTGCACAAAGATATCGGCTGAGACTTCTTTCAATTGAAGTTTCCTCTGCATTGTAAGTGCGCATCTTGCTCCCTGTAAGCGCTACTAATTTTCCTCCCCGATGTCCAGCTGATTGATAAACCCAAGAAATGTCGACCCTCAGCCGAACCGTCCGGAGGAACATCTCCAACGTATCTCGCCAGAGACCCACAGCTTCGACCTATACACGAACAACACGTCCTGTAGCCTTGCAGCAATTTGTGTCTAAGACTACACCTGCAACCCACTCTCAACGAGCATCTTTTACTGCCATGGCCTCTCTCAAGTCCTCCGCTACCGAGTCCAGCCCCGTGCCGGCGAACAAGTTTGATCCTGAGATCGCTGATATCGCCAGCTACGTACATAACACAAAAATTGACTCGGCTCTAGCTGTGTGTAAAGGATTCAAAACAATATCAGAACATTACTGACTGCAAGCAGTACGATACAGCAAGCTACATTCTGAGCGACACTCTGGGCTGTGGTCTGAAGGCCCTCGAATTCCCTCAATGCAAGAAACTCTTGGGTCCAGTTGTTGAGGGCACAGTCGTGCCCAACGGAACACGCGTTCCAGGTACTCCGCATCAAGTTGATCCTGTTTTGGGCGCTTTCAACATTGGTGCTATGATCCGATGGCTCGACTTCAACGACTGCTGGCTTGCCGCTGAGTGGGGTCACCCTTCAGACAACCTGGGTGCAATTCTGTCGGTTGCAGACTGGATATCACGGACAAATCGTGCCGGGGGCAAGCTAGGAAATGGCAAGGTCCTGAAAGTCAAGGATGTACTAGAAGCCATGATTCGCGCCCATGAGATTCAGGGGTGTTTAGCTTTGGAAAATTCGTTCAACAAGGTCGGCCTGGACCACGTTGTCTTGGTCAAAGTTGCATCAACGGCTGTTGTAGCTAAGATGATGGGGCTCACTGAAGGTCAGACTCGCGATGCAGTGTCTCAAGCTTGGGTCGATGGACAATCGATGCGAACTTACCGCCACTCCCCCAACACCATGTCCCGAAAATCGTGGGCTGCTGGTGATGCCTGCGAGAAGGCCGTCAATCTCGTATTGAAAGTGCAGAAGGGTGAGGGCGGGCTGCCGACGGTGTTGTCTACTCCCACGTGGGGCTTCTACGATGTCAACTTCGGTGGCAAACCCTTCAAGTTCCAAAGAGAGTACGGCAGTTACATTATGGAAAACGTCCTCTTCAAAGTGTCATATCCAGGTGTGTTTCTCTCATGTTTGTGTACATGCCATTGACTAACCATTTACCTCTGCAGCTGAATTTCATTCACAGACCGCCATCGAGGCCGCGCAGCGTCTTAATAAGAAGATTGCGGCCTTGGGTAAGACTGCTGCCGACATCGAAGAAGTCACAAATCGCACTCACGAAGCTTGCATTCGAATTATCGACAAGCAGTTCAAGCCTATGGACAACTTTGCTGATCGTGATCACTGCGTTCAGGTAGATTCAAGTCCTGCAAATGTTATAGCATGTCTTGCTAACGCATCCTTGTAGTACATGGTTGCCGTCATGTTTGTTTTCAATCGCCTCGAAGCGACGGATTACAGCGATGGCGGTGAGGCCGCCACCTCCGAGCTCGTGGAGTCTTTGAGACAGCGTATCAAGTGTGTTGAGGACCCTAAGTTCACTGCAGACTATCACGACCCTGAGAAGCGATTCATCTCAAACGCTCTGACTGTCAAGCTAAAGGATGGCACCGTTCTCGAGGAGGAAGTAGTGGAGGCGCCTCTGGGGCATAAAGTCAGACGTGACGAGGCTAAGCCCCATATTCTTGCCAAGTTTGAGCGACACATCGGACCACACCTTGCAGAATCTCGGGTGAAGGAGCTGGTAGATTTGGCAAAGGACCCCAAGGCATTGGAGAGCATGGACGTGGACAAGTATGTTGACTTGTACGTGACGGAGGCATAAGTGTTTTAGCCAGGTGCAAGATGTAGACTACCAATGAGTGTCACTGTGTCATCCTGACCAAGATGGAAAAAATACTGAGGACCCATCTACAGAACTACCTAGACATAGCCATATTCTGATTGGCTGGAATTAACTGTTTCGAAAAGCAATGATCAACGGTGTACCACTGACAGTGCTGACAGCAAAATGCAGACGTCTGCGCTATTATAACGATACTACAGTAGTCTGCAGTGTTGCATCGCTATCGTAATGGCACCCTCAGACGTGCAATGCTTTGGGGATCTAAATTTATGTATCGGATGGGATGGCAAGGCCCCAGCTTTCCACTACTGCAAGTCGCGCGTGTCAGAAGATTATATATTGGGCCTTGGATGATACACTGGACCCTGATTAACATGGAGAGGCTGGTAGGTACAGTAGCAGTGAGCGTAGACTTCTACTATGCAGTAACAGTCTTTTACAACTGTATAGATAAGATATATATGTATCTCATCTTCGACGCGATGATAAATACCTCTAGCTATATAGGGTCTAGATAGATGCCTAGGTAACCGCCCCGTTCTTTTTCCGATCAGCAGGCGTAGCATCATCATATCATAGCACTAACGCCAAGGTCTGATACATTTCACATATGCAATTTGAAATTCGTAGATCAACTCATGTGTGTCAGCCACAAGTGGATTTTCTGTTAATGAGCACAATCTCTACACACACCAATACGTCATGTCGGACATTTGTCGACGGTGCAATGCGAGGTATTTTACGAGGTCTAGAAGTCGCGACGAAAATTCAGGGGGACACGGGTCAGTGAGTCCAGTGTCAGCTCGTGGGGATATGCGCGCGGCCCCTGGGTTAGAGTGGGGCTAAATGGCGGCTTCTAATTGGTGCCCGAGCAGAACACACTCCACCGCACCAGCGATCTGCGACAACCTAGCGCTACCAAGGTTCGTTTCAAACATCAGCCTCAACTCTTTCACACCACATCCTATCGTGCAAAGGATGGCCGACCCACTGCCGCGTAAGGATGGCCGGTCTTTATACCCAAAGTGACGAGCCGTCTTCTGACAATTGGAAGATGGACGCCCCGCTCGTCCTTTCAGCGTATACAATCTTTTGTTTTAGGTCGCATTCTTTTCTTGCACATTCTCCGTGATTAAAAAGACCTTCAACGACCGGCGGCTTGGAACGCTCTCGTTCTCATACATTCATTATACATTTGTTTACACTACTTTCCGTGAGATTTCGTAATTCCCTGAAATTGCTTTCGGCTGCAAACGGCATCAGTCAATATTATTCCACGTTTGTCTATCAGCACACCAGAAGACTCACAGGCCTTGAGTATATTATACATTCCGCCCAGTACAGCGGATTCATATTTCGATTCTCTAAACTAAACATGGTTCAATATCTTAGCAAGGCCGTAGCGGCTATCGCTTTTCTTCCCTTTGCTGCGCACGCTCAGACATTCAGCGCTTGCAACCCGACCAAAAGTACGGGATGCCCTGCTAATCCAGCTATCGAGACGAATTTTGAGTCCGACTTCAGGACTGGAGCGTCAGCTCTAAGCGGATGGACAATCACTTCTGGCTCCTTGACCTATGCGAACGATGGAGCGGCCTTAACCATCAACAAACAAAAGGATGCCCCGACCGTCGCGACCAATGGATATTTGCTTTTTGGGCGGGTTGAAGTCAGGACCAAGGCTGCTATGGGTACGGGGATCATTAGTAGCATCGTTTTGCAGTCTGAGGACCTCGACGAGGTCGATTGGGAGTTTCGCGGAACTTTCGACAACCAAGTCCAAACTAACTACTTTGGCAAGGGTGTAAGTTGGATTCAGCTCTGTAGAAACTGCTCTCGTTCTGACGTTTTAGAATACGACATCGTACGATAGAGGACAAACACACTCCGTATCAGCACCATTCACAAAGGCCCACACGTATATCGTGGATTGGACTTCTCAGAGGATCAACTTCTACATTGATGACGGCAATACCCCTATCCGCACGATCAATTATGCTGATGCCGTGGGTGGAAGAAATTACCCCCAAACACCCATGAATGTTCGAATTGGTATATGGGCTGGAGGCGATCCAGACAATGAGCCTGGCGTCATCCAGTGGGCAGGTGGTAAGACAGACTATACTCGGGCTCCCTTCACCCAGATTCTCGAATACGTCAAGATAACCAACTATTCCCCGGGCAAGGAATATGTGTGGAAAGACCAATCCGGGTCCTACCAGAGCATCCAGGTCGTTCCCGGCACAGCAAACACTAAAGATCGCGCCGCGCCAAGGAGAGCTACATTTGCAAGCGAAGATACGGCGGCTGTCGATAACTCTATTGCTGCAAGAGGTGAATCCGATGCAATGAGAGGTCAACAGTATGCTGGCGCTGGAGAGTTCTATCCGACTGCTGTGGATTCCACCTCATGCACAACAACAACTTTGGTCGTCACCGTCACAGACAGTAGTGAGCCGACCGTGATTTACCCTAGCATGACAGCCTCGGCAATGCCATCGTCTCTCATGATGGACACTGCATCTCCCGACACGTTCCAACCCATATCGTCAATCCCGATTGCGAAACCAAGTGGACGGCCGACACCAGCCACTCCGTCTCCAGTTTCATTCACTGGCGCTGCTGCTGCACCGACGGCAATGGGCGGCGCTGTCCTAATGGCTGGTGCTATTGGTGCTTTATTGTTGTGAAAAGCTGTACAGGAATACAATGTTGCCAAACCTTGTTAACCAGGTATAATTTATGTACCTGGAGTTTTCCACAGATGTTGAGATGCACAAATCAAATATTCATGTACATACTTGTTCACTCGATCCAGCATCCAGACTTTTATACCGATATTTTCATTCTACGACCCTCAATTTGTGCCCTTTGCGGTCGCTCTCGCCACTCCGCTTTCGGCAGTCGGCGAAGCTCAATCATACAACAGTCTGCACTCCGCCGTTTATGTCGCCGATGTAGGAACTGACAGAAAACTGAGTGAACTCTTTGCAAATCAATGATATTAACACTTTATATGTCTTGTTAAGAGATTTAGACCGGTCTAAACACTTCAGACAGGTACATGCTCCTGAAGGTTTGTGAGCTCACGGTTACACCTAATTTGTTGAGTTGACAGGGACACCAACAGTTCACTTATCTCCATCTTGCCCGCAGTATCCCTCTCGCATCTGTCCAGATCCATCCGTGGGTACAAACTTCGATTTACCACCTCTTAAACGCGACGCCAGAGAGCGAACTGCGGTTTCTCGTTGGCACCATGTCCGCCTTGACGCCTGCGTCTTCGACACACCTGCTGTCCAGCACTGACACCAAAGAAAGTTCACCATCGCTGCTCAGGATCGTTGTTGTCGGTTCGCCGGTCATTATCACTCTGGCTCGCAGGACGTCCTTCCAATCTAGCTCCACCAGCGCCTCGAGCGTTGTCAGTGAAACAAGGCTTTCGCATCTCTACAACGATATGGGCGCCGACAGTACCCTGATCATAGCGAACATTGATTCGCAAGCTATAACACCCTCAAGCCTACCTGCTGTAGCTGCTCCGTCATCTTCGCTTCAAGGCCACTTGTTTGCCGACGTTCAGTTGACCTCAACACAACTCAACCCCGTCACGACATCCAGTTTAACCGGAACGTCTCTGCCCACGAGCACAGATAATGGAGACAAACCACTACTTGAAGACACCCTCAGCGCATCACGCTTTACCGCGGTTTCGATTGCAGCAATATTTGCAGGCCTCGCGCTCGTTGGTGCGTTGCTCGCATACATGTACTTCCGGAGAGGCGTGAAGAAGAGGAGGGGTTCGGCAGGGATGAAGTGAGACAGCACATGGTATATGACGATGGTATTTCTTCGTTGGAGGATACTGTGCACTCACGGCACGCAAGCCCTGGGGCTTCTTTGATTTGTCACTGAGGGAACTTGTAGTCGTTAGCACTGGGATACCAGGCATGTACGAGGGTCTTTACGAGCATGAACATGTCAAGAGGGTTATGCGTAGTACAGATGACGAATGCGATATCAGAAAGGCATTCGTCAGTTGTCACTCATACTGGTTGAAAAATTACTTCAAGCCACACATAAAGGCAATACGGAAGGTGCCTCTGCATTCACTACCATGAAGATGAGTAATAAGCGTTTGCATGAATGCTCGATCTTCGTCAGAGTGGAAGTATAGTCGTTTCTTATCATGATACTAGACCTTTTACGGAAAAGTGTATCCATAACGCGTTGTAAAATTACCTCTCTTGATGCTCTCCCATTCCTGACTTCTTCACAATTCATCAAAGTCATGTTGTGCCGAATCCCAGCTACTATAGCATTCACGTGAAGGCAATCTAATACAGTCGCATACTCCCAGGAGTTGACCGAAAGGCTTCCTCGAGGATTGTCAGGCCTTCATCAAGCTGCGACTTGCTGATTACAATTGGCGGTGCAATTCTGAAAACGCCTCCGAAGCTTGCATGGCTGCTCAAATTCGCCCAGAGTCCTAGTTCATACGCCTTATCAGCAATCGATTTTGCAAGCTCGAGATCAGGCTTCTTTGTCTTTCGATCCCCGACAATCTCTACACCCGCCATCAAGCCTCGTCCACGCACGTCTCCGATGCAGCCGTATCGGGTGCTGAGTTTGCGCAGCCCGGCATGAAGCTCCTCTCCAAGCGACTTTGAGTGCTGTACAAGATTATCACGAAGGACAAGCTCAAGTACCTTGTCGCCTACAGCTGCAGGAAGAGGATCGTTGACATGAGTGGTGTAGAAGCAATAGTCGCGCTCGACGCAGACGCGTTCAATCTCAGCGCTCGTAATCACTGCGCTCAGGGGCAGACCATTCCCAAGCGTCTTGCTCAATGTCAAAATGTCAGGCACGACGTCTTCGTACTCGATTGCCATGATGTTGCCGCACCTACCGACACCAGTCTGCGCTTCGTCGACTATCAGGAGCATGCCTTGTTCATCGCAATGTTTTCTGAGAGCCTTCAGATATCCTTTCGGGAGAACATGCATGCCAGCTGATGACTGGATGCATTCAACGATACATGCAGCCAATGATCCGCAAGACGCTCGATCGATCAGGCTCCAGCCATAGTTGAGCTCGGTCTCCCAGTCATATGAGCCATCTGTGTTTCGAAATATCGACCTATATGCGTTCGGCGCGGGTAACATGTGCATACCAGGCATCAGAGGTCCTTGGCCTTTCCGCCCGTAGTGATACTGTGTTCCCAAAGCTTGTGCAGTCACGCCATGCCAACTAGCACCCAGGCCAACAATTTCGAACTTGCCGGTGTATACTTTCGCCATCTTGATCGCTGCCTCGTTGCTTTCTCCGCCGGTACTGAGGAAGAATGCTTTGTCCAACCCCGCTGGCAGTATTGAAGCGAGACGTTCCGCCAAGCTGATTACTGGAGGCGAGACCATCCCGGAAAACAGATGGTCTAAGCCCCGTGCATGGTCATGAATGACTTGGACTATTTCTGGATTTCCATGGCCGAGGAGACAGGACATCTGTCCAGAGGTCCAGTCAAGAATTCTGTGGCCTTGTGCTGTATAAACGTACATTCCATGACTTCCTGTGATTACATCTTTCTCAAATTTGGTCCCATAGTTGAGCAGGTACTTCTTCGCCTTGGACTCGAGATCGTCTTGATCGGCATTCTGGTACAGCTGTGGCTCCTGAGTCTTTCTCACAGAGATTGTTTCGGATGGCCTGATCTCTTCGGAAATAGGTGGCATCATGAGATAATTGAGAATGGAATGTGTGAGAGGTTGGCCGAGTGTTTCTGGATTTCACGCATCCAGGAGGTCAATATTGGAGGTCATATTTACGAGAAACACCATCGAAGGTTGCAGTTCTCGTGCCACACACCATTCTGGTGCCCGGGCTACCTTGTCTCCGCGGCAAACTTCCTGCGCGGCCATCTCTGATGAATGAGGACAGGGGATGCAGGTTCAAACCAGCGAGTCATACATTACTGACAGTCTCCACATTTCCTATAGCTCGTATCTTTGCTTGTCCGCGGAAATCTCACTTTACCGCGGTGCTCCTCGACAATAACAATGGTAAATAACTTTCCAGTATTACACTCCCGCGGCTTTCAAAGACATCTTCAACCGCGCAGAAGTCAAAGTCCTTGAAGTCTGCTTGCAGTCGTAACGATCATGCCTCGCGAGGCCACACCTCGACCTTATCGATCGCACCTACGTCCAGCTTGCCTCCCCTGTCGCCGACGAAAGTCGCGATGCAAGACCGATAGTGTTTTGGGACAATGCCTTATGTGTCAAGCTCATGGAACTGTGTGTGTATTTCCAGAGGAGTCTGATCATCGTGCTGCAAGAAACAGTGCGCAACGCTCGTCTGCAAAGCCTCAGACAGAAGATTACGACGGTGCATATGGCGGCATATCTGCTAATTTAATTCCGAGATATCGTGACTCCGATCGACACATGGGACGCGCGACGGCTGATACGTCATCAGTATCGGTACCTAGTCCTGTACAACAACGGCCGGCGCATACACATGGCAGTCAGCCAGCAGTGCCCACTCTCCTGGACAGTCTTGCTGTTGACGGAGAACATAACCCACACATCGTCGGGCCGGTAGTAGTGAATGATAATGACATGTTACAAGAATACCTTTCTACGAGACGGAATGATGGCGCAGGTCCGTCTAGAATGATAACAATGGGTAGGACCTTCCAGTATGGAGCTGTGAGACGGCCGGTGATGTTCTCAAATGTCCAGAAGCAGCCTGTGGGACTCACAAGCAACCGTGATCCAGCGTTCCTGAAGACTATGGTTATCGAGAAACTTTTAGAGCCATTTGGCCACGAGTTGATTCGAGTGTAGGTCAATCAACTACTCCTCTGCTCCTGCTATGCTGATTCGTGAACAGTTATCTACACAAAGCCAACTGCTGTTTGCCTTTATTAGATGAACAGTCACTTTATAGTGCAGACAAGGACATTATCTCGCCGACGCTGCTGGCTAGTATTTATGCGAATGCTCTGATCTATTGGCGCCACGACACCCACCTTGCCTCGCATAGATGTCCAGATGTGCGCTTCATATGGAATCTTGCGAACGAAGCTTTATATATAGAGCTTCAACGGTCGCCCGGAATGTCAACGATCATTTCGATCTTGCTAAACATCAGTGGTAGACCTACGACAGCCGTGATGGGTAACGCAGTACTTATAGGATCTGCAATCGCACTGTCGTACTCCCTAGGTCTCAACCGCGATCCTGGAGCATGGGAGATTTCGGCGACGGAGAAGAACGTGAGACGACAAATCTGGTGGGCTATTGTGATTTTCGACTGCTGGTAAGCCTGCAGAGCCTGACGCCAACGCGTTCTGACAGATTCTCGATAGGAGCAGTATGTCTTATGGTACTCCTCCACAGGTACAACGTCATCAACATGACGTCTGTGTCCCTGATATGAATGACATGCTTGCCAGTGATGCTACACCGAGAGGAGCAGCTGGTGCCCCTATCTATATAGCATTCATCGGTCTCACAAAGATCCTGAGTATTCTTCTCGATCATGTGTATCGTATCGAATCTTCCGGTAGTACACGCAATGAAATTGGGCCATGTGAAGTTTCCCTCAATACGAATCTATACGAGTGGGAGGAAGGACTGACAGAGAACATACGTCGCATCATCATACGTGGCGCACATCTTGACCAACCGGGCGCTGCAAACTTCAGGCTCGCGTACTTATCAGTCAAGCTTCTTCTACATCGCATAGAGCTAGGACTTGACCCGCAAGAGACGTCGTCAGACACGCGGCCCAGTCACCAATACGCCCAGGCCCAGAGAGTCGCCGAGGAGATTGTTATGCTCGTGCAAGAGCTAGGTGTGGAGCAGCTGGGCGACTTCTGGCTATCAGTCAGCGCGTTCTCGCTCACTTCTGCCATGAGTTTCCTTGTGCGACGAACGTTGGAGTCTCGACGAGAGTATAATGCAGATCTGAACCAGATAGGTGCTTTCAAGTTGGCGAAGCAGTTTATTGCCATTCTGAGATCTCATCGTCAACAGCATGCGTGGGATGTTGGTGACTTGTGTCTGTCTCAGTATAGTGAAGTCATTGAGAGTCTGGAACAGGGGGACCTTGATTCGGGTCCATCGCTGTCGAATATTGAGGACTTTGTTCCCGATGTCAACGTCGATCAGCTGTTTCCGAGTCTATGGGACATGTTTGAGGCAGAAGGTGCGTTGTAATTGGAGTTGTCTCAATGATTTAGGATACTTTGTTTCGTCCGGGGTCAGTATCTTGGTACAGACGTCCTACTCTTCCAGATACAATCCTTCTTCTGGCGGTGGTATTCCGTACCATCCCATTTCTTCTTTGTCTTCTGGGTCTGGGTCATCCATCTGGTAGTATCCGTCATATCGCCACCACTTACGATCCTCCCACACGTCTTCGACAGGAAGGACACCGTCCTGCCTCATCAAGTCCTTCACGTTCTCTACGCCACGCCAGACTCGCAGAATATTCTCTCCTGCTAGCTTGCCAAGCTGCTCTTCCGTAGCCCCTCGGTCAAGTATGGCTTTGAGTAGCCCGGGATAGCACCGCACATCTTCCAAGCCCTTGATCACACTTGCAATTCCATCAAAGTCCGAGCCGAGGCCTACATGGTCCCAACCAATCCTCTCAGCAATGTAGAAGAGGTGATCAATCACCATGTCCATCGTCGCATCTGCCCGTCGCGTGGCAACATGCTCCGGGACAAACGTCACCATCACTATTCCCCCATTTTGCGGCACTTGATCGAGGATGTGATCCGGGAGGTTCCGTGCGCAGTCAAAGACACCTTTGGCATTGCTGTGCGAGAACATCACAGGCGCCCTCGTCAGCTTCAAGACTTGCACTGCACAATCCTCGGATACATGCGACAGGTCGATGATCATGCCGATCCTGTTCATTTCGACAATGGCGGCCCGGCCCAGCTTCGACAATCCGCCGTGCACGGGTCCAGTCTTCGATGTCGAGCTGTCTGCGAACGCGTTGTTGCAGACATGCGTCAGCGTGCACTGCGGTCTCGTAAGCTTCTCTTCGCTTTGATGGTTATGATGACGATTGGGAATCATGCACTGACATAGCGGACACCAAGCATGTAGAAAGCCATGATGATGCCTATGCTGTTACCGGCCATGTGGAGGCTGGTCCATCAGCTGTGGAAGAATGCAACAGATGAGACAACTCACCCCTCAATCCCAATAGAGCACGCAATCCTACCCCCTGCATACACCTTTTTGACCTCATCTGGCCCCTTGACCAACTCGAAAGTGTCGGGATACGAATCTACCAGGCGCAGCACCAGATCTACCTGCTCAATCGCATCACGTGCCATATCGCTGTACTCCGGCGTCGAGAAGTCCTCCGCCGAACGCAAGCATGGCACACATATGGACCAGAACTGTCCTCCCACGGCGCCTATCATCAGTCACTTAGTCGACTACATCTTCTGCAGATGGATGGGAATGAGCACCTTCGCGGAGACGCGGTATATCTGTCATTCCCCTCTCGAAGCCCTTGTTCAGGTCGAATTTTGGATTGTCGTGGATCTTGCCGTGGAAGGCTGCTCGGGGCTGCTGCGGGAGGTCGTTGTGTCCGTCTATCAGGGGGGTTTTGCTGAGGACGCGCTTCACGCGCTCGTCGATGTCTAGTTGCTGGTACGGGTGGATGGATGCCATCGTTGTAGATGGTGATAGTATGGAGTTTGGTGTGTGTGTGTTCTTTTCATGGGCCGTTATGTTGCATGATATTTAATACTCACACTACATGCTAGCTCTTGCGGAGTGCGTCCCGATATCGTCCCTGGTATCGGATCCATTTTCGGGATGTATACGGGGCCGCGGCCCGCTTTTGGACGGCACAGCATAGATTGATAAGAGTATCGCGAGTCCTCCACTTTCGTACTGGAGTATGGCAAGGGAGCTTCACAGATAAGCGCTATCGGATGACCACGACTCGAGTATCCCTTGTTTCGATGGCCGCGGTAAACTCTACACTCCTGGCCACGAGAACCCATGAGGATCTCAATGCTGTGGATAGTGATCAAACAGATACATTAATATCATGAGAGACCAGGCGGTATATAGATTGCGTCCACTATCCACCGATCGCTCCAACGAATTGACTCCCTCCACCCACCATTTCTATCTCTAACATGGACTCCGAGAAGCAAGCCCAGTACGCCGAAGACGAAATCGAATCAAAAGCGCTGCATTTCCTCCACAAAGCAGAAGCCAGCCATGTTTCCGACGCCGTCTCTGAACGTAGCCGTCTCCAGCGGAAGATCGACATGCGACTGATGCCACTCCTCTGCCTGACATACGCCATCCAGTCCATTGACAAGACAACCCTAAGCTATGCCGCCGTGTTCGGCATACGCGAGGACACCCACCTGCAGGGCACAGAGTACTCGTGGGCCGGCGCTCTATTCTACCTGGGCTACCTGTTCTGGGAGTATCCGACGAATGTGCTGCTCCAGAAGCTGCCCGTCGGAAAATTCATGTCTGGCACTGTACGTACCGAACCACATGGAGATGCAGAAGACCATGGGGCTGATCAGGCATATAGGTCATTCTCTGGGGCATCACACTCATGCTCCATACCCCTGTGCAGAGCTTTGCCGGACTGGCGGCTGTGCGCACCTTGCTTGGAGTCTTCGAGGCGTCGGTGAACCCGGCTACGATGATCATCTTCTCCATGTACTACAAGCGCCAGGAGCAGCCCGTGCGGATGGGCATCTGGATCGGCTCGGCTGGTGTGGGGTATGTCGTCGCGGGCATCACGAGCTTCGGCATTGGCCACATCGATTCGTCCAGCCTGGAGAGCTGGCGATTGCAGTTTCTCGTCTGGGGTGCGGTTACTACGGCTTGGGGCGTCTTGCTTTGGCTTTTGCTCCCTGGATCGCCGGTCTCGGCTGGGTTTTTGAGTGAGGAGGAGAAGGTGCTGGTGATGGATCGGATCAAGGATAATGGGACGGGGGTGGAGAATAGGAGGTTCAAGGTTGTGCAGTTTAGGGAGGCGATGCTGGACTTGAAGACATGGTTACTGTTCATCTTTGCCGTGTCCAGCAATTGCCCGAACGGAGGGTTGACAACGGTACGTATACGACTGGTACCGTATGAGACCTCCCAACTAACCACGCCACGACAGTTCCAAGGCCTCATCATCAAAGGCTTTGGCTTCACAACACTACAAACAACCCTGATCCAAATGCCCTCAGGAGGCATCCAAGCAATAGTCTGCGTAACAGCCTGGTAAGCAAGCACAGCCCCACGCATCCCAACTTCTAACCCATCCCAACTTCTAACCCATCCCAGCTACATCGTGTCAAAATACAAAAACGCACGCCTCGCAATGATGCTAATCTGCCTAACCCCTTTCCTCGCCGGCATCACGGGCCTCGTCGCCATCGCCGACAGCAAGCGCTACGCCCGCCTCGTCTGTCTCTGGATCTCCTTCTCGTACACCGCAACATGGACACTCTCCATGTCCGTCGCCACGGCAAACACGTCCGGGCACACCAAGCGCGTGACGACGAATGCGATGCTCCTGATCGGGTATTGTGTCGGGAATTTCGTGGGGCCGTTCTTCTTCAAGACGAGCGAGGCGCCGTCGTATGGGCTTGGGGTTGGGATGATGTTTGTCTGCATTGCGGTGCAGGTCTTGTGTATTGTGGGGATCTGGGTGTTGCTGTGGTGGAGGAACAGGATGAAGGAGAGGCCGGTGTCCGGGGAGGAGTGGAGGAGGGCGCGGGAGAATGGGTTTGCGGACTTGACGGACTTGCAGAATGGGTATTTCCGGGTGAGCATTCTCCTGCTTGGAGTGAATCCTACTGACTGGCAGCAGTATGTCTACTGATGGTCCTGTCGATCCTGGAGGTAATTATGTACACCGGGAACCGTGGCATGTAATAAAGCGACATGAGCCGTGCGTGAGACCACGAGGTATAGTCGCCTGCACAATGTCTGCCCGATGTTCACTCGTTGTTGTCAGGCCCTGTTTTCACCATGAGCAGCAAGCAACGTCAACAAACACCATCTCGCGACGCGTCTGGCCACACTCCATCCATGCACGAATTCTTCCACTCGAAAACACCTCGAAACCCTCTACAAACCCACCATCAACTACAACAACAAACCTACCCATCCGACCAGTCACACAATCATCCACCTGCCCGCCCAACCAACCATGTCCGCCCTCAAATTCAAACTCCTCTGCGGCACCCCAACCGACGAAGAAACCTCCACCTCCACCTCCACCTACTTACCACCAAGCCCCCATACACCAGCAAACCCACCCACTACAACCGCCCCAACCCTAACGCTCACACCCACAAACCCACCCCGAAAACAAACCAACCCACCCCAAAGCAAAAACCACACCTTCAACCTCCACTCCGCCCGCGCCCCCTGCATCGCCTACTGGACATCCACATGCCCGTCCACCACCACCTCAAACCCACAATCACAACCCACGCCCTGCCCCTACAGCCACACCCGCTACCCGCCCTACTTCAACAACAAACCGCACGAGCGCCGCGCCGCCGTCCTCCGAAACACCCAAAACACCCAAAACTCCAACCTCACCGCCACCCACACCCACAACAAAACGGAAAAACAGGGCGTGGCAGCAGTCGGACAAGGGCAAGGCGAACAAGTGAGAATAGGGCAGCTTCTCGAAGCCCGTGAGCGGGAGATTGAGTTGCTGAGGAGGAGGTTGCGCGAGGAGGAGAGGTTGGTGCGGGATTTGACGGGGTATTTGAGGGTTACTTGGGGGTTTTTGGAGAGGTTGAGGCGGTGATTTGGGTTACGGGGGGGATTAGGGGGAGGGATAGGGGAAGGGGGTGAGGGGAGAGGGGAAAGGGGAGGGGATTAGGGATTAGGGAAGAGGGGGGTGAAAAGGGGGAACGAGAAGGGGGAATGACAAGGAGGAAAAGGGGGAAAGAGAGAATGCATGTTGTGTACGTCTGTATATGTGTCTGAGTGTATGTATGGTATACGCGGACGCGAGGAATGAATACTCCTCCGACCCATCCACATCCACTCCCAGTATATACCCCTGGCACGTGAAAAGAACCGCTCTACTCCCATGAATCTAATAACAAGAATCCATGATATCTTGCCCTTCTAGGACCAAGAATGCTAGTATTAAGAATATCAAGAATATCAAGAATATCAAGAATATCA